ACGTGTTTTGGATCGTCTTCGATTTTTACTTTTTACCACAGGGAAGAACGGTCAATAAGGAATATTACCTGTAAGTTATGCGCAATTTGCGCGAAGCAATCCGCCAGAAACGCCCGGATTTGTGGAAGAACAAAAATTGGCTTTTGCACCACGATAACGCCCCTGCTCACACATCGTTGCTTGTGCGCGACTTTTTGGCCTAAAACAACACACTATTGATGCCGCAGCCACCGTATTCCCCAGGTCTGTCCCCCTGTGACTTTTTCTTGTACCCTCAACTGAAGAGGCCCATGAAAAGACGACGTCACGCTTCTCTTGACGAGATAAAGACGGCATCGAAGGAGGAGCTGAAGAAGATAAAAAAAATGATTTTTTGAAGTGCTTCGAAGATTGGAAAAACCGTTGGCACAAGTGTATAATATCTCATGGGGATTACTTTGAAGGGGACAAAATAGATATTCATGAATAAATAAAAATTTTTTGAAAAAACACAAAATTCGCGATACTTTTTGAACACACCTCGTATTCCAAAAGCATATCAACTTTTTACCCTAACAAAACACTTTCAACAAAAAATTCTAATCGTTGAATTTCAGAAAAACTTAAATACTAATCTGTTTTTTTCTTTCCACTGCATGAGCTTGTCGAGAGTCTCTTCTGCATGTTTAATCTTACTCACTTGACAATTAATAATGAATAGAAGCAAAGTCACCTAACTAAAATTTTGTTTGTATAAAAATGTATTTACTTATCTGCTTTTTTTCCTTCTTTTGAGCTTATTTTTTAATGGATTTTGAAAATTTTGGTGTCAAAATGTTGCAAAAAAAGTACCGATCGTAAAAAGTTTTTGTTCCCACTAGGGTGCTATTTGAAAAAACTAGGTTATCCGAAAAAATTAACAGTTCATTGCATTAAATGCTATTTGCCATTATACAAGTAAAGAAAAGCTTCATTTACATTTTTTCCCATGATCAGGTGACCCGGTAGATAGTATTTATGATGGTCACAGCCTCCTAGACACAGCAGGTATAAATCCTATTTCTTATTTAGAATCCTTGTCAATAAGATGCAGTAGAACGTGTGTTATTGTTTTCTTTTTGTTGGTCAAAAGTGTAACATTTTACAAGATAAATTCAAGATGGCACCTTTGCTTGTCGATAGGCAAATTAGACTTGGCGAAACTGTTACAATATATCAGTAACAAGGTCTCTGTTTTAAATATTAGCCTGATTCTCAAGCGCACTTTCATTAAACCTCACTTATGAATAAAAGCAATAAAAGTATCATGTATATTTAAAGATTTTAAAGATGATGTGTAGGTGTAAAATCATTATTGGGTACAGATATTTAATGATCTCTCAGATGTGCAATAATCCTGAAACTAATAGAACCTATTAATTAAGACCTGACGTAAACATCATGGGACGTTGATGCAACTCACCATTTCGAACCTTAAGGCGGATTTCTACAAGAGAAGCACTGAGGAACTTTTGGTTACTTTGTGTTCCATTATGGTATGCCTTGCGCTACGTTTTCATTGAGCCACCGTATATTTAGGAAACAAATATTTTATGCCAGTTTCAGTTCGCTTTCCCATTTTAATTATCGCTAAAATATCGCCGACATAGTGTCGGTAAGTTTTAAAAACATAAACTCTGATCTCTGTGTGTCAACAAAGTTGTAAAATTCAACTCCAGGTTGGAAATAGGAATAAAAAGAACATCTTCAAGGGTCGTTACTCTCCTTTTCGCAATTTTTCAACGACAGCTTTTAGTACTCGGGCCTTCTGCTCTTGATAGATGCCGGAACGTTACAATTTCGTTTCGGTTCGTATAACGTAGAGAGTTAAAATGTTTTTTAACGATATGCTCTGTTGTGTTTTATATTTTCCGTTATGCTTTAGAGTCATTAACGGAGAGGAATATGAAGAACAATTTTCCTTTAGGAGTGAGAATATGCGACTGAGGTACTTAGGATAAACTGATTTTCAACTTTTTTTAACTTAAACTTCGAATATTTAATAGAGAAAAGGTACCTTCACAACGCAACGTGTTATGTAAGATATATTACCAATAAAATAATGACTGAATGAAGAGTCACACAGCAATAATAAAAATGTCCAATAATTTAGAAACGGGGTGAATTCTTAAGTATTTTTAACTTAAGAAGTTGAATTTATGAAATATAATAGAGTTAATGTTTTTGAAAAAAACTTCCAGAGGCTACTGTAATATTATTTAGAAAACTTCTGTTCAATTTCGTTTCATCAATAATCGACGCAGAAAGGATCCAGAAAATTTGTAAGTAGTATGACTTAAGAATGATTAAAGAAATAATGAAATGAAATGAAATTTGGTACTACTAAGTATAGATTGTTAAAGCTTTTAACGGTGCTCATAGATGCGCTAACTAGAGGTTTAAAAATCGAACAAAAGCACATCAGCTTGTTCAACGCTGCGTAAAGTTACGTGGTGAAAGCGGACGTTGCTAAGCGACGTCATAAACTGTACCATTTTTCTTGCGGATATTGACGATTACATTTCTTCATTTGGCGCGTTTCATAGTCTCAACTTACTGGCCTACACGGACGATGTCGTCTTATTAGCTGAATCAGAGAGCCAATTACAGAAACTGTTCTTCTTGGCTGATTCAAGGCAAGATGTGGTTAAAAGGTTTTATTATCTTGGTGTGACATTCACTTCTTCCTCTTTGTTCAGAGAAATGGCAGACAACACAGTTTGAAAAGCGAGTCAGGCAGCGGGGTTGCATTGTCGATGCTAAGAAAGAGTAAGCTTTCCTCTTCAGATGCAACTCAGAATATACCAAACATTCATACTAAATATTTTTGCTGATGTCTGGGGCATACCGACATATTTGAGCCAGTACAGACCAACATTTTAAAAATTTTACTGTTACTTCCTAAATCAACTTCAAGTGCTTTACTTCGCCTTGAAACCTTTAAGTCTTGCCTCAGCTTTCTTGTGGAACTCTTAAGAACGGACGAGAATCGTCTCCCTAGACTCTGTTTTGATCTCTAGCAATATCTGATCAATAACACAAGGCACACGAAATTCAACTGGGCATGTCAGATTAGCGAGCTGTTTTGTGAGTTCCGTTATGATGAGTGATGGAGCATTGCATCATATATCATTCTAAGATGGCAAAAGAATGACAACTTAGAATGTTTTAATACAAAACTTTTTCAAGCCGATCTTAACATTGCAGTCGGTTGACACTACTCGAATTTTAACTCAGGCACTTTCTGATCTACCACTCACCTATTGTCAACGTCCATTTCAAGAATTGTCGCACAATTAAGATTGAGTAATAACGTTTTTCTCAAATTCTCCTATAAAGGCTGCGCTTACTTCATTAAACTTGATCAGATTTGGAGTTTTAAAACAACAATACTTTTATCACAGCTCTAAAAAAATTGGACTCACGTGAGTCAAAGGGTCTTATTATAAATATATGTCGGCGTCCTTAGCTTTAAGTGGCCGATATTTTCCCATATTTCGTTTTGGGTGTTTGGATTGTTTATTTTTGATTCGTATTATTTATTGATCTAGATTAAACAGGGCATGTGTTGCCCGAGGTGATTGTTTCGATAAACTTTGCTTGGTTGGAGGGGCGTATGTCGCCGAAGGTGATTATCCCGACAAGCATTGTGTTATTGGAGAGGCGTTTGTCGCGAAAGATAGATCTATATTCCAGTAAAGAGTGTTTTACTGGATGATGGTGGTGGAACCGAAATACAATGTTCTTGATAGCTAATGCTTTCATAGGTTTGTCAAATGACATTATATTGCAAGTTGCAAGTAAGCTAATTTTAGTTTCCTAGTAAAAGTTTTTTTTTATATTGGTAAATGTTAATAACCACAACTGAGATTTGCATCGGGTTTTTTTTTCTTGCTTAGTCAGGATGGACGAGTGAAGGTAAGCTTTCGAGGTCTAGATGACCACCATGTGCCCGAGGACGTGCACTAGTCAATATGGCCGTGTCGGCGCCCTTAGCTTTAAGTGGTCGATATTTTCCCATATTTCGTTTTGGGTGTTTTGGATTGTTTATTTTTGATTCGTATTATTTATCGATCTAGACTAGACCTATGCCCACTTAGGTATCTTTCCGAGGTGAACGGAACGCGGCCCGGGGGAAAACAGTCTTGAATTATCGAAACCCGGGATAAGTCGAGTCGAGTGTAGCTCCGATAGCCTAAGAGCGATTGACAATTTCCCTTAGTTTCCCTAGCGCTCCGCAGATGGTTGGATTCCCTTTAATAATCAATTAAGTGATTAGATTATTAATTTGTTTTAAGCACTGTGTTGTGACTTCTTTTAATATGCCCGAGAAGTCTAACCCTATGTCGCCTCGCTCGTCATCAGAACCCTAGATTATTAATTTGTTTTAAGCACTGTGTTGTGACTTCTTTTAATATGCCCGAGAAGTCTAACCCTATGTCGCCTCGCTCGTCATCAGAACCCGCCCACCGGGTTTCTATTTCTATTTTATTATTTTCTTACGATCCCGGACATATATTAAAGACCCGCGCGTGTTTGCGAAATGAGTAAAAATAAAACTATAATTTTTATCTGTCTATTTAAAATCACATGCTGATAGATCCCTATTAGTTTACTATTTTGTTTTTTTAGGCGTATGTAATGTCTGATGCGGATTTTTTGTTCTAAAAATGTAATTTTTTATAAACAATAAATCATATAAATAATAATAATAACCTTTTTTAAATTTGTAAAGCTCTATAGATATTGTTCCCAAACTATTTACACGTTCGTAGGTTCGTACTCTTTAGTGAAAACAAATTTGATTACTGATAAGTATAGAAAGATAAAATTCAAAAGGCTAAAAAGTTATAACACAATTTATAATAAAATACGTAACTTTTAAAATAAATTTGCAGTTTTAATGGCCAAGAGGAAAACGTTAGTTTAAATTTGAAAATATTTTCTACACGATCAACATTCGATTATTATTTCTTTTATAGCATCTCCAGTTGACTTATGCCCTGTCATGAAACACCTTGGATTAACGGAAAACTAAAATGGCATCTAATAAACTCGTTGTAACTTGTTTGTAACAACTGATGGACAAAGTGAGGATAGGAAAACCGATTCGTGATATATAATTCGGGGTATACTACTACTACGATTTATGATTGACCTACCGAATATGAACTTGTTGATAACGACGGAAGATTTTTATTGAGTTGCTGGAAAGTATTATTTTATTACCATCGCAGATCCTTAACTATTGCGCGATTATCTCGTAAAGGATTCTGCTTCCATTAAAATATTACGTTACCCCAGGCCGCCGTTAATGGCTCCCTAAACCCCCATCGCTGAAAATACAAAATCGTTTAAAATATATCAAGGCGAGAGGTTTCGATTAGAATCGGGGTCTACCAAATGAGGTGCATCCCAGATAAATCCGAAAAGGGGAGCTGATAATAAATACACTTTTAAAGGTCCCGTAATAGAGACAAAAAGACGAATGAGGCTCCGCCATCCCTGACCTCTCAGTGGGTTGTTTTATTGGTCGGATGAAAAATTTATCAAGGAAATTACAAAAAGGGACCTGCGTAAGTGTGGGAAGAAAAAGAATTGAAAAATTTGTAGATTTCAATAAAGTTATTCGATAATTCCAATCGAGAAATAAACTAGGATCAATTTCCACATTCCAGTTCAGCATGTTTAACGAAATGTACAACACATTAACAATCTATTTATCATTCAGGTTAGTAACTCCGATTATCTAAAATAACATTACAATGTCATTGTCAATACATGAATAAAAAAAATGTCATTACTTAAATGGACATATTGAGTAACATAGTAAATCATTTATCAATTTGTGAGAAAAATTATAGCCATATCTGACATGGGAATATCCTTATCTACTGGGTCTTTTAAAAGCATTCAGGTAATGGAGTTAAATATAGTATATAGCAATGTCATCAGAAAATTGGATAATATATTTTTTTAATGTTGACGAAACTCTTTAACCATTATCAATCATAGAGACGCAACATTTATATTGGTTTCATTTTCTTATTGCAGAATGCCGAGCCAATCTACCGCCAGTTTTTACGATGGACATGAACAATATAGTTATATCAGAAAACATACCGGTGGGTACAACTATTTATAAATTAGAGGGAACTGATCCTGAAGATGGTCCGGTATACTACGACATACAAGGCACTGACGTACTCAGCGTCAATCATACCACGGGAGTTGTCACAGTTCTTAAACCTCTAGATTATGAGGTAAGTTCAATATTTATAATACAGCCGGAAGGATATCATTTAAAATAGAAATACATTTTTAAAAGTTTTCATATATACACAATAATTCATTCACTGAGCTTTGTATGTACCTTTATGTTTTCGGAAATTTGTACCTTTAATATTGTTGAAGTAGTACGTTGTTTGTAACGGGAAATCGATTGTTGTGGTTATTTTATTTAATTATTTCTTATATTTATCTCAAATGTCAGTTTTAATTTTATTTGCAAGTACGTTGGAAATTAGTGAGAAGATCACAAATCAACTTTGCAACAACAAGAAATTAGTTTGCCCTATCTGCAAAACAGATTAAAATTAAATTAATGCTCAGTTGCATCAAATCATGAAAATAACTGGAACTTTGGTCACTTTTCGAAATAGTTCACCCAATTTCACGTTATGTTAAAAGTTTCATCGATCCGACGCACAACATAGCTTAATAAATTATTTGTATCTATTTTCATACGAATCGACGCACACAAAACATTGCGATTTATATATGTTGCAGATATATACATACCGGGAAGGTGGATAAATTTAAAACCACATAATAAATAACAACCTTTATGGGCCCGTCAATGCATTTCGCTTCAAAAGAATTTATATCAAAGCATCACGCTCCGATATTTTTGTTTTTCGTTTTCCATTTGAACATTCTTTTCGTATACAGGAGCTTAATAAGAAAACAATAGAACGAAACTATTAATTTTACAAATCAAGTTGCGGTGTTTTGAAATGATGGAGACTTGTTAAAAGAGGGACATCTGTACTTTAAATTTCATAGAATTCCATTTTGTTATTCCGGACTTCCCTGGATCTACCTTCGTGAAATGGATGTTGAATTCATATCCCGAAATCGCATTTCCGCCTGAAAGCCGGGCAAATTTCGTAACAAAATTTGTTTACGTTTAGCTTGCTACGTTTTAACATTTTGCACAATGTCCGCATTTTATGCCGGAGTTTTAATTATATTTTGGAAAAAGTTTGACTCAAATACACTTTGTTGGCAGGCGACATGTGGGACTTATTACAATAAAATTTTTACCTGGAAAATCACACTTTTGCTGATATAGAGAGTTAGACAAAAGTGGTGCAGGAATTATTAGATTTAAATTGTTATATCACCGAATGCTCGTCCACAGTAAAGGAATTTAGAGACCACTGAGGTCATTGTCAAGTAGCAGAAGGAAGTCAGTTTGAACATTTATTAAAATAGGCATCTGTTATTTAAGTTTACCAATTCGTTAAAATCATTAATTCATAAATTAAATTCTAGTTTATTGATTAAATTAGTTATTATTTTCGTTTTTCAGTACAGTCAATTTGGAAACCCCGTATACAAATTTCGTGCATATAATAAGGTGGAATTATAAATAAGATAGAATAAATAAGAAAAGAAAAAAAATTGCAACAATAAAATATGGAATCAATTCAATCGTTGATATTGAAGGCGCACGCTTTTGCAGAACTAGTTCTTACAAAATTATATTGATATTGAATAAAAAATGTTATCCAAATCATGCTTCATAAATGGAAATTTCGTCATATTGAGCAGAGTTAGTATTATGCCAATACATAATTTGACACCTTAAACGTGCACTGCGGATTTTTTTATTTTATTTCAATGTTTTAAAGTAATTTTTCAATTTTGAATTGCACATCATTTTACATTTCTTATTTGGTTGTAAGTTGCTGCTTGGACAGAATGGCCAGAGGGTAGATTTAAATTATTCTAACATCGTTTCAGGCGAATTCCACTTTAAACGTAATCGTTAGCATAGAAGATGAGGTGCCTGGGGGTGTTAAAAATAACGTAGTAGAAGAACAAGTGGCGGTTATCATCCTCGACGAGAATGACAACACCCCAGAATTTCAAAATGTGAGCTTCTTTTCTATAATACATTTAATATCGCATTATTATGGCATATCTATTCCAGGCACCCTACGAGATACAAGTGGATGAAGATACAGAACCTGGCACAACAATATTCGAAGGAATCGTAGTGAAAGATAAAGACACCGCAGGTCAAAATATTGAAGTAACTTGTATCAACATCCCGTCATACGACGATGCGTGTGATACTTTTCGTATCCAGGATATGTTCTCTAAACAAAATTCTTATCAAGGATCAATAATTCTTAACAAAAAGTTGTCTTATAATGAAAACAAGGCATACGCTTTCACCCTCAAAGCAACGGTAGGTCAATTTAAATATTTCGGGCAGAACTGTTTTTTTAGCTTAAATGTGGCACTTTTAGGACGGTACGCTCACATCTACGACGAATGTGTCTGTCCTAGTGGGAGATGTCCAAGACACCCCTCCCATGTTTTTGAGCAACCTAACAGCTGATTTGTACGAAAATTCCACGATTAATACACTAGTAATGACTGTAAAAGCTCAAGATGGCGATAGAGGAATTCCCAGAGGAATAGTTTACGAACTGATTAGTAGTGAGTCACCACTTTTGTAAATGTTCTGCTAATAATAGGCACTGTCGTAACGTTGTTTCAGATCCAATGGACTACTTTATCTTAGATCCTATGAGTGGCGAATTGCGCACCGCAAGACCCTTAGATAAAGAGGCAATAAACAATCCCGAGGGTATAATTAAATTCGAAATAAAAGCTCACGAACTAGTTGACGGCGTTAGAGGCAATGATCCGCTGACCGTAACGACAGCGGAGGCCATGGTCAAAATCCTCGATATCAATGACGAACCGCCCATATTCAATAAACGGGAATATTATGTTGAAATTCCAGAAAACATTCCGGAAGGTTCAGGATTGCCCGGTTTAAATATGGTAGTTACTGATCCTGACGAGGTAACGATTACGATTGTAATTGAACTGCAATATTTAATATCAATTTTACACACATAAATTATCTTGCCAATGTTGTCTCTACAATATTTTAAAACTTTATAAATTTAACCACAGGTACATACTCTACAATAGATCTATAATAGTTATTTATATTACTAGTGCGGTGTATGAGCTTCATTACAGTAATGAGTGGGGAATCTTGTCCTGTTACTAAAGTATGATTGTAATGAGCCTTACGACACGTGTGATATGCAATATTTGATCTACAACAAGTTTTATAATGATTTTTTAATTAAAAGTGTGTGTGAAACTGTTACTATTTTACTTCTTTAAAAAATGAGTTACGTAATAATGTCATTAAATCAATAATGATCCCAATAGACTAGAGAGTAGAGTAGATAAAACGATAAAACATGAAAATCTTAAATTAAAATGCGAATTTTTATTAGTTTTCTTTTTTAATAAATAAGTTGCTATTTGAAGTAAATGCTTCTGTGATTTTTTTATAATAATATATTGACAGCCATCTACAGCTAGCTAGTAAATCCGTTTTATTGTTGTTATTATAATGTGATTTTGATGCGTCATTGGTATTAAAATAAACGAGAAAAAATATTCTTGTCCTTCAGGGCAACAATTCGGTGTTTTCCTTGGAGCTCAACGACATATCGGGAGCATTTTCAATCGAACCGAAGATTGCCAATGGTTCAACACCGGCAACGGTACGCGTCATCAATAGCCTTTTAGACTACGAGGATCCAAATCAAAGAAAATTCATAATTTTGGCGGTAGCCAAAGAAATATACACGGAAGAAAAGTTATCGTCTACCGCTACCATAACAGTTTCGGTGATGGACGTTAACGACAATGTACCAACGTTCGATCAACAAAGTTATAGTGCTACAGTGTCGGAGATGTATTCGCCGGGAAGTTTGGTAGTCACAATTGTGGCGAAAGATCGCGACAGTGGCAAGTTTGGCGAAAGCGGTTTAGTGTACAGTTTGACGGGCGACGGTTCGGATAAGTTTTCTGTAAACAACCGGACAGGAACTGTAACTGTGGACGTTTGCACCAATTTGGGTAAACCTGAATGCCTAGACTATGAGAGCAAATCTGAATATCACCTGCAATTTGTGGTGAGTTTTTTTACAAAAGCATCTATTTGATTGTTTCTTTGAATTGTTAAATCAATATTGTCCCTTTTCAACATTTTTGATGTTGACTTCACATATAAAATTTTATCTAGTAGCTATTTGCTTAATTGTGTAGTATTGTATATCAGCTAGAACTAGAAACAAAAAATAAATAAATTTTTCCTTTTTTTTTTCTCGGATATCCTCGATATTTTTGAAATTTCAAAACCTTTGAAACTCAAATTAATAAACTTTTACGAAATTAGAAATCGTGCTTGCGTAATTTGGGAATGAAAATTTCATTTTTTATTTAAAATTGTCATCGACCTGCAGGTGTAATTAGATAATTTAAAGTAGGTTAATAACATGATGTCAAAATGATATTTTTACTTTCCAGTTCCTTGAATTTTTCGCTGAATTCCTTTGATTTAGAAAAAATGGAAAATATTTAAGAAAAAAAAAAACGTTATAAAAAACTCACACTGCTACTCTGTCCTCTGTTTTTGTCTCGTGCGATAATTCAATAACATATGTAATTTTATATTCCTGGGTTACGAAAATTGCTCATAGGACTTTTTATGACAGGCAACGGACGACGACGGCAAAGGGCAGGCGACGTCGGTCCCTTTGAAAATATCATTGACCGACTATAACGACAATCCGCCGATTTTCAACAAATCGATTTACCGAGTGTTTGTAAACGAAGGAGCCACACGTTTTGAGCCAGACCTCGTCATAGAGGCCAGAGATGCAGATAAAACTTCGCACGTTACGTATTCAATCGTCTCGGGTAACGACGAGGAATTATTCAAGATCGATTCGGAAACCGGCAAACTGAGAATCACTAACAACAGGGGTTTGGACGTTAGTAACGACACGGACAACGTTATTTCGCTGACGATTTTGGTAGGGTAGACGCCTCTCAATCTTTTGTTAATTTGATTCGATTCGATTTTAAGGCAACAGACGGTGAATATACCACCACAACTCTCGTCAACATCACTGTATTAGACATCAATAATAATGCTCCTATATTTTCAAAAGAGAGTTACGTTGAAGCTGTACCCGAAGACGTACCCATAGGTAAAGAAATCAATAATTTCCAAACTTTCGGTTGATTTGCGGAATATTTCAGGAATTAGCATTCTTGAGGTTCAAGCCGCTGATGCAGACACCGGCGTTAACGCGGAAATAGAATACTTCTTTCAAAAAGGCGCTTACGATGATTTCACCATAGACAGCACCTCGGGAGTAGTAACGGTAGCTTCTAAGCTAGATTTTGACAGAAGAAACACGTACAATATAGAAGTGTGCGCCGTTGATCACGGGGAGCCATCATTAACTGGAACCGCTAGTATTACCATAACGATAATAAACACAAATGATAAACTGCCTTATTTTGTACCAACGACACAAAAGGCGGAAGTTATGGAAGATGTTCCTGTGGGAGCAATCGTTCACACTTTGATAGCGCTTGATCCAGACGTCAACGCTTCGGAAGCACTGAACTTTGAAGCTTCTCAGCCAATCACGGCTCTCGATAAACACGGCAATGCCGTCTTCTTCTCGAACGCGTACGAACAGTTTTTCTCCATTGATAAAATTTCCGGTCAAGTCACGGTAGCTAATCCCCTACAACGTGATATTGCGGCTATAGTAAGGATTCCGATATTGGTCACGGATATTACGGCCTCTACAATGCAACAAGGTCAGGGGCTCTTGGAGATTACAATTTTAGATATCAACGACAGTCCACCGAGCTTTCTACCACCTTGGACCGTCGAGAATCCAGTTTATTATCTAGAACTTAAGGAGGAATTACCAGTTGGAACCATAGTGGCCACTTACAAAGCTATAGATGAAGACTCGGATATTGCCGGATATACTATACAACCTAACAGCGAATATTTTCAGATTAATAATGGAACCGGTATAGTACAAATTAAAAAGGTCATAGACTACGAGAAGATCAAAAAGTTGAATTTTACGGTCGTAGCTTTCGACAGCGGTATTCCTCAGTTAAATACAACAGCCACGGTGATGGTGAACGTCGTTAATCTCAACGATAACGATCCTATATTCGCACAGAATTCTTACAATGTGTCGATAGACGAAAACTCCCCAAATGGCACTTTTGTGTTACAAGTGAAGGCTTTAGACAATGATTCCGAAGAATACGGGGAAGTAATCTACAGTTTAACCGGTGAACACAGTAATGATTTCAATATTGACGCGAAAACTGGCATTATCACCGTGGCAAACTCGAATCTGTTGGACCACGAGCTTATCAAACAGTGTGTGGTACAAGTGGTTGCCCGTGATAATTCCCCAGTCAACGTGCGGCGTTCTATGACGGTTCCTGTTTATATAAAGATCAACGACGTGAACGATAATGTGCCAAAATTCACCTCTCAAGAGTACGAAGTTGACGTGATGGAAGATGTGAGGCTGAATCCCCCTGTGCCTCTTATCCACTTAAACGCGACTGATCTGGACTCGGGACTCAACGGAAATATCCACTACAGCATAATCGGTGGAAATGAAAACGGTACATTTGGGTAAAAAGTAGGTACAATGGGTGTGTTACTATGTTTGTTGCAGATTTATTCCTCTTGGGTGTGGATACAGGAATATTGTATCCGCACAAATCACTGATAGGCCGTACTGGGAAGTTCCACTTAGTAGTGGAGGCAAGAGACGGTGCAGGAAACGGGGAACTGTTCGATCGAGCGACGTTGAAAGTTAATGTACTAAACGTTAACGACCACAGACCAGTCTTTATTATACCCTATAACCCGAATTCTACCGTAGACGTCTTGGAGGTAAAAACTTCGACGTTAAACCACGGGCAGTTGACTACATCTTCATTGTTCCAGAATGCTGCACAGACGGGATTTTTAGTGTTAACCGTTAAGGCCAAAGATAAAGATCAGGGTGAAAACGGCAGAGTCACTTACCATTTTAAATCGGGCGAACAGAATGTTCAGGAAACAGACGAATTTTCGATTAACGAGAAAACTGGCGAATTGAAAGTGAAAAGAAATTTGGACCGGGAGGAACATCCGAAATACGAAGTATGCGCATGTAATGTACAAAAAATGTAGATGGTAAACAACAAATATTTTTCAGTTGGTGTTGGTGGCGAGAGACCATGGATCTCCGAAATGGTTCGAAACGACAAGACATCTAACTGTTCTTCTGGTTGATGAGAATGACAACAGACCCGAATTTCCGGGATCTACTTCAACTAATCCGTACCACTTCTTTGTAACCGAAAACAATTCTGCCGACGTTTTAATAGGTAAGAAACGCTAACGCTTTAAACTTTCAGTAGTAAAGTGCCGTAAAAGTCGACCGCCGTGACGACGGTCCGTCGAGTTGAAAAGTGTGCAAGTTCCGACGTTTGACATTATTGTGTTTTCGAAATTGCAGGTCAAGTAAGGGCCCTCGACAGAGACGAAGGCAATCACGCCAAAGTCTACTACTATATTCTAAAGGGTAACGAGGACGGCTCGTTCAATCTTAATAAGGCAACTGGCAATCTTTACGCTGCCAAATCCTTTGACCGAGAACTACAGAATGAATACAGTTTGGTAATAGTAGCTAACAACGATCCAGATTACTACGTTACTGCCGAAGAGATAAGCGAAATGGAGGAAAAAGGTAAACGCTTTGCCTAGTTCAATAGAAAACATTTTCAGCATTTTTTTCGCCAGACTGGAAAGGTTTCTAAATTCATATTCTTTTTATTGCTTAAATCTTTTATGATCGTGAACTAATAAGTAAACTGAAAATTAATATATATTGCACCTATTACAGGCCATTCAAATTTTATGATAAAAACAATTACCCTGGACGTTGCTTTTTGCAGCATATTTCAATGATCTTGATTATTTAGAAAGAAAAAATCAATAGATGTAGTTAAACCGTCGTAAATTTTTACTTTCTTAGTAAATACGTAATAATACCCTGTTAGTCGTGAAACACACCAGAAGTTAAAATTATTAAAAAAAATATTCCTCAAAGTAATTTTTCTATTCCGCTAATGTATTTTCGGAGAAGCGTTAACAAAATATATTGATTTTTTTAATGTTTCTGTTTTATTCTAACGTTTTCTATAATTAATTAATTGAACCCTCTGAAAATAAAAAGAAGTAAAGGTTCATTTTAAAAATGCATTTCGGAAGATACTTAGAACGACAACTTTATATACCAGTTTTTTGAACAATTGAAAACAGTGAGAACCTCATTGAGAGCTTTAATATGAAGAATAACAAAATTGTTCGCGTTCTTTATGATCTGGAAACAGATGTGATGGTTTTTAATCATTTTTTCAGCTTGACTTGTAGGTCGATCGTAAAAAGCAACTAACTTAGTGGGCCGACTTCGCATCAAAAAGTTCTCCCAGTGATTGAAAATATAAAGATAACAGTTTACAAAAAAATCCATTGATAAAATTCGAACCCACATAAAAATAAACATTTAGAAAGGAGAGACGAAGTGCGGATATGTTACTCTTCTACTATAATACACGAATTTCTATGACACCTGTGATCATAACAGTTAGCACTACATCTTGCAGATGACCCAGACTCAGGCCCGAGACGTTGTCGTAGTTGAAGTGACCATTTAACTAAACAATACATACCTTCCACGTATATCAAGTAGGATCGGTGTGTTGCCCCATTGTACTTGTTGTGTTTATTCGTGCTGGTCACGAACAATGTGGATACACTTTCACTCAAAGAAATTTAGTAATTTCCAATTGCAGTCCCTAAATGCGACTAAACTTGAACTTAATTTGAACTCGTGTGAAGTTTCTGCCATACCTATGGAGGGCAGTCAATTCCCTTTTTTGTTCTCGGTCGTTGTTTGCCATCAATAATGCATGGGAAAATAAAACTGTATAACATCGCCGTATATTATCAACAGAGTAGAGATCCGACTTGTATTTGAAACGCTTACGTTGTCGATGTTTTCTTTAGAACTCAGCTGCGTCATTATTAATAAAAAAACAACAACTTTCTCAATTCAACAATAAAATTCGGGTTAAGCATTAATCATTATTATTATTATAGTTTTGGTTAGTTTTAAATAAATTATATTCTTTAATATTTTATCAGCTTATACTTTATATTTATTTTTATGTATGTATGTATGTATGTTTTTGTTAGTTTTGGTGAGGTTGGTTAGTTTATTTACTCATTATAGAATTTTCACATAGTTAATAATGTTTATCTCGAAAAAAAGGTATTTTAACAACTGAAACTCTAAGCGATTTTCATTTAGAATTTTTTTATACCACTGCATTACTCAAAAACAGTGGAAAGATATAACACTTGTTGCAACTATACTTTGTCTATAGTTTAATAATTGATTATTGATTTGATAACTTAATCATACAAACTAGATAAATTATAAAAATTTGAGGCTTTTGGAGATGATTAGACAAAATTGATTTTCCGCGATGCGAGAACTGAAACCTACGATTGAAAATTTGGCATAAAATTTAAAATAGTTTTATAACCGTCAGATTTGAAACGAAAAGTGACTAAGCTGCGCGTATTACAACCAAAAAGTGTGGTAAAATTTGAACTAAAACTAATTTTATCTCTTCGATAAAATTTCCTTAAAGTTAATTTTATTTTTAATAATAAACTAAACAAGAATATTCCCGTAATTCATCGTTCGCGATTTTCTTTTGCAGTCCCACTAACTACTGAACAGACACAGAGTACATCAAAGCAATCATTTTCATTTATTAATTAAATGCGACACATGGAAGGCTGTATAAAAAACGATTAGAAACTTAAATTGCTCCTTACCACCTGGCATACGAGTTTTTGCGGATTACTTTTATATGTCCTAAAAAAAAATTTAACTTCAAGAAAGAAAATGTAACGCTCCATGGACTTAAATGCGGACTAAATACACTGAGATGAGGCGCACCTACAAAAAAGTTCCTTTTAGATCTTACAGCGCTGTCACTGCTTGTCTGAATCATTCTGTGTAATTGACGTTTTGCAGTCAATACGCAAATTAAGAGTGACTAAATACACCTATCTAACTTTATTTGCTAAACTTTATTACTGACGGAATTAGATTTGGCTATTTTAATAATCTTTCTACATTTCTATATTTTCTTCCATTTTCCTTCACTGGAATCACCTCGACTAATGCTAAACAGAGTGTATTGCCAACTTCATAAGTTGGCTTGAGTATCAATTTGAGATAAGGTTTTCAATTGTAATTGCTATGACGGCTTGTCCCAGGTCTCTTATAACGGCTTCTCTTCAAACCTGTGCAGTCGACTGGTCTTCGGACTCCCGACTTCACTCCTTTTTGACCTGTATTTCAAGTCCACACCTCGAAAACCTACAAGAAATTGCCCACGATTAAAACTTCAGTAAAATTTGAATGAGTATTAAAGAACGAATGCATAAGTTAACTGTAACGTTTTTATTATCATTTACTTACAATAGTCCAGGCACTAGTAAAATTTCTCCGCCCGGACCTGCGGTTGAGAAGATGATTTAGAGTATGAATACACTTTGCATGTAGATAAAAAAAGGCATGTCAGAATAAAATAACATCTCAAGCTTTTTAAATTAACATCCAACAGCAACAAACCAGTCGCATACCCCAAACGCCAGTAACTTGGCTAGCTGAATACAGTCAATCAATGAGCAAAACTAATTCTTCACCCTTCCCTCACCACCCCCAATAAGGCGGGTAACTCAGTTTTCGTATTACCGGTTATAAAGTAATTTCCATATTTACCCCCTACCGTTTCATTATCGCGAAAGTGCAGCGCGAATAGAAATTCGATTTCCTCGAATTCATCGAGAGGCCGCTTAACAACTCCTGTATCTGCTCTAACGGTTATTTTATCAGTCCATTTTACTTTTCAGGAATGCTAAACGACAAAAGCATAGCCCACGCGATAGTAACCATAAACGACGTCAATGACAACGAGCCTTATTTCCAACACCAGGTATATTACACAGCTGTCAACGCCATGGCAAACGTCAACGATTTCGTTACCAACGTCACGGCGTACGATCCTGACCTTGGCGTGAACGGGTCGTTGACTTATTACATAAAAACCTCGAATTTGTTCAAATACCATTCGAATAAAAGTTCGGGATCGATTATTCCATCGCCATTCAACATTAGCCAAAGGGGAGAAATATACACTGCCACTTATTTGGCAGAAAATAATCAGCATAGGTTCGTCCTCAATATTATCGCCAGGGAAGACGGTTTTCCAGAAAGAGAAGCAAACGCGCAAGTTTACGTAAGTTCCATTTCAATAATATCATGTGATTGAGAAATAAGTAAAAATGACACTTTCATGCATAATATGAAAACAATTGTTTATGTGAGCAAAATTTACAAAACTAAATCTACAAATTACTGGGGAACATAATAGTATATTATGCAACAAGTGCGGTAAACGGCATTTGACTCACGAGTTTTTAATAAACGAGTGAGTTAAAAAGTTTACCGCACGCTATACTTTTTCTACGTCGTTAGTTTTTGGGAACATTTTCGCAAAACACGAATACATTCACTGACATGACTGTCAGAATTGACAAACTCAAAATTCGAAGCGTGGGAAATATCTCCGAAAACATCCGATTGCTCCCAAACCTGTACGGTCAAATCCCGGAAATGTCCGAAGTGACTCGGATTCGTGGAAAACGAAACTGACGTGGTAAAGCGACGCTTCTCGCACGCTAGATCGGTGCGTAATTAGGTATTTTACAGACGGGAGTAGAAAAATCTTATTTATTGTAATGGCATTATTAAGTTATTTGGAACAAGAACCGCATTTAAAATGTTTTTTTGGGGTTAAATAATTCTAACTCATGTAATCAAAACTGGGTGATTTGGAAGATCCAGATAAGAAAAAAAAATCATTTGAATGTTTCCCAAAAATTGCCTGCCACTATTGCTAAAGATAAATTTTTGGAAACTATGCATTATGAAAGTTTGCAATTCGATCTCTTTAAATCTATTGAAATAAACAAACATTCTTCAGGGGCGCCTCGTGGGCAAGGTGCTTGGGACAAATATTTTAACATTTTTGAGAACAAATTACTAAATCTCAAAGATTTGCAATCAAACCAGGTACTCTTCTCTTAACTCTCTAGAACACTGCGTTTGCTATAAAAACGTTTTCTAGATAAACTGGAGTCGTTGTGTTATTCGGCTAATACAACAAACATTATATTCTATAAGCATATCAATTTTCAATATTTTATGATGCCATGATTGCCAAGAATCATTTTCAAGAGGCCGTTTAATTACTTAATTACTTATTAATTATTTAATTACTAAGCATTCATTCTAAACTTATTTCTATAGATACAAATCACCCGTATGAAACATGTAAAACTAAATTTTTCTAGATTTTCAAACAAATTGCTAAGTCGCTACATTTTTTTCTGTATAAACATCTAGAATAATGTATTTCTAAGTCTAATATTTGCCATAAACTTTTTTTTAACTATGATGAAATTTTGTTGTACAGGAGAAAAAATATTTTTTTAAATGCGATATTTTGAGTGTAGAACAGGTTTTTAACATTTTTGGTTTAACAGCCTTTTTTACCTTTTACACAGTTAAATTAGAAACTAGGTATGGGCTCCAGAGCAGAAGCTAAAAAATTCCCCGGTTATATTTCTGACAAAAGCATTACTCTTTTCTTTATTTCTATTTTAATTTGAGCAGCAAATTATTTAGCTAGAAAACTTTTACCTCGATTTGCCCCTGAATATTAATTTAAAATTTTATGTTAGGGTAGCTAATGCAACAAATTTTATTTTATAGTGTTTGTTTTGAGAAGGAATAACATAGAAACCTATCTGGTCAACATATATTCTTTGAACGAGTTGTGGATATTGACAATGATTTATTCTAACAACGAGTTAAAAGCGTGTCCCGTTTTTTCCATATTGGTATTGTTTTGTAATTAATCCTTCAAAATAGAAAAAATCCGTCTCTCATTTTTCGATGTTTCAATTCTACTATCAATACAAAAAACTTACTTTTGATATATTATCGACTAAAACTTCGCGAAAGTTCCAACCAAAAACCCTACAAAAACACATTTATTTTATTAATTTATTAATTCGTCCTGTTCTTATGTATTTGCACAAACTTGTGATGTTTTGCTTGCTTCGTTATAGGTTTGGATTTTTGAGCCTGAGCAGTTAATCCGCGTCATTCTGTCAAGACCAAGAGAAGAAGTCAGAAAAGAAAAAGACGGAATCGTTTCGGAACTGAGTAATGCGACTCAGAGTCTAATAATAATCGACGAAATCAGATTCCATATTGGCGACGGAGGAAGGAAAAACGAGGAATGGTAATTACTCGTTTTCAAAATTTCATTATATCTAGGTTTGTGTATTGATTCCGGGAAATCAATATTCGCTGATCATTTGATGATATAATATTTGAAGTACTTCTTCATATCTTCATTGTTTTGCATCTGTTAATCTATGTTATAACAAGGAAAGTTTTATTTTCTCTACAGTGTTAATGTTATAGAAAACTAAAAATAGATTAATTTTATTTTTGAGGTGATCACTGCGTACATAACTTAATGGAGGTACATCATACATATCTTTCTAATATCCCGTGTCAACCAGAAAACAATTTTGCTTATTTAATTAAATAATTTGCTATAACTTTAGAACAAACGCTTTTCGATGTCTTATCATTATATTAATTAATCGAATTAATAGGAAACAATCTTATAAATTCGGAAAATAGGCTTTCCTTTTTAAGCAATATCAAAAGATAGGTGAATTTTATGAAGAAATATGTTAAAATATTTTAAAGTGATATGGACCCATTATTAACAGCAAAAACTCAAGTTTGTCTAAAAATAACATCCCAAAAAGCTTTGACTTATCGCGTTGTATGGAATAACTCTGCACACATTACGATAGTTCAATCTTCACCAGAAACCGAAACTTAGCATTACTTAACAGACTTTTACTTTTTAGTGCAACAGTCACTAAAATCATACACAATTAAAAAAACTGATTTACTGATATATATGTTGTGACATTCATGTAGTAAGGTCAACACTACGTGCTGCATATGCATTTCAATAATCGTGAACTAAAAGATACACAGAGGTTTTTATTTGTATAGGACGGACATGTACATCTTAGCAGTCAATCCGAAAACGAACACCATCCTGGCAGTGCCGGACGTACTTAAAGTGATTGATTCGAAGTATGATTTTCTCAAAGACTACTATGCCGGATTTGCAATAGAGAACGTTGTACCTGCGTTCGTTCAGGAGCGCGAAGAATCATTCGATCCTGCCTTAGCGGCGTTAATAGCCTTATTAATAGTCCTGTTTGTTGGCGTACTGTCGTTTATAATCGTGTGTTGCTGCTTGAGGCACTGGGTCATCTCTCCCCACGACGACCTGAAGAAAAAGGACGCTCTCATAAAGAAGGCCATCATAGACGATTTAACCACAACCGAAAATCCGTTGTGGATAGAACAGTAAGTTATTTGAGCAATGCTGTACAGGATGGACCAAATTGCACAATTTCTGAAAGAGATGCTGATGCTGGTAATATCAGTGTCTGAAGTATAGTTTTTATAAATAACATAATGATAAGGGCCGCATGTGGATATCTAATACCACTTCAGAGTTATAGGGAGTTTTTCCAAATATTGCCGTAACTTTTTTGTCATAAAAGTTTTTGAAGTGTTTCTATGAAAGCATTTCCGATGTCAATAAAATATTTTAAAAACTAAAAGTTTAATAGAAGCATCTATTTTGTATCGTATTTTTTGAATCATTGAAAAGAATTTACCTTTCCACTCCGAAAACTCAGTTTTAGAATACAACTAGAGGAAAAGATCAAGTGTTTTATATTATTGGAAAGGTAATTTTTAAACAAAAGTTGGAACTAAATTTTGAAAATGAATGAAACTCTGAAAATTCACGTGCGGCTTTTGCCATTATGCTTTTTATTAAAATTAAAAAGGGTCCAATTTGGCCTACCTATAAAATTTGTGAGTTAAAATTTGATCATAATAGGTCATTGGAATAGGAAGGGCTTTTTTTATATTGTGTGGAGATTCAAGTGCCTGTTGGGAATACCGAATTTCAAACAAATTTTTCTCTCTTTTTTCTCCAAAGATCGCCAAAAGAAAAACATTTTGAGCATATAATTTTCCTATTTTGTACTAATATGGAAAAACAATCTTTAACTTTTTTTAATTTATTTGGTTGGTCGATGTCTAACAAATTGTCTATTTAAAATCATCTCCAAGGACTAATAAAACAAAAGAGATGCTAGTAATTGAACCCATCTGGAGACATTTAAGACATTTCCGTTTCTTAATAAACTTATTCGTTAGGATATACCACAAAAATCCCTTTGGCGTTTTTCTTTATAGGGAAAAAAGTTCGATATGAATAGTTTCTTAGAAAATCCGTCTTTTAAAAAAAATCTCTCTCTTCCCTTATCTTGCTTGAATTAATTTATTAAAAGCTGAGAAAAATATATTTGGAAAATTGTCACAATCGAAATTTAATACCTTTCATCCATTCATACCAAATTGGGACTTATTAAAAGGAATGTCGTTGGCAACGCTTTCCCAAATAAAAAGCTTTTCTTTGCCGATAAAATCGTGGCTAATACGGAAAGCCGACGAGGCGATATTCTGAACCGTTTTCTCTCTCCCTTTCTGCAGGAAACTTAAAATTTATGAGGAACAGGAACTCACTATGCAGGTTTTTAACGAACCAGAACAGAACATGATGAATAGGAGAGATAGCGAAGATTATGTGCCGGTAAGTCTTGTTTGAAATTAGTTTTCAAGAACTCTAAGAATTGATAGACTCTTTGGTTTTGTTTTATCGGCAATTGTTAATGCTCGGTGTTTTGAACTAAAAGCCTTGCTCCTTGCCTTTTCGTTTTCGTTTGCGCTACCTTATTTCGCTGAAAATGTTCTTCATTAAGAACGCTAGTTATCTAATCAATCGGATCCAGGTAAAAGTAATAATCTCCGGGTCAACGCCATTTTCGGATGATTATTGCCACTCAGTTGAAACTTCGTATATCGCTTTTTTATATCGAGGTCGCCAACTTTTTTTATTTTACGAAAGTTCTGGAGAATGACGCGTGTCCCTTGAGACTCCGCCGAAAAGACATTGTTTTGCTACGAGCCAAAATTATAGCGACATATCAAGAGCGATTCTATTGCCATATTTAACGGTGATTATCAATAAGGAATATTTACGGATCGCTACATGCAATAAGTTCGTTCGAATATTGTTGTAATATGTGTAGTTCTAGCAGTTGTGCGTCTTGTGAATTCCTACTACGCTGCAACACTCCAATGTATTGAAATATAAGAGTTGAATGAACCACTTTGTCGAGATAGCTTAAAAATCCATTCTCCAAAACAGATATTATGTTGGGAAATTAATAAATATTAACAACCACCACTACACGTGTTGTAACCTGGAATTATCTTTAGTATAAATCGTTTGGAATCCATACCACATGGCAGCATAAAGTTGGCTCCCTTGTCATCCCTCCGTTAATATTTAGTTTGATTTGGCGCCGTACGCGAAGTTGACCCCTATTTTTGCATATATGATTCTGTTTGTTTTTTATCACGTGTCGTGCAAGTAAAATTATACATACCTATTATATTCTCAAAAATTTTCTGTTTCATGGAGTAAAGATGATAAAGTGTTTTATGCAATTAACATTAATTAATTAATTATATGTGATCATTCTGAAAACATCTGTCGATGAAACATTCTATGACATTTCAATAGCCATGATACAAATCGCAAGTCGGGAAGTTTAAAAGCTGTAATACACTCATCAATCCTCAATCATCAATAAAATATTTTTTAAAAGAAACAACAAAATAAAATTACCTCTATTACTTGCATAAAACAAACACATAAAAAAAGAAATGAAATCGGGTTCAGTCAAAAAGAGTAGTAAAGAAAGGTAATATTAAGAACAATGTACCAAATCCTAAGCAGTCAATTGTAAATTATTTCTAGTATTTTGTTTTTATCCATGGTAGACATTTATTTGTTTCCCCTTTTAAGTGCATGAACATAAACATACTTTCTATTTTCTATTAGTTTCTTATTTGCGCAGGAGAATACCAGAATTCATTATGCTCATCTCAAAAATTTTTGAATACTATCTTATTAAAAAAAAGAGTTATCGATAATTGGCTCTAAAACGAAAACGGCGCCAAACAAAAATTGACGGTCATTCAATAATACCACCGGCGATTTTATCTTGGTTTTAACACATAATTCTCGTATGGCTTAAAATAAAACGCAGTAGTTGTCAATATCCATTGAAAAAATAGTATACTATGCAACAAGTGCCATAAACAAGTTTATTCGACACGAGCGGAGTGAGTGTTTAATAAACGAGTGACTTAAAAAGGTTACCTAGCGTGTTGCATACTATACTTTTTCTACTCCCGTCTGTAAAATACCTAATTATCCACCGATCTAGCGTGCGGGAAGCGTCACTTTACCACGTCAGTTTCGTTTTCCATGAATCCGAGCCACTTCGGACATTTCGGACAATCTAATGTTTTCGGAGACATTTCCTACGCTTTGAATTTTGACGTTTGTCAATTCTGACGGTCATGTCAGTGTCCGAAGTGGCTCATATCCGTGGGAAACGAAACTGACTTGGTAAAGTGACGCTTAGGCATTAGGCATTTTACAGACGGGAGTAGAAAAACACTTTTTTTTCTACTCTCGTCTGCAAAGTGCCATCAAGTGCAATCAATGTAGCATGCGGAAAGCGTCATATAGTCCATACAGTTCAAAGATATAATCTGAGGCTCTACACTGTGTTCTAGCATGTTATCAGCTTCCCACATTTATTCTTTATTTCAAGCATGTTCGACGCACATACTCCGTTTTTTAGAGTCAACTGTCTTTATTCCCTCTTTAAGGAAGATTTCAACGTCTCTCATTTTAAAAGTGCCTTTTTGCTTGCGCCTATACCAATTCTATGGGGTTGAATTCACATTGATATGGCGGAAGTACCGTTATATTTCGTTTTGAAGCAGCGATTAGTAGCTCATTTTTTAGTATATCTTTCTGAAATTGCATCTTATGTAAAGTAAGTCAAAAAATGATATGTTGTCATTCTCATATTACCGTTTCTATTCTGCTCCTGTACTTCTCTTCTCTCAACACATTTCAACTATTTTTGCAACTCCTAATGTTGAGTTTTGGTGGCAAGGTGCTTTGAATACATTGAGAATTATAAATTCCTATTATAATTAGAAAGCGCAGTTTTCTTAATTCGTTTCTCAGTAATAAATTCATCCATTTTCAAGAACGAACTTTTAATTTCAAACACTGAAGAACAGGTAGCTCAACTCTTGACAGTCATCAAGATTTACAATTTAATAATGATTCATACAAATTGTACGCTACTGCTTTTTTCAAAAATAAATTATATTTGTCATATCGAGATTCAGTTCTGAATAAAAATCTTATTTAAATACTGGAATTAAATTAAAAGTATTTTGCTATGGAGCATGAATTGCTTTGTTCAATATTGATTTTAGAAACATCGTCGTGTTTTGTCCCTAGAATACATTGCTATTGCTAGACACAATGTTCGATTAAAGAAAAAAATTGTAAAAAATGCTTATAATTATTTTCTTAATGGAGGGACATAAATGCTGCAAATTAATTATGCAATTTGACTAAGTTACCCTTGACATCTGTGAATAATGTTAAATCCCATTCAAATATGGGTTCCAGCAAATGTTCTGGCAAGACGATAAGGAAAGTTTAAGATATGTACAAGGAGCAAGTGGTGCCTACACTACGAACACTGAAAGAACGACAGGTTAATGACACAAATGAGGTGTCACACAATGGGCTTCAAGTATTTAAAAATAAGCAAGTAAAAATACCGGGAAGGGTGCCGAGTGTCAAACCAACATGGTGAAACTCCATCCAAAAGATTCTCGGTTCTTCCGGAAAGTATAGAACAATAGTTCCTTCTAATAGAGGGAAATGAGTAACAGTTTGACGGAAAACGGTTGAGAAAAAAAATGTTTCAAAATTGTCTTCTACTTAACATTCATCAGAATAACGATATAGTAATGGACAATACCAATGCATAAAGTTCGGGGGTCACATAATGCAAAGTTCGAAATTCAAAATGGCAGCAAATTATATTTGTGACTCATTAACAGAGATCAGGTTAGGTTCTAGGTTAATTGCTAGTGTTGTAAATTTAATAAAGGTCTGTGTTAGTGAAACGCACCCGTATATATGGAAAAATTCGGTTAACCCAGTTATTACTGTAGAATATTTCATATTATTCATATTATAATTATTGTAATATTAAATTATATATTATTATAATTGTTATACTTAATTATAAATAATTTTAGGTGAAGATATGTATATAATAATATAAATTTGTATATTGTAAAATAGGTGTATATAGATACCAAGTTAACTGAAATATTTTAAAACTTGTGTAGTTAAGCTTAATTATACACCTTCTGTGCCAGTATTCGTTTTTTATTTCCGCAGTCCGACCCTGCACTACGTCTTTTTACATTTCTTATTTACAACATCTTTACTGCCAAGCTCTTCTCTCTACAACGGGACTGGCACAGGTAGTTTTATGCACCCAATAAGGAGCGATTATTTTCTAACCTTATACTTGAATGATTTTAAGGAAAAAATTATGTATTAATGTTTTTGTGCAATCGCTTTATTTTTTATATATAAAAATATAAAAACAATATAAAAAATAAGTTCCTGATGTTCATTGAAATTGATGTAAATATTTTGTTGATTATTTGGTAGAGGCCCACAATGCTAGTGTTTCATATTCAATTGTAAATTATTAAATTACATTAATTTAATTCTAATGATTAAATAAGTTTTTTATTGCCCGCAGGCAGTGCTGTCTATTTTTTCAATAAAATATATAGGTTCATGCTTACTCGTGAAAGTAGAAAATTAATTTTCACCCGAAAAAACTGCTTCTAAGCATAGTGGGCTCCTACCAAATTTCAACCAGATATCTAAAACTGTTTTACTGTAAATGGGGAAAACCGATTTGTTTTTAATTTAAAATCCTGTACCAAAAATAAAATAAATTGATTATTTTACCTAAACAAAATAAGTGGCCAACTTGTACAAAGGCGTTTTCTCAGCGAAAATGAAGAAAGGCAAAGGCAAAATTGTTTTGAAAGGGAAAGTTTGATTTTCAATCCACGAATTCAAACATTAGATGTGGTCACATTCAGCAGTTCGTATAGCGAGAAAACATATAAAAATTTTTATGTGCAAGTTTTTTTTTTATTAATCAAATTTTTTATTAACCAAATTGTTCAAACTGTTTCCACTTGCACTGTCTTTGTTGTATCTAATCCGAATGTTTCGTTTGGCGTTTTCCTTTAAACTTGATTAGGTAGCACCTATAGTCAGGTTTAAAATGGGATTTATCTGAGCCAGTATTCGTTTAATATTTAAGGTGTTCGGATATGGAGGATAAAAAATATTCAGACACTTCAAAACAAACTTGGCGTGTTTGACCGTTTTCCCTTTCAATACAAAAAAAATTAAAGAGTATATTTTTTATTTTGTTTTGACAGTATATGTTTTGCTTGCATAGAAACGTAGGCATGTCGATAGTTGATGGTATCTCACTGTAAATATTTTAATCACATCGCTAACTATTATTCTCCTCTCATTCTCTTACCAAGCGCTCTCAAATATTTCTCAGGAGGACAATACTTACGCGACCATTCAGCATCCGCACAAGAGGACTGCGTCCTCACATTTAGCCTCGACAATGGGGCTAGCGGATGATTTGGGGGATTACGCTACATTGAAAGGGGTTGTTCATCAGTCGGGTAGCAATAACAGCTCTTTGAGGGGAGCCCCAAATGTAAGCTACATTTTTCTATTTGACGAGCGTTTCATTTTAAGATAAACGCACCTTTTCAGTACTATGAAGCAGCTACAATGGGTTTCCAAGGTTCGACGTTTCAAGTTCCCGACCGATTGAGCGACAGCGGCGGAGGTGGGAGTGAATACGGTTCATACCGGGCACGACCAAAAAGTACGACGGGTCTCACGATCGGTTACGATGGTCAGCCCGAATATGTTGCCGAACTGATTTAAATCCGTAGTGTGTTTACGCGCGCAAATTTCGAACAAATGCGGTAGTTTTAGTTACACTGAACGTGTTGGCGAGTGTATGTGTTTATTGATAAATATTCCACACATTTTTGTAGTTTCAACAACATCAGGGGCCGATTTCTAGGCATTTAAAGTAAACTATCAAAATTTTAAAAGACATTCTTTTGCCTAAGGCCACATTGAAGTGTTGTTGGAAAGCAAATATGTGCTGTGCTATTGTAAACAAACATATACATTCTAAATAAGCGATTTTATATTTTAAAGTGACAATATTTGCCGGCTAGCAATGTTGAATAAGAGATTAAAAAAGAAGTTTTTATTTTTAATAAAAAGGAGAACTTGTAAAACTCTGTTTCGATTTTTGAAATGGTTTTTTATGAATAACATCGACGAGTATCCCAGCAAATTTCCTTCACCATCATGCGTAAACTTTTTATTTGTCTTCAATTTTTACAATCTTGTTTAATTAATAATCTACTGATCAAGAGTAATTTGTTGCATTGATATAGTAGTACGGGGTTATTTTCATTATGTGTCCGATATTGCACAAGATGATTCTTGAAGTATTTTTAAGAAAAAATATAATCATAAAAACAAACTAAAGCAAAAATAAAAATAATTCTTACTAATTATTGTTGGTATATAATTTAAATTGCCCGAAGAGCTTTTTTAAAACTTACTCTATAAAAAAACATCAAGATTTTTCATGAATTGCTCTCATTTTTTCATGCGAAAACGGTACGTCGTACAAAGAGATAAAATTTACTCCAGATTGAATGGAAATTTCGAAAATTATGTTTATTTTTAAGGAATTGGTGGTCTACCTTTTTCTTCTTTCAACATATCCAGTCCAAACCTCTTACAAATGGCACTGGGATTTTTTTAAAGAAACATTTAGCATCAAAAAATCACCAAATTTATTGTTATATTCAGCCAACTACTAGGTTTATTCTTGAAAACGGCATGAAATTAATTCTTTAAATTAATTAATTCTTTAATTAAAACTTTAAACTTGAATTTTAATTATTGTTGAAACAATAGAAAATTAATTCGTAAACCAACATAATGAAAAAGCATTTTGTAAACTTAATCAAGGGAATTACCGTTTTTAGTACGAAATGCTATTTTGTATAATGATTTCAAATGTTTATTTTCAACATTGGAACAAAAAGTGTGGCGATAGTTGCACTAAAAATAGATACAGCCTATTCCAATGTCAAATTAAGGAATATTTTAACCATACATACCATTGCCACTTTTTGGGATACTTCAACAAATACGGCGATAGATATCAATCGTGGAACCTTTAATGTTTATTCCTATATCTTATGTCTTAATTTATTCCCTTAGAACTTAAGTTAGTAATAAATAATAACAATTGTAACTAGAGTAATTTATTTTGTCTATTTTCGTAGCTACCGGCCATATCAGAATTAAGTTTATATCGAGGGTTCTCATTGTGGAAAAAGTTGTGAAAAGTTAAAAATAAATGTTGTACACACTTGTACATAGGAATGAATAAATATGTTTACTTAAAAATTTGTTAGTTTACTTAAGAATACAAAAATAGCGCTCTAGAATTGAGACATATTGGAGAAATTTTGTACAAGTACAACATCTATCTATGGGCGTTAGTCATCCCAAAACAACATATAGTATAAAAAACAAGAAATATTTTAAAATATAATAAAATTCAAGGGCGCCAACATATTTTATGAAGACGACGCAGTTTGATTTGAATTATTTTCGATGCCATTTCTGTCCTTAATGATATTGGTATGAAAAGCCTTTAACTGTTGAACTTTAATCTGTGGAACAGAGAGGACGGTCTTTGGATGTTCCGATTCTTGCTTGTTATCCAATTGTTTCGCCCAATTATCCTGTAATAGAAACAAATACTTACAACTGACTAAAACAGTCTTTTCGCATAATTTTTTTTCAACGATACTGAAAAGAGTGCCATTAGTGAGGATTCCAGGCTAAACTTTTTACATTATTTAAAAAGAAAATAAATGTTTTAGTTAGGTGTCATGGAACACTCCGTTATTATTGAAGGTGCCATAATATTTTTGTTCCGTAAATTATATATTGTTTAGTTGCTTTATCTAATGATTCAATTTAAATTTATATATATATATATATATATATATATATATATATATATATATATATATATATATATATATATATATATATATATATATATATATATATATATATATATATATATATATATATATATATATATATATATATATATATATATATATATATATATATATATATGATGACACTATATTCCGGGATATCATCCGTTCGCTCGTTGAATGCAGGATTCCAGTCGGAGTTCAACGAGCGAACGGATGATATCCCGGAATATAGTGTCATCATATTTTTCCGTGAATCAATACGTGAGAATATATATATATATATATATATATATATATATATATATATATATATATATATATATATATATATATATATATATATATATATATATATATCTTTTGATTTTTACTTAATACGTTTACGGTAATACGACCCTCTGACGTTTTAAATTAATTTGTGTTCTTGATCCTTAAAATAAAATTATTTTCTATCATGGACTATTTTAATATATTGTCCATAACATGTCATTTTTTACTATTTTTATTACTTACAGAACGAAATACTTAACTATAACTTTGGATTATTAACTATAATTTTGGTATTAAAACGACAATTATATAAAATTAAATAATTTAAAAAAACAAAAGAGGAGCGCATTACTAAAAAGCTAAAAGATATTTTTGTTAATACACCGCGAACATAAAATTTTAAAGAAAGCAATATAATTATGAAAAAAAATATAGCTATGTTTTAAATATTCTGATAATGCTGACGTTCCTTAAAAAGCAAAATTTTGAATTCAAATGTTTAATCCCCTTCTTCATCTTCTTATTTTAAGACTATGTCTTGTGTTTTCAAGGAAGCAGCCTAAGCTGTGACTCCGAGGTCCAGCTCTCATACCAACGCTTTGGTGGTGTTCCGGGAGGTCTGCTTGTATTGGGTCTATCTTCCTTTGCGATTTTCGCCAGTCGATCGTCTTCCATTCTATTGACATGATCTCTCCATCCTCTTCTTCTAGTTCTGGCCCATCTCACTATATCCGAAACGTTACACATTCTTCTAATTTCATTGCTCCTTATTCTGTCTCTTAGCGTTTTCCCTGTGATTGACATTAATGTCTTTATCTCGGTCGTTCTAAGAATCTGTTTTAAGTAGCTGCAGTCTCCGCCCTCGTTTCTATGGTGTATGTCATAACTGGTCTAAAACACGTTTTATATATCCGTGTTTTGCTTTCGATACTTAAGTATTTATTCCTCCATATCACGGTTCGAAGGAATCCCGATATCCTAGATGCTACTATTGTTTGCATTTTTACTTCTTGTTTCAGGTTCCTATTGCTCGTGATGTTAACCCCTAGATACTTAAAAGACATAACTCCACACTTTTATTATAAAATGCCAGCTTGCATCTTCTGCGTCCTCTCGCTATTGTCGAGGATTGTGGCTTCTGTGTCGATATGATCATATTGAATTTTCATGCAGCTGTTTCGAATCTGTGTAGTAGTTTTTGCAGATTATCCTCATTTTCCGATATCACAACCGCATCATCAGCGTAGCAAATTATCTTAACCTCATGTTTTCCCATTCTGTATCGTCTGCCTGGAGTTTTCACTTTTATTATGTTGTCCATTATAATGTTGAAGGGTACTGGACTGAGGATCTCCTTGTCTGACCCCTGTTGAAACTGGTATTTTACTGGAGAGTTCGTTGTTTACCCTTACATACGTGCTATATCCGCTGTTCGTGTCCCGTATGATGTCTATTGTCCTTTGGTTTACGTCTCGTTCTTTTAGCAGCTCAATGACGTCATGTAATCTCACTCTATCAAATTCTTTTGTTAAATCTATGAAGCACATAAACGCGGTTTTATTGTACTCTATGGCCTTTTCGGCAATCTGTCTTAAAATGAATATAGCGTCTATGGTCGATTTATTTTTTTATCTTTTTTTTATTTATTTATTTATTTTTTTTTATAAATTTTTAATGTGCCACTTTATTTCCATATTTACAAAATCACAATATCTTTCATAATAAGGAATAGGAAATTTTCAAAGTTTCCTAGTAGAAACTGCAAGTGTTATTCAAACTCTTCTTCTAGGTCTAAAACATATTTAATTTTTCTTGGTCAACTATGGCTTCTCTTTCCTAGCGGACGTTGTCCTGAATCTTCCTTACCAACTGGTCCTAATGATTTCATTTTATAGATATCTGATGTTTTTGTGCTGTCAACTCTTGTTTCGGCTTGTTTGGCCGCACTACGCTCCTGTAGTGGACACCTTAAAAGTTAAAAGTTTGAACTCCTTCGTTGACCTTCTTGGTGGTTGTTATTTAGACACCGAGTAAAGTTAGAGCTTAAAACGTAACATATTTTAGCTAGAGTTTTTGTCTTTTCGGAAGACATCTTTGGCTGGAATTTTTTTAAGGACAGTTCAAAGTTTTGTGCAGCCTTTGGACATCATTTTCACTTCCCAATGTTTTTTGGGTTCTTTTATTATTTTGTTGACAACGAAGTTCAACAAGAATCGACTTAATGCGACTTTTGGATTTTTCAATATCAGTAAAGCAGAAGAACAAGGGTTTATTATATTCTAAGTCTTTCTCGCTTAATTATATAACAAATATTTCAGAATCGGCCACATTTAAAACCCTGTTTGTCTTATCAACATGCTTATCCATAGTTTAGATCCCCCATATTATGTTCGCATGTTTTCAATTCAATCTGGTTACACCATTTTTCTATTCTCAAAAATGTTAGGCACTACGCTTTTACGTCATAAACTAGAATTAGTAGTCGCTCGAGAAAGGCCACATTTTACTGGCAAAAAAAGATCTTTAACAAAAAATCGTTGCAGCAACCAATATTTTTGTTGAATTTTTTTTCGAACTTCATACATTGAGGAAGCCTTGCACCAAGGCGGCAATTGGCGACATTGTCTCATATAATAACATTTTGCCAGGTATGGCAACTTCGTTCGTTCAATGTTCAAACGTTTTACGTCAAATTTAAAAACAGTAATTATTGATTGAAGATTATGAAATGAATAAAATATTTTGGCATCCCTAAAAAAGTTAAATTATTGACCTACACGAATCGCCACTGGCCAAAAATCTTAAAGATATTAATAATCACACTAATGCATGGATACGGTGGCGATTTTTCGCGTCTTGTTTTGATATATGGGAGGCCATTTTAGTTAATAAATAATGTACATCAGTTAAACTCGTTCTAATAGGAAAAATGGTTTCGGCAATTGCATATTGCAGTCAATTTAGTTCCCGTGGTAGAAATGGATTCCCGCATGCTACAACGTCGCACTAAACCGATTTGTGCAACTGAAGAGTTACTCAAAAGGCTGTAGCATGTTGCCATTTTGATCAGCTGGTACATTATTCTTAGCTATTTTTCTTGCTTTCTTTTTATATAACTATCTAACTAAATAGAATATTAAGGGTTATTTGGGTGGTCATTTAATCACTTACCAAAATGTCGGTGAGCTGGATGTTTAGATTCTTCAGCATAATTGTGGCCGAATGTGCTTTCGATCGAATTAAATCTGACGTTGACTGTTGCGCCCTTTCCAGATGAGCAGTCTAGATTAAAATTAGATCAAAAACATTGTCTATCGGATATAGATACAAGGCGTTTCAAAGAATATGCTGAAGATTTGACCGCCAAAAAAAAAGTTCATATAAACATTGGTCTGGAAATGGCATTTATAATAAAGGGTTTGCTTTAACTAGATTAAGATATGAATAAATAAAGACCATCAAAATTGACCAAACGTATTTTTATAAACTTTTATGGATTATTTGGTACACAATCACACAATTTAGTTATGGGCCAATATGAACTTGTTTTCTTTTGTTTATATTTTATAATTATTTGTATTGCTGCTTACCTTAACCATCGAATCGGCAGCATCCAGGAACGTTGTCACCAGCGTTAAAACAGAGTGAGCTAAATTTTTATTGACTCTATTTATTACAGATGTGCTGAAATTGACCAAATGAACAACCCTTCTAGCAGATTCTCTTGTAAGAAGAACAATAAGTTGTTCCAGATTTTCAGGTCGGGCCTGGTTTTCCGGTTCGTCTTGACTCAAGCTTGACCAGAGCTCTTTTCCTTTCTTCAATGCTAATTTCGGATCGGTCGCTACCTAAGTAAATAAAAACACTACATTTTAGTATCTACCCTTACAGAATATTACTCGACATTACCAACTCGGCTACATAAATCAGAACGTGGACAGCTTCTGCGCTGTGTTCTTTCAAAGCTTTGACTTCGGCCAACGTTTTTTTGGTCAAGCGCCTTTTTAATTTTCGGCCCAATCTATCGACGTGATGAATTGTGTGGATAGCTTTGCCTGCTGGTCCTTCCGATACGCCCCCGTCGACTTCTGATAGACATTCAATAACTTAAGTCGAAATATTTTACAAACAAAAGGTTCTATGGGAGGAAATACAATCGTGAATAGTTCCATAGTGAAAATACCAACTACCAAACCAACTGGAATTAAAATGTATACTCGAAAATATCTATAATCAAAATTCATGAATCAAAAGCATGAATTTGTATAAGCCTATTGATATTATTGGAAAAAGGTAACAAATGTATAAACTAAACTAAATAAAAATAAATAAGAACTAAAAGTTCAGATTTTCACGAAATTATTTTTACATGACAATTGTTTCGACGTGTATTTATCAAATATACGAAACAATTGTCATGTAAAAATATATAATTTCGTGAAAATATGAACTTTTAGTTCTTATTTATTTTGATAAATAGATTTTCATTAAGTAAAAGCCACCTCAGTTCAGACTAAACTAAATACTAGTAGTTTATGATAATTCAAATAATTTCGGAAAAAATCAACATGCTTTACGAATAAAGAATAATAATCAAATTAACATCAACATTAACTGATTCTAACAACAAATTTCTGTAAATTTATTTTAAGAAAATTTAATTGAATTTAACTGAAAAAAAAAAGAAAAGTAATAACGACATGATTCAATAACCATTTTTATCTCCTGAAAATACGATGAAGTATTGCTATTTTGTTTACTAATATATTCAGAAGCCAATTTGGTATTATACAGGATGCTTACATAAAGTTTGGTGACGGCCGTATGCTATAAAATAAATTTAGATATTTGGATACAATTCGAAGACGAGTAAATTAAAAAAGTGTGGTTTTTACTGAAATGTGTTTATGTTTTTTATACAAAAATCGCCACTGAATTTTTTCTTCGACAATTGAAAAAACTAAAATTATTTAGAAGCTAAAATAAACCCAAGTGAATACTCAAACAATGTTTAGATCAACCAAAAAAATATCTTTTGAAGGTGGCGAAATTTATTCAAATGGTAGAAAAAGTATCTTTCCCCATATTAAAAGAGATACAAAAAATAACTTCGAAAGTTATTTCCATAGTTTTCTCTTAGCCACTTTGCAAATATCCTCTTTTCTCTAAAACTAAAATAAACTAACACTTTCTGAGACACGGCTGAGAGTCATTCTTATTTGACTACCCTTACAAGTCGATTAAATTATTTAATTTATAAGTGGACATTATAAGTCAACTTTTTAGAAATCCTTCAAAAGCATAAAGAACAGATTTCTAGATTGCAAAACGAAACGCAGGTAACGGTCATTTATATAAGAGAATCACTAACCATCAACACTCTTATCATCTTCAGCGGCCGGTAAATACCTGTCGACGTATTTGTCAGCAACGTTCAAAGCACCATCTAGCGTATCAGCCGCGAATGCTGTATATTTGCTGGCGAGCACAGCATTCCCAATTTCTTTAACAGAATCGGCACGTTTGAGTACCGGACGAACGATTTTGGTACTGACTGCGTCTTTGGCATATTGCTTTGTGTTCCAGTAAATCTAGGAAATATTGTCGGTATGGTTCTGTTAACAGGTTGGATCAAACCTACCATTTCCGGAGGGAGATTAATAGATGGAATCTTCTCCTCGACAAAGTCTAAACTTTTGCAGACGATTTTATCGACTTGGGAAAGAGGTCGTTGAAGTAAGATGACGGCTGGCGCGGCTGAGTCCACTACCGCGTATAAAGTAGTTTCTGCTTGTACCAGCGTCCAGTTGAACAAACTGTTTGATCTCTATGGTGAACAAACAAGCACACTTTTAATAATCTGAGAGTCGATTTCATAACATCATAAACCATTTCCCTAAACATCAAACCAACCAAAACTAACCAAGTAACCTTGGCACCGAAAAATCTTGGTGAACCCTATCGTCATAACCAGCATAAGTATCGAAAAGTGGTGATATTTGGGTAAATTTATGTAGAACCATCAAACATCCAAATTAATCCGTAAATTCCTTATTTTTAATCTGGTATTTTATTGGATTTAAATATCAGGCATAGATATCGATATATTAAGAAATTAATCTTTTTATCCACGAATCCTTGTCAACACTCATCAAAGGCAGTGATTACGCATGCACTTGATAAAATCTCGCAAAAGTTTAAAGAACAAATATTTATTGCTCGGTACAAACTGCCTACACGGGAAGTACCATATTACAAATCAACAAACATATAGAAATCAAACAAAAAACAAACATCACAAACATCAATTATAGATATTGATTTCCGAGTGCTACGCTATAGAAAGAACATTTTACTTGATAAATTTAGAGTAATTGTTGGGTTATTTCACTTTTCATACCACATTTGATAGAAATTTTTTAACTGCCCGATTTCGAATTGGCACTTAACTTGGCACTCTCTTAAGGACTAGTAAACTTTTTCCTCTAATAAATTAATAAATATCACCTATTTTCACAGAGATAACTGTTTCTCAACATATTATTTCATCTTACCTTAATTTTCTGGTAAACATTTTCAGCATAGTTGAGTCCTGTTTCTACTATAGGAAAGTTTGTTATTCGGTTGACTGATTGCAGTTGTGGTATGTTCAACGATTTTTTCTTTGCTTGGACCACTGAAAATGAAAGGCAACACATAGGTAGATAATTTTTGAGAAACTACTTACTCTTAAAAATTAAAGCTTTAACATAACGGCACAAGTATTTTGCTAAGAACAAAATTATGTTTTCTAAAAGCGCCACTAGCATGCTACGCATTTGCACTAATTCGTAATAGTCTATTGTTAATATTTACGAAGACATTATAAATTGCAATTAACCGTAATTATTATTTTAACGGATCCTTGTTCAATATGTTAGATGTCACATTGTTTTCAGTTCACAATTATTTGTTAGAATACCAAACTACGTCCAGTATAAATTGCGTTGATAATTCAAAACGTTTAAGGCACGAAGTACATTTTTCTAAATGTATTAGACGATAATGGAAACTGTAAAATGTGAAATTTAACGCAGCACCAATTAAAAAATAAATTACTCAAATGTTCCTCAAGAAAATCAATTCTTTCCAGGTGTTTTAATATTTAATATTGACGCAAACAAATATCAAACTTTTATTACAAAATTTTCTTGTTTCTCCACCTATTGAACAGATTTAGAAGTTGGGACCTCAATGGTAGCTTGTTAAAAAAATTTACATGTTTACTACCAATAGATGTACTATAAAAAGTTCCTAAATAGTGGTCATGTTATCATTGTGCATTATTATATTGATTTCCATACGGTGGTCGTCAGTTTGGACGCCCGTGGAAACGTATCTGACAATAATACGGGTTGAAGGTGGAGCTGAAGACACGGTGGCTGCCGCACTTCGGTTGAAACCTCTCCAAGTTCTACGCCGTTTTTGGCGATGAGCCATCTCTCTTCTGGATTATCTAGACCTTTCTGAAATGTCGAACATGGTGAAATGACTAAAATCATAAAAAAATTGAGAAATAGCATAAAATGCATATCAAATATATTTTTCCTCTTTAAGAGAATGTTTCTATCTCGATAGTATTTTCTAAACGATAGTAGCTCAAGGTTGCCTTGCATTAAGTACCGCATTTTTTCCAAACCCGTGCAAACATCTTTCATCTAATCAATCATATTTACATATCAAGCATAATTTAAAACTAAACAGCGCAATAAACAATTTATATTAAATTATTTATTATTGTTAAAATTTGAAAAACTTCCCAGGTCGATTTTGCAGGTCATCCGTTAACAAATCGATTTCATTGATACTTAAGTAAAATTTGCTAAATTTACGACATCTATTCATTTTTAATTGGTCGTATTAAATTACACGTTTTTTTATACACTTTTTACTTTATAGAAAACCTGTTCCAGTATTTTCCAATAAGATAATAATATGTACCAAAATATTTAAAATACATTATTTGGGCTGCAGCCTGTCTTGGGTTTCTTTTAAATGGATTTAAATGTATCAGTATCTACAACATCATCTTATTTAAATGCAACAGACACTTTAACAGTGTCTACGAATATTCGAATCAGTAATCGTCTAAAAGAATTGATATTTTAATTTCCTGATATTCATGGAAAAAAAGCAACCCAGAGAACTTTTTCGTTTATTATTTCTATTGTAGAATTAAATTATAGCTTGTTACGAGTAGATAAACGAGTAAATAAACGAAGTTATATTATCTTAATCCGTTGGTTAAAAACGCAAATACGAAAAAATATTATTTTTATAGTAAAGTATCGGTACTTACCACTTTAAAAATGCAAAAAAACACTACCATCTATCACACTCATGCGAGGACTGTTTTTCGAATCATCGTTTTGGGCTCACATTGGTTAAAAATACACAACATTATCAACTTTTGCCGCATTATATCAAAATTTAACTTAATAACAAGCAACACAACATTTATATTAAGAACTTGCATCATTTCAACATCTGGATCACTACCGAAACTGATTGTGACTATACAAAATATTTCTTCAATGTAAATATACATTGTACAAGAAGTAATTTAACACAATAATTAATATTGCAAAATTAAGTGTCGCTGAAAAAACGATATCGAATGAGGTGGAGAAAAAACGAAATAGTGAGGGAGTAATGAGTATTTTCAAAAAAAAAAATTTTTTTTCACACTCAAGCGATAAAACATTCCTCAAATTAGTTTATGCTGGATAATTCCAATTTGTCTAAAACCACAGGGATCACTCAATTATAGAACACAAATATTAAAACAAAAAAAATATCACCTTAGTTTTCAGATTGTTAGATATTAATCCATATGTATCCAATATTTTAAAGATCTACTATTATTTTAATCGTTGTCCCTCAACTGTAAGCAAAAAGCGTCGTCGTTCATTTCACTTGCTATTGGTGAAGCAAATTAAATGCAAAGAAAATGGTGAAGATCAATTACTATGTATGCTTAAATTCAATAAGAAATATTAAATAGCACCACAAACTAACCAAAGAAACGCCCCTCATATGTCACAAAAAACTATAAAGCTGTTAGATAATATAAGGGCCGGAAATTCCTTAAATTGTCGCGTCTCAGGCGGCTATGACATTTTCCTACAAAAAGAAATGATCTTTCGATCATACAGATTCGAAATAAAAAAAATACCTCTATTATTAATGTAGGCAAAGCCTCTATATCTAGTACCTAACATGGAAAAAAGGTTCATTACCCATTATTATTAATAGAAAATAATATTAATGTTACTTAGAACTTACTAAAAAAACAATAAATGATGTTAAAATTAATATGAAATATTTAAATGTGAACCTATCCATCAAAAACAAATTGTATATCTTGCCACTGAAAGAGAATTTTAGGATTGTCAAACACACATCATTTACTAACAGTCAAAAATTGACAGTCAATTAAAAAAAATCAAAATTTATATTCTGGCTAATAGGACCCTTAGTATTGGCTTGCACTGACACAAATGGACTGCACTTTCGAAACCATTCTAACAAACTGCCACTGTGCTGATGATGAGCCTGCCGAAAAGACGTTTTGCTACGTGGAAGGGAGCAAATTAGATAAAACAATATCGGAAGGGGACCGCGAATTAACCGAAAATGTATGGTTTAATATGAAACCTCCAAAATGGTTTCAAGGTGGTACGCTGACATCGATCAAAATCGAAATAATTGCTATATTTTCAGAACAACATTATCCACTAATAACAGCTCGCCAAATTCAAATCAAAAGAATTCAACTGGCAGGAAACAGAAAACTGACCGGCGACGAAGAACACGCAGATGACAGCAAAGAAAAACCGAATGTCAATTTTCAGAAGAAAAAATCCGCAATTCGTTATCTTTCGAAAACATTGTTATAGAATGTTTCAATTCAAAGAAGAATTGATTAACTAAGTTCTTGGAATATACTGACAAGTTTGGAATATATATAATCTTTTGCAGTATCGTCATGTTAATCATTCCTCTATTATTTGCATGAGAAATTTTCGTTTCCTGGATATCAAACCATGTCTCGTCAAGATATATGATACATGATGCTCTATCTGATATTTCATTTTGCAATTCGTACTACCATGCTTATTATCGATCGATTTCCATTTTTGTGGTCGGACGTTTTTGTTAGTTCTGTTCTTTTACATGGAATGTTTCATCTACTATAAGTATATTTTCTCTTCAAGCTTAAATTTGTTACTTTCGTCACGATATCTTTTATCAGTGATATAGTAAGTTTCTTCTAAACTTTCAATTTCTTTACATTTCCCGTTCAAATGATAAATAATTTTTTATACAACACTTTTAGATTCGGCAGCACTGTGAAATGGTTCCCTGTCTCTCAGGGATTTTATGTGTGAGTTCGTCGGTTGGCAGGAACAGGATCGACATCAGACTTGCTAGATATTTATTACAACTAACACAATAACCATCCGACAAATGCAAGATTGTCAGCAAGTCCCTTGGACTCGACGACTGAAAACCAAAAAATCAATACAACAACCATCCGAACAGTAGCCAGTCCCAGACGGCACTATCCTTCTCACCGAGCTCCGAACCCCGTTAGACGAGCACACACATTGCGGCACTATCTCGAACCACCACAACTGTTTCTAGTACTTGTATATTAATTTGATAACAAGAAACATTAGGCAACTAATTAATTAGTTGTAAATTGGTTTCAAAAAACTTTAATGGACAAGAAATATTTGCCGTGCGTGCTTAAATTAGGAACAACTAATACCAGTAGCAAAAAACAGCATAGTTTGTCAATTTAATCACTACCCTTCATTTTTATAGAAGAGTAGCGATTACAATTACAAATTAACAAATGTTTGATAAAAACCGAAAATGCTTAAACTATCCAAACAGAAAAACTGATATTAAAATGATGTAAACACTCCTTTGACTAATTGCGATTTTTTACTTCTTAATATTTTATCAAAGCAGGTTTGATAAAAAAATTTGAAGAGTCCAAACTATTTGGTCAATTTCGTTAAGAGATATCAACGACATTTGTAATATACAAACAATACAACAATACAAACAACGAATATCAAATTTTGAAATGAACACTTTAATGATATACGCACATACGCAACTTGCTTTCGGCCAAAATATTCCAATCTAAGTATATACTCATGGAAAAATTTCTAATACACCAAACAATACCCATATTCATAAAAATATAACATGTCATATACCAATATAATACATTTGGCATTGTTGATTTTATTAAAAATTTGTTTATTTGTCGAATCTTTGTAAATACGACGAATTAAGATCTTTGTTATATAATCGTAACCTCGTAGAGGTGACCTCTGAAAATAGGAATTTTCGAGAGCACTGATCCAAAACAGGAATGTCAAAGTCCGGGAAGATAAATTGCTTATTGGATATGAATAATGGGGAATGAAATTTGTCTCAGTTTCTAGCGGAATGAACTATGATCTCATTGATATGTCTAACGTAACGAATGTCAACATCAGCCAGACACAACAGATCTTTTTTTTGTGACTTATAAACAGTTTCTCAATATTAGTGATCAGTTTCTCAGACTCGTCATGAAAGTCGAGGATTTACATTACCTATCTCGCGCCCAAAAGCGAGAAGCGCAATCCACATCTGAAGTGTCCAAGAAGCTTGCCTGCACTGACTACCGAACTAGCCCATCCGAAAACATTAACAGAATGTCCCACAAAAAAACGCATAACTGATACCCTGTTGGCGACGAGGCAAACCATGAAGGATGTCGGAGAATATATTTTCTTGATGACTAAAAACTAAGAGCTGCCATTTTGGAGCTTGATAATTTGAAGGACATAATACTTCATATATTGGAAGTATGTCGCAATATATCAATTGCTCACAGCGAAAAGCTGCACATAATAACCTAACCTAACCTAAATCTAAAATAGCTTTAGATTAATTTTTTGAATAAAAAATATCATGTCATGCCAATCTATTTTTATTTTATATAAGTATTCAACTACTAAAGAATGTTTTAATATATTAATCAATCGATTCATCTTATCATTGAATTATTTTCCGAAACTACGTAAAAAAAACAAAAATCACACAACCGTTCTGGATTACTTAAAAATTGACGAAGATACTCCTGCGTTTGCTCAATCCATATCCTGATATTTTCATATTGTGCTCGATTATAATTGTTAATGCATACACCGGGTTCCCAAATAATATCCACAAAAAAAAAAGTATTTTTCTACTTCCGTCTGTAAAATGCCTAATTAAACGATCTAGCGTGCGGGAAGCGGCACTTTACCAAGCCAGTTTCGTTTCCTACGGATCCAAGAAATTTCGGACATTTCCGGAATTTTACCGCACGGTTTGCGAGCAATAGTATGTTTTCGGAGATATTTCCCAGGCTATAGTATATTATGCAACAAGTGCGGTAAACGCCATTTGACTGACGAGTTTATTTGACAAGAGCGGAGCGAGCGACTTAAAAAGTTTGCCGAACGTGTTGCATACTATACTTTTCCTACGACCTTTAGTTTTTGGGTATATTTTCGCAAAACAACACGAATACATTCACTGAAATGACCGTCAGAATTGACAAACGTCAAAATTCAAAGCGTGGGAAATATCTTCGAATACATCCGATTATTCCCAAACCCGTGTGGTAAAATCCCGGAAATGTCCAAAGTGGCTCGGATTCGTGGGAAACGAAGCTCGATCGGTGTGTAATTAGGTATTTTACAGACGTGAGTAGAAAAAATATTTAATTACTTATTCCTTGGCGCAATATGAGTAAGTTCATATTTCTGAAATATTTTTTGTATGTTCTGCTGAAATTCTTGGCTAGAAAATCCAGATTAAATAAAATTGTATGAAAATATTTGGTAATGATAAGAATCTTATCGGCATTTTGCCAGCCTCTCAAAAGGATGTCAATACAACAGAAGTTAGAATCTGCAAAATACTTCTATTTTTAATATTTGCACACGAACTTGCACTTGTTTCGAAAAATCAATTTACATATGAACCATTCAGATGAAAAGCGTTAAAACTCTCTTGATTATTCCACCATTACGCAATCTAACCATGAGTATTGTGGAGGTATTAAAAATCTATAGAGAATCTCTTACTGCTATTTGACTTATATCACTTGTTTACTAACTTAGTTGCCGAATAAATTAAAACAATTAAAAAGATACTCTAAACGACTCGATATATTTGCGGATGGCCAAATTAAGCATTTATGAATAACGGGAAACTGATCAATACTATGATATTTACATTAATCTCCCAAACTCTTAATTATATTACCGGAAACATCCGAAATTGTAACTATAAAAATGTATTTACGACTTTCCTCCCGGTTGATTTTGCTAATTCTTATTTCAAAAAATGCTACTATAATCTCATATAAAACGGCATCAATCTCCAATAACAGATTTAAAATGTTACTCACTCTTCCAAGGTTGTTAATTAGGCCGAACGTAACACCTCACACATTCAAACATATACAGAGTCGTGGTGTATTCGTGACCGGCACTAAACCGTTCAACGCTCAGATAATCATGCCCCGGGCTTAACCCGAGATAAGTCGAGAGCCCAAAAAATACTCAAATAATAACAAATCATGCATACATATATCCGAAAGCAATAAAATAAATTAAAAAATACATTTATAATACACATAGAATAAATACTCGTTTATACTGACAACATTACTATCAATAAAGTTGGATAACCAAAAGCTAGTCACAGATGTTGATTTTGAATGGTCGGAATCAGTATTTACTAATTTTTTTGTCTTTTGCACAACATCCACAAGGATCGAACCTCGGACCTCTACTTTTTGAAGCACTTATTAATGATATGCCCAGTAGATTGTGATTTGTTGCATAAAGATATTAACCATATTATAAAATGACAGAAAGCTATAAACTCGACTTTAATGTTAAACATCGTTATGTGATAAAACCCAAACTAACCAGAAAGTGCTAGAAAGGAAGAATGAGATGAGATCTTGAGATGATTTTTTGATCCGGACATATAGAAGAGATCACTACTTTTTGTTAGATTTTTGTTTAGATTGCAGATCTCATGCAATTCCTATGTCGGAAATATAATTGGACTCCTATCTGCACAATATTCAAAAAATGCCATAGAAAAAATACAGAAAATGTTTCTAAGATACCTTTATAATAAAAAACATAGCATATATTGTATATCATGGGGTAGTATATCAACCATGTGTAATTCTTATTAACGATTTTCGTATCAAAGCACTTAAAAACAAGTTACAAAATAACCGAGACCATCTTTTTAAATAAAATAATTTGGTACAAAATAAATTGTCGTCCTCTCTTGTTCGTCATTTGAAATTTAAAATTAATTAATTAATTAATTAATTTTACTTTTGAGCTCCCATAAACAAATCTAATTTAGGATAAAACTGCCTAGTACATTTTGTTTATACTGATATTTCGGTAAACTAGCGCTGAAATTAAGTTAACTGTAAAGTGTTATCGAGCTCAAAACTCTTGAGAACCACGAATTTGTTGTATATACTTATTATTTATTGTAAACTACGAATTCTTGTAAATACTTTTTATTTATTGTAATCTACTTTTGCGCGCAAGCTTATTACATAACATTATTTTTTTTTTTTAATATTTCACACAATAAAAAGACTCTGTGGATTTGGTTAATTTTAGACCGCCAAAAAGTAAGGCACAAATATATTCATTGAGCACTGACAAACGCCAAAAAAGGTTTTCTACTCCCGTCTGTAAAATACCCAATTACACACCAATCTAGAGTGCGGGAAGCGTCACTTTACCAGGTGAGTTTCGTTTCCCACGGATCCGAGCCACTTCGGACATTTCCGGGATTTTACCGCACGGGTTTGGGAGCAATCGGATGTTTTCGGAGATATTTCCCACGCCTTAAATTTTGACGTTTGTCAATTCTGACGGTCAGGTCAGTGAATGTATTCGTGTTGTTTTTCGAAAATGTACCCAAAAGCTAACGATGGTAGAAAAAGTATAGTATGCAACACGTGAGGAAAACTTTTTAAGTCACTCGTTTATTAAACACTAGCTCCTTTCGTGTCAAATAAACTCATATATATATACTATTTTCTACTCGCTTCTGTAAAATACCTAATTATCACCGATATAGCGTACGGAACGTATCATTTTACCACGTCAATATCATTTCCCACAAATCCCAGTCACTTCAGACACTTGCGGGAGTTTGGGAGCAAACACTTTCACAATGGAATGTATTGCAGATAAGGTGATTCGATTTCGGACCTGCTGAGCTCGCTAAAAATTGTCTATCTAATCATTAGATAGTAGTTGATAAATCACATTTGAGGCTGACGGAATACAACGAAAATACTAACCGATTTTGTTAATTTTGAAAGTGTAGTATTTATTGGTAACGGTTTTTCTGTCTATGAGGATTACTTTACATCTTCAGGTAAATTGTTTGTCTATTCTTGCTTCTAGTTACAGACCGGTACCTTGCAAGTGCAGCTGTCTGCTTTAACGGAAATTGGTTTATTAAATTCGTCCATTGTGCAATCTCCGTTTTCCCAAATATTGCAAAGTGTTTTAGACAAAAATTTATTTCCTTTTACCTCACTCGAACCAACACAGTTCAAGAAACTGTTGCCAGCACTAAAAATTAGTAGGCGTAGTTGAACTGCCGCCTTTTAGATGCATTTATTGTACTAGTTTCTTTTTTGTTTAACCTTACGAACACTCAATGCAAAGACTGATTTGGCCACACCTAATCAACTTGTTTCTTCTTTATTTGTTTTGAGTGCGGTGAAAGTTTATAATTTTTCTTTTTAAGATTCTATTTAGAATTAGTTATTAAACTTTGCCTTAAAGAAAATTCAGATTTGATGGGTCCATTCTTAAATAACGAAAAATAGATAAAATTTCAAAGGAACGGAAAAAGTCCCTGTCAGATGGACGTTTATGGAAAACGCGAGAGAGATTTTGGTTACCTAAGTAAGCGGTGTTGTTCAGTTGGACTAAAATATATTAACGGTTTCATTACCATTCATCATGACCTGAAATTTTGAAGGTAATTTTCAAAGGTTCCGCGTTGTTTGGTCTGCTTTAAAGGCATTCAAAAAATAACAAATGGAAAAACTATAACACTTCGAACCAACTTTTAAAGCATTGACGTTACTTCTGTTAAATATAATAAGATTTGTTTATATTTATTGCACTTAACTTCCGACACTTTGAAATTTTCTTGCTTTACCTACTTAGACCTGGATTTTTTGTGAATATTTTTGACAATTCAAAGGATTTCAGCGATCATTTCTTGGAATTGCGTCTATTCGGATCTATCATATAACAAAGATCGGGATTTTAAGAATTAAAGTGTAAGAAGTCCACTCCTTGACAAACCAAAGCTTTGTGGCTAGAAGCAACAATTCCATAATTAGTGTTGTGAACTAAAAATACATATAAAAGTTGGACCAATTTAGCATATTCAAAAATTGCACCGTTGGCCTTCCAAGCGCATTTAGCTACAACTAACTACTAATTTTATTCTCACTCAATAAAAAAAGGAAACTAATAACAATACGCTTGCATAAAAGTTATTAACACTTTCGCAATAATCGACTTTAAATATATCAACAAATTTTTAGTCCCAATTTTCTTACTAGTTATTATCAGAAATTAATAACTCGACGGAGATCTTGTCTGCCCTGTATACTTTTGTTATAAAATTAACCCTAAAGTAAAAAATCAAGGAGCATGCTAAATATCCAAATGCCTATCGTCGAGATGTATGCAGGTCAGATTTAATTATATTAACAGTAGGGGTACTAAAGAAAAGTAAATCTCAATTTGATGGTGATTATTGGTCAAAAAACAAAACCGCCAATTGTTCCTTTATTTCATGATATTTAATGACATTTTCTTTGAGATCTTTTTAATGGATATACAGTAAACGGCTAAAATATTGAACAAATTTATTCAAAAATTAACAATTTTATTTCAAGAAAAATGGTTACACACGTCCAGCATAATTTTTTTTAATTCTTTGCAGAAAGTACAAAATATACAGGGTGCGTTAAAAGGTAGATGTTGATACCAAGTTCCTTCTTTAAACGGAAGACCATTTTTTAAAGTCCGTTTTCGAATTCGGCGCCAAATTTCACGCATAGTTCACGTAGCATATCTTTTAATTTTTATGAGCAAAAGAATAAAAAATCATAAATTTAATTTTGAAATGAACAGGTGAGTAGTTAATAGCAGTAAAGTTCTTAGCTTGTCACAATTTCATTTTTGTCAGTAAAGAAAGTGAATATGACGCATCTAAATGAAACCCAGAAAATTGAAACTTTGTTTTTTATTGGATGTGGAGACAAAGTGCGAACTCAAGAAGAAGTTTGTAATTTATTAAACGCAGAACATACAGAAAGACCCATTACAAAAGCCAGGACATCCCAAAGATCGTCCACGGTGATATCCATTAAAAAGTTTTTATGAAATTGATGGAAATGTACAACTTAAATCCATCTGTTCATTGTCAGATATTGTTTAGTGATGAAATCACGTTTTACTTAAATGGTACGGTGAATAAAAAAATTGTAGGTACACAAAAAATACATGTTAGTGCAAGGATTTTGAATAACAAAATTAAATATAAATCTCTTTTGTAATATGTACCAATTAATCAATTCTATACTATTTAGTATATGATCTTAGTAAAAAGGATTGAAATTTCGTTTCATACCAAGGTAGGAATAATTTTCCTACACAAAAATGACAAAGAGAGGGTAATTCTTTGAAAGAATGTTACATATTTATAATATCAATCGCCAAAACTAATAAAACAATTTTCATTTAAAAGAACTGAAAATTTCAAAATATTTGTAATATTAAGTGGGGTATTTACGCGCTATTATCTAATAGTTTTCTTTGGACCAGAAATTAGCTACGCTTCCATCAAATTTCTTATTTCTGTTCTTAACTCGTATTTTGTCATGTATAAAAAAGTGTGTTTAGTACCAAAAAGATATGTCAACTGCAAAAAACTAACGATTTGGAGTGGCTTTTGCGGTACTCCAAATTGTAAACTTTTTGCCCCCTACTGATCGTTCCATATCACCTTAGTCCTTCCATTTATAAGTTTATCCATTGTAATGGGCATTATACTGCGATGGCACCACCGGCATAAACGCTGGGAAAAACATTTTCAATAGCGGAATATGCCTAAAACCGCACCCTGATAAAACCCAACACTTAACAATTTCGAGCAATAAAGCTAATATGAATGATAGTTCAGCTAAACCACTTGGTGTGGTCATCAGATAATGATAACTGCCATAGCAGATTTCGCAATAATTTACTGAAGCTGAAGTTGACTTACATAGTATTCGACATAAGATCCTTTGATGACATATCTATTAGTTCCATGTATCTCTTCTAATATTGAATTTAAGGACAAACCTAAGACAGACTTCTTCATAATTAATAATAAATAAGTTTTTTTTTTATTTAATTCTCTTTATTTTCGATGTTTTTGTTGTTTGATGCCTATTTGTTTTATGTTCTATGTTTATTTATATGCTACTTGCGAATGTTTTATTTCAGACATGGGACGCCCATGGTACATATTATTTATTATACTTTGGCTACGTCTTGAAGGCAAGTAAATCCAGTTTTTAATAAAACTCACTCAATTTATTTACAACGCTAATATTTGTTTAGTCGGCGGGTTTACCATAGAGAAAGGAGAAAAAATGATTAATCTAACAAACGATGAAAGCAAATACACGTTGTATATGAATGAAAACAACCACGACGCGGACAATGATGAGACGCTGTTGTTTACTATTGCAGAAGATAGTAAGTTATTTAGTTTTTTAAAGAATTTCATTGTTTTGTTATGTTTAACAGCTTTATATTCTAGAAATATTTTGGCAAAGTTTAATATTGTCAAGTCCTTAAAAAAAAATTAAATCTTCGAATTACCTACAATAGTTCCATATATGGCGCTATATTTATCTCATCCGATTTTTAAGTTTCGAAGCGAATTATAAATGTTTCACTGTTTTCAAACAACATATCTAGACAGACCATAAAAGGTTTTGTTTTAACTCATAACAGTCATTTAACGTTTGATATAACAGACTATTTGATATAAACTTGTTGAATAAATATAAAAAAAATTAGCAATGGTACATTTTACAAACTATGCAAAGAAATAATGGTAGATAAGGAGTGCTTTGGGTAATTTTACTAATAGTAGAGAATGAACTTACCTTTTTGACAGCTTGCGGTTGGATTATGAGATAACGATATATAAACTGATTTAAGATATGTAGAAAATTAAGAAACCTTAAATTTTATAATGGTTTTTATAATTTTATAAGAAAACCATTGATGAGAAGTACCTTTGAATCATTCACATGTTTGGGAATACTTAATGCACTTTGAACTTTCTTTTTAATGTCGCAATTTTAAATAGCGTTTGTTTTTTGCATTATTTTAGGTATGTCAGACACTCCAAGTTTTATCTTTCTACAGGCTGATACAACTTTTAAATACAGCCTAAGACCTAACGATAACACTTTTGATTTTTACGCCACTCAGTATTTTGACTATGAGACACAACCCAATTTGTACCAATTAATGTACACGATCAACGACCAACCGGGGTTAATTATATTGAATATAGTCAATATAGATGATGAACCACCATCGCTTACATCTCCAATGTGCACCTTCCCGGTAAGCTTTTAATAAACTCTTTCATATAACTTACACAGGGTGTTATTAATAAGTCCCCGATAGTTCACAGCGTAATTTCTCATTTATTTTGAAGCTAAAAAGTTGCTATAAAAGCGGAGTTTAAAATTTTTCCTTTTCGAGTTACAGTGTGTCAAAGCTTTTTCATTTTTCTTTTTATGCATAATTTCATAATTAATACCTCAAATAGTGACACGAACTAGACATAAGTTTTGTTGGGCTACCAAATGACATTATAGTTAATTTTTTTTCCAAACTTTTCGAGCTTCATAAATTAAACTAATCTGAAATCAATAGCAACAGCCGCAGCAGAATTATAAAAAAGTTGCAAATGGGATAATTTTCGCTAAACAAATTACGCTTAGTGATTCTAGTTTAAATCGACAATTAAAAAACAAACGCATTGTTGACAACAAGTGGTAATTGTTTTTAGGAAAATGCCATCTTCGACATAACAGACACCCAATGTGGTTGTACTGTCAGTGATCCCGATGGTTGGCTAGATCAAATGACGTTCAATATTATAAATACCAAGGTAACAAAGATATGTTATAAGCCAGAAATATTCCCGAGTAATATGTGAATCTAACAGAAATTATTTCGTGACGAGTACATTTTTAGGCACTATTTATTCAAAATATAGAAATATTACATTTTCAGAGAAAAAAAATTAAATGCACAGTCATTATTGTTAAAAAAATAACGAAAAGTGCCGAGTAGTGTCATTATTTTGTCGTCGATACAAAGCTCGGGAGCCTGAGGCCGTCTCTACGGCGACTATATTCATTGTATATCCAATGGGTTTATTTTAATGAGAAATATATGGGATTGTTCTTTACTAGCTATAAAACTAAAATAATACTATTGCCAAAAGTCGCTGCATGTTCCATAATGGTAGTAGAACAAGAAATACAAAAAAGGCGTAAGGTACCTTTATTTCCAAAAATTGAGCAAAAGAAAAGTTGTTTAGATTTAAAACATATGCCTTAATATCAAAACAGGCCCTACTGATTTGATTTGGAATAATTTTTATTTAACATTATTAAAAAAACACAAGGAAATCATTAACATTTTTCCAACAACAAACTATTTTTTTATCTTATTTGCTTTTGAATAACAGTATTTTTATTAATTAAAAAACTTTTTTTATCTTAGTAGGCCCTATTTTGAAATTAAGGCATAAATTTCAATTCTAAACAACTTTTCTTAATAACATTTTGCAGTTAATAAAAATCATTCGCATATGTTGCACACTGAAACGATCACGCTGTATAGTACATACATTGTCCTACCATACAACTATAGATACTTATGCTGATAAAATGCTTTTGAAAACAGCATCAAAAAGATGAATAATTTAAAACCTCACTTTAAACCAATAAAACCCCTTGCTGAGTTCAACATGAACGCTGACAGTTGTCAGTTTGTCTGTGGTATTTCTTCAGTAGCAGCAGAGTGTGTGCAGATCACTGTGCGCAAAGTGCATATGCATGCGCCGAAGGTCATTCCCTCATGAACGCATAGCTATACCACACTTGCGGCCTCTGCCGTATCTAATAGCTCTATAATTACCGGTATGCTCACATGAAGAAGTCTATAGCAAATTGAAATACAGTACGCTATTACTAACAGGCCTCAAGAAATCTGCTTCAAATATAAGCCGCAACATTTAACAGCTGTCAAAATTTCGGCAAAAATTAACTCAATCTTTTTTATAAAAATAATAGAATGCCTATATAACCTATTTTTATTTTGTACATAATTTCCCAATTTTCATATCAAAGCATTATTTTAAGTGCAATGTGAGTAGATTTTCTATACTCGTCTGTTCTAGTTGTCGATTTATTTAATTAAAAAAAATATATTACAGCCATTGCGCTTTTTACTGGCCCAAAAAAATATTACATATTACAAAATTTTTCTTACTTGTCTAGTTTTACACAAATAACAATTATTTCTTGTTCAAGTTTTGCCCTTGTCACGACTAATTTCGATCCGGAACGCATGTTACTTGGGCAATACTCTAGTAACGACAAATTAATCACACACACTTTCCAGGCCGAAGAAGCGGAACTCTTTGAATTTATGTATAATGGGACCATAGCCGATAACGTATATGAGGCACCAGTCTATATAATTCTAAAAAAAGAATTGGATTATGAGGAAACCACGTTCTATTCCTTTAATGTCCAAGCTCAGGTAAATAAATATAAGAAAGTCGCAATATGCATCAAAATTCGTATTCCCTATAAGAGAAATTTCTGGAAATTACGTTTAAGTCTCTAGAACGCCTGCCAAGAGCCGTAATCGCATTCTTGAAATTTTATTCTCGATTTTGTGAGAACCAATTTTATATTACAGAAATGGAAATGGGCATTTATAAAGTTTGAATAAATAAATTCGATTCTTTTTCGTTAAATAATTTTTGCTCTATCTCTGAAGGGAAAGTAGAAAATGCATTTCGTCAAACTTGGAATTGTTAAAAATAAATTAGAAAATAAAATTAATTTTCTCAACCTAAGTGTACAGTGGAAACTAACCAAGTGTACAGTGCAAAACGACATGGCAACGCTAGTGTTAAAGTGTTAATCATATTCAAATTGATAGTGTTTCTTCTTTTGGTAGTCTCATTTGTGTGTGTTTCGTGTTTATTCAATAATTAACATTCAAAAAAGCTACAGTTTCTGTTAGAATCTATGCAATGGAGTACCCTCGATTAAAACGCAAAACTGTTAGTGTTTTATCTGCGTTGTTGTGTTTCGTTATTATTATATTGTATTACAATATGTAATTCAAATGGGAATTACTATTAACTCTTCAAGTTTGACCAAAGTTACACATAGTTACAATGCGACATTTACAAAAAATTCATAGCGGCACCTTGCCTCACTATCCATTCATCTTGTCCTTCCATTCTTCTTCTTTTTATATCCTTCCAAACTTGTTTTAGCCAATCCTCTGGAAGTCTTCCCTGTCTTCTCCTACTGTGCACGTGTCTTCGTTTTTTCTAATATCGTTGTTTCTACATTTATTTTTCGTTTTATTTGGTTGTATGTTATTCTTTGTTTCCGTGACATTTCATAGCTTTGTAAATTGAAGAAATATTTACAGGATGGTGCAAAACATAACACAACTCCCAATGCCTACGTTCGATCCATCATTTACGTTGAGGACCAAAACGACATGCCTCCGGAATTCACAAACTTTTTCACAACAGCTCAGTTTAATGAGAAGGAGGAGCAGGTGATAAAATTTTCCGGTTGTTGGTCTTAAGAAACATCACTGACTTAAAAGTAAACAAAAACCAATTTATCTGTTTATTAATTTTTATTGTTTATAAATATTTTATTTATTAGTTAATAATTTAGATTTTTTAAAATTTTTTCGTTGAATCCATTTTTTAATCCACCTAAAACAAATTGTTTTCTGAAAATACGCAAATTTCAAAGTTTGCTTGGTTTCAGACGTTTAACGTTACAGCAGTGGACGGAGACAAAGGGATTAACGCAGATATAGTATATTCCGTGATAAAGGATGATGTAGGTAAGAAAGCAATAATTTCAAAAGAGATTGATTATTTTTACCATTTCATGTAGATTTATACCCTCAATAACAGGTTTAGGAATTTTCTCTACACCCCAGTATATTAAAGCAGGTGCAAGCAAATTAAAGTTTCACAAATCTAACTCAAAAGCTTAACAGCTAACAAACTATCAGAACTATTAATTCCCAATTAATGAATAGGAATTAAAAAATTTCTGCTTCTAATCGAAAGCACTTTTAACTGCGTCTCGTGTATCACTGTGTATTGCTTAATATGGACGAGAAACAACGCTATAGTGCATGTTCTAAAATAGAGCGTATTATTGCAAAATACAGCCTTTTAAAAACAAAAATATTGTAGATTTTTGACTTTGCCATGTAAATGTGAGAATAAGGTGTTGTTCAATGTTTAATTAGGTTATTTACCCATTTCATTACTACTTTATTTACCCTTTTATTGCTAACTATATTAATTTGCAAATAGTATTTTGTTTAAAAATGATACTCTAATATACTCCTTAAGAAAAGTCTAAAAATATACGCATTGATATACAGATTCAATATATTTGAATCTTTTTTACTTTTCAGAAAATATATTTTTAAGCAGTATTTATTCTTTCTACCTATAAATACACACAAAATGGGAATAATGCAACAATGATTTCTTTTTTAGATTCTAAATAATACCCTCAAATAAATGTCAGACAAGTCAATAAATCAAATTAACAATTTTCGTTATTCCGTGGAAATACGTTATTCATAAATTCATATTTATTTTTACAAAAAAAGAATTATTTTTTTGCCGGATATGTAAAGACTACAACCCATATAGAAATATAGAGGAGGCCTTGCCTGTACTGACAATACATGAACTTATGAAGCACCTATGAAATTTTTTTTGAGAAGGTCCATGCGCATGTCCGAGATTTAAAATCTCTTTGTTAACGAATGACCGGCAGCATTAAGTAACCAACATGGCCGCTGACAGATCGTCAATATGTCAATATGTCATTTTTGTCGCAGTACTTTCTCAAAACATGCCCAGATCGTTAAATGTTCTGCGAAAACCAGTTAAGTGTGTAGAAATTGTTAGTGGGCGAAATTTAGAGGCATGCTCTGAAAATCATTCCCATCTCTATGTGCCTCTCATAGCCACCTAAGACGTAGAAGGGTCACTAAATCATATAACAATTATATAATTTATTTATTTAATTAATTTAAAACATTTATATGCTACATATGCTATATGCTCGAAAATCCCAAAAGAGACAGAAGAAATAAGAAATAATATCTTCTACACTTGTATTAACATGTATAACAAAAACAAAAGAATACCCATTACTATCCGTCTTTCTCTAAATAAAATTTGCTACAGAAAATCCGTACGGGATCCATTCCAGTTTAGGTCGAGTTTGCCGACAACAGGGATATTTTTTTCCACAATCACCAACTAATTCGCCATTTATTTAATTTTCTCCTTCAGAAAAATGCGTGAGTATTGACAAAAACTCGGGAGTTATAACAGTGAAACCGATTGACCGTGACGCCAGAGACATTTTAACTTACCAATTTACCATTATGGCGCAAGAAACAGACGATCCTCCATTTAACACAACGCTGGATATAACATTCTTTATACAAGATATTGACGACCAAGATCCTGTGTTTATGGCAGTGAAAGATTCGTCGGGCAATGAAAATAACACCTACGAAGAAACAGACACCAAAGTTGCCAATTTTAAATTTTTGGAAAATTTTGATGGCACACTGAATGCGAAGTTTAATATCACCGATCGTGACACTGTGAGTAATCTAAAAATTAATTATCTAATTTTCATTTAATTTTAAATGATTCTGAAATATTAACCTGCAGGCCACGGTTCAGTACAAAATAACGAACCGAATTACTGACTCGGCAAAAAATATTCTATTACCGCATTTGCTAACGAAACTAACGAGGAAAATAACTATATCCGACTCTTTTTACGTTATGAACAAATACTATCAAAGTTATTTCAATTATTTGTAAACATAAAACATACGCGAAATAAAATTTATAAATTTCAAATTTATAACATATACCGCAGTTTCTCAAAAGATCTGCGCGAAAAACACTAAGCATTTAAAGTAGGTCACAAAAATTGACTCTCTTTACAGCTGGAAAATAGTTTTATTTAGTTTTCCAATAGCTCAATAAATATTCAATCGACCACTTTTTGACTTAATCAAAATTAAATAAGGGTATCCCAAACATAAAGACTATAATCGCAACCACAATTTTATAACAATATTTGTCTCAGAAATTAAAAGATTGTGGAATTTCCATTGTCTTTATTTTTTATTTAGATCACATTTCGAATAGATGTATCACTACTTATTATCAAGTGCAGACAGATAACGGGTAGTGATATATCTGACGGAAATGTGGTGTAAACGAAAAACTAAGACGATGGAAGTTCTACAATCTCTTTATATTTCTACTGAATCACTATCTACCATATTCAAGCAAATATCTTTTAGCTCTTTAGATTTCATTCTGCAAAGACGCCTTACTTTAGGCATTTGTATATAAATAAAAATGTGTGAACATGGTAAATACAATAAGTAGATTTCAAAACGAAAATCGTAAATTTATATTTGAAAATCGAGAACTTGATTGCACGTTGTTTTCACTTACAGTTTTTTTTTATTGGATTAGTTAGGCGGGGATTCCACTGCATTACGTTATGTTAAGTTAGATTATATACGGGTTCTTAAAAACCGAGACGCAACCAAAAATCAAATGTAAACTAACCAAAACTCCTTGGACGTATTGACTATTTGTACCTGTTAATCGAGCATAAGAATACTTCATGCTTTGTTTCCGGATCTAAACCAGGTTCAATGGTTGTTAAATATTGTCTATAGGGGAGATTTAACCCTATGAAAGTTACTCTTTACACGATGCTAGGAGGCACAAAAACAATAACTTATAATTTAAATTTCTGTGACTTTTAAATTATTTGTTCTTGTTACTAATAAAAAGATGAATTGATGATTGTTGGTAGAACGGATACAGTACATACAGTATAAAGTATATATGAGTATAATTGAAAACATATACCTAACTCGCAAGTTTTCTTTTCTATGTAGGGAGAAAACGCTCAATTCAAGGTAGAATTAGAACAACATGAGCCCGCAAGTGCACCTGTTGATTACACAGAAGCTTTCATCGTAGTGCCAACCGCTGGCTACAGGACAGGCGACTTTCTTATTAGCGTAATAAACAAAACCAAGCTAGACTACGAAGACCCTGATTGGGATAACTTTCAGTTTTACGTAAGTTCAATTTTTAAAAGCGTGAAAAAGACAGAAAACCAATTTTTATTTAATATTTCTTATAAACAATGCACAACTTTCTTAAGAACCATTATTACTCTATCCCTTAGATTAAATTATATAGAAAACAAATTACAAATTCTAGCTCTGTAGATAACTGAAGCAACTGCTCGCTATTTAAATGTTTAGACGGGTCCTTTTTGAGTTTTGAGTTTAAAATTTTCCTTAATGTTGAAATTATAGCGTTCAACTTCCTCCTTATTTGTATTACCCCAATTATTACTTGAAAATGAAAATAAAATTAGTACTCATACTTATTCGTAATAGTTGTGGAACTTAACTAAGAACGCAGATACTTTTGCAATATTACAACCAACTCAACTCGAAAATATAAAAATCTAAATAAATCATTGAAGTTTGAAGTGCATATCAAAGTAGATTGCGTCTCAGCTTCGATTTCTTTGGGTGTGGAAGGAAATAACAGTTTTTGAAGTTCTAATGAAACACATAGGTATTATTTTTTCCAAGAAACTTCCACAGGCTACTGTAATACTATTTACACACACACACACACACTTACACACTTCTTGGATTCCTCCTGCGTCGGTTGTTGTGTTGATAAATCGAACTTAATGACCATTCGCAAATCATCCAGTTTGCTTCTTCATAGCTCAACTGAAACTGGCTCGCATTCTACCTTGTACCTGCTTGGGAGCAGAATTAACGGACGGCATATACATTGTCTCAGATAACTGATTCCCATATTGAGGAAAGGTAAGGATCTCAGTCGCGGTTAAGATTGTTTTGTTGTTTAAAGATTTCTATGGATTCTCGGACTTTTTTTGGCAAAAGAATAGATTACATGCAAGAATTTTAGTTTTGTCGAACAAGATTTGAAGTCCGGTGTTATAATTGTGTTCGACAACGGCTGATGAGTTTATCTGTCGTAGTTTAAGGCTCTTTCATGTTCTTTCAGCCTAATTGATATTTTTCGTCCTGTGTCTCCGCTGTATTCTTTGCCGCATATACAGGGAATGCTGTAAACTCCTGGTATCTCAAACAGAATTTTGTTTGTGAAGATGTGGGGTTGTTTTTGGACTCATTTTCTTATGGTTATGGTAAATGTAATATGTGATGGAACGCTCTCTAATGTGGAGATTATTAAAGAGAAGAGCAGATGTAAGATGGTTTACTTCTGGGTTCAGTGACTCGGATTGAAATAGTTTTACGGCTCTGGAAACAAGAGAGTTGATAACCTACGATTTTTGGTCCAGATCGAGATGTAACAAGGCATTAAAGTATTTAGGTCTGATTGCGTGGGATTTCTATAAACAGAATGACACAATGTTAGGTGGGGGAGATTATTATTAGTTTCTAATTTAATTGTAAAACTTATTTTAGGGTGTACAGACTTTAAATGGCGAAGAAAATCTCAGAGAAATTCTTGACAATGAAGCTAAATAACAAAAGTATCATCAACGTAGCGTTTCCATCATTTTGGTTTTAAATAGACGATGTCGAGGGCATTTTTCTCAAAAGCTTCGATAAATATATTTGCGCTTACTGGTTCATAAATTTACAGTTTTAGATGCATATGCGGCACAGAATCATGAAATCTTACATCAAATCTTATTCTTAGAACTAATATTCTTTCATGTAATCAATTTTTCTACCAGAGAAAAATCTGATTATTTAAACAACCAAACAATCTTAACCGTGACTCAGGCCTTTACCTTTTACCAATATGAAAGTCAGTCATCCTGGTCAATGTTCATGCCCTTCCTTTAGATCCGCCCCTTAAACGGCATATAAGCAGGTACAGAGTAGATTGCGAGCCAGTTTCAGTTAAGCCCAGAAGAAGCTAACACGATGATTCACGAAACGTCAGCAAGTTCGATGTATTAACAACCGACGCAGGAAGAGCCCACAAGATTTGTAAACAGCACATAGGTACTGTTTTAGCTAAAGCTACTATTTAATAGAGAAAGAATATAAATACTAAATAATGAGTCTTGGAAACTGAAGAATAAAATAGAATCTTCTAGATTTTATTAGTATCTGCATGTAAACACATGTAAACATGTGTTTGGAACGTAATTTACAATATGATCAATTTAAAAATTGGGCATTATACTATAGTTTAACCCACTTCAAAATTCTTTAAAAAATTCAAATCAAATTCGCCATTCGCATGTCGTAAGCAATTGGTCTAATTCGACATTTCGGGGCATATCTATCTGGTCACTCACTAATAATTTCCATTTGCATATGACAATTTTCCCAAAAAATATTCATACGACACCGTGATTATAAATGAAAAAATATATATTTTAGTATGGTGGCCTATAGCTTTCACTGTGCATTGGCATCACTACAAAAATTATTGATTATGAATATTGCATTAAACTTCAGACAGACAGAGAGATATGACTTGTTACCTGCATTTTATGAGTATTTTAAAAAGTTTTAACCCTTATTAGTTTTTATATAATGATATGCTTACAGGTTCATTCAATAGGTACAAAAAATAATACTAAACAAGATCGTATATTAATAAATATAAGTCTCATCGACTACAATGATGAGTATCCCAAATTTGCAGACGAGGAATACACTGTCGACATAAATGAGACATTGGAATATGGAGAGTTTATTATCCAAGTGATGGCCACAGATCGAGATGCAGAGGATAAAGTGCTCAGGTATTCTTAAAAATTCCGTGGCACTTATAAAACTTCCTAATATCGCCGACTATTTTATTTAAGGCATGAACTGGTGGGATCTACGACAATCACATCTTTACTGCGAATTGATTCTGACACGGGGAAGATTTTCGTTGACAAGGAAAACGCTTTTGATTATGACAGAATAAACCCAATCTTTGTCCAAGTAAGAGCGTATGATAAAGTTAACCATACGGCAACAGTCCCAGTAACAATACACCTATTAGATGTCAATAACAAGAAGCCTACTATAGAGGTGGTGAGTTATATAAAAACAATTGTGACAATTTTGCAGTTATTCCAATCATCTGGAATATTTAACTTTGTAAAGAAAACAATTTCTGACGTCATAAATACAATTATACTCTACGTGGGCCTACAAATTTTTTTAAAGATAACACTTGACAAGTTCTTTCTCGCGTAATATCTCGTCATTATTGAAATAAACTGAAATGTTGAAAGGATTAACGTTAATACGTTTCAGAAGATTTAAGAATATTACTATACGTAAATAAAATTATATTGATAAATTCTACATAATTGCTTCTTATTTGAAATAATTATTTATTAAAAAGTAATTTAAATATATTAAATTGTTTCTGAAGAAAATTTAAAAATTCAAATATAACACTAAATATTTCTTAACGGAACAAAAAACTTTAATATAGTCTTGTGTATACATATATTAAGTTTCTATTAAGGCGCTATTAGTGTATCCTTATGCATCACTCGCATGCAACTAGACTTATGGGTTTGGTCTGGGAGTAAGATGAGCGATTTAGAATCAAATAAATCAAAATAATTTGGCTGAACAAATTCCGTTTTTAGAACGATCTAATAAGAGTCGAGGAAAACCAAAAAATTGGAACGATTTTAAACACAAGTATCGTAGCTTCAGATGTTGATACTACCAGAAATTTATCTGCGGAAATTAATTGGGATGCTTCGTACGCCATGAAAAATTCACAACCATTAAATAACTCCGATCCTGACATAATACAACAAATAAAGTGGGTATAAATATTTTTAATTAGTTACCGAATGTTTTTTACATAGGCAATTTTTAGGTTCTTAAATCTCGATTACGTAACTGATCCAGACACAGGAAGTATCACCATACAATTAACTATTAACGACAATAACGCTGATGAGACAACGCCAGATTATGAATTGTTCGACACCCTCTATCTGTCAATAATAGTGACGGACTGGAATACTGATCCTGATTTTTTGACCAACATGAATACCACCGGTAAGTTTAATGAGACAGGCTCTAAGAAATTACAGATATTTTTTGGATTTACAGCGTTCAGATTCATAAATGTGTTCTGTTAGAAGCTTTCATTTGAAATCCTTTCGGTTGCATTTATTTAAGCATTGAATTTGCACCGATCAACAATAGTACATTATGAAACAAGTTTTCAAAAACGGTCTTTGCACACGAGCGTGTGAATTGCGCACGCGCTGCGCATAAAATAAAAAATAAAATGTTACTTGATATTGCTACATTCATCTTTTTTTAAATCTTTAATTTTATTTAAGGTAAATAATTAAATAATGATAACTAAAGTCGCAGGTAAAAACAACAAAGATGAACACAAAACACAAATTCAGAAATCAACTCAACTCCAACTAGTTAGGAGAGGAGGAAAAAATTATGAATAGGGCGTAACTAGGGCTGTAATAGTTTCCTAATGTAGTTACTAAACGTATTATAATGGTCAATTTATTTAAGAATCTACACATTCTAACAACAATGTCAGCTGTTGCAAGAAGCTTAGGTGCATCAATCAAGTTGTTCATTAATTTGTAACAAAAGTGATATAAGATTTAATCACAGTTAATTTCTTCATGACACAATTGTAGCAATGCACCATACACAAGTAGCATACTCTAAAATTGAATATGTAACTGCACAATAAATATGAATTTTGGGTCCAGGTTTCTCTGCCAAGATGACAGACGAAATCTAACAGTCATAGAAAGTTGTAGGTCGTCTACAAAGGCAAGGAATTAGTAAACAGAAAAGGCCTAACATCGTGTATGTGTGATTTTGACTGGCTGTTTCCGTCACCTGATGTTTCTTTCAAACCACTGAAGACAAAGTCCAAACATTTCCAAAGCTTCCACTTACTTCCATAAAATCCCATTTACTTTTTAAATATTGGAGGTGCATACTACTATGAAACGTATCGCCTACTCAGAGAAACATTGGACATAAATCCCCCAAAAGGTTAAATTTACAGTAAAATAATAGAATTATCAGTGAAAAGCAAAAAAATGTAATCAAATATGTACATAAAAAAATAGTACAAAGTAACAATTTATTACATTCAATTTCATTACTGGAACTGAAAATCCATTTTCTTTAAAAAAGTACGCAACGACTCTTTGGCACAACTAATGTTTTAGCCTGTGTCAGTATTTTTGTATGCAGCTCTTCTAGGGTTGAAAAACTATTTACTTTGTAAGCGTAGATTATACGCCTAATTAGGTCTGCTTGTTGCTCTTTAAAAACTAGCGAAGTCCATCATATTCTCTCACTTGCAAAAATTTTTCTTACAGTTGACTTCAAAACTTTGGTCATTTCACTTGTTTTTATTGCTGCGCCTACTCCCCCTTCTGAATTTCTTATAAAATTTTAAACATTCTAAACAATCTGGTTTAATGCAGAATAAACATCTGCTGGGATGGACTTTACCACGGTAACGCGAAGGTCTGCGGTAAGGTACTGTCAAATACTTAAAACGTCAAAGCAATAAAAGCACTATATTTTTGGTTGTATTATACCATAAACTGCATCCTATAATTCACATTCCACTATTTTTTTATTACTGTTTCGAATAATTTTTTTTTTGCCTATACAGTTATCATACTTATTGTATGTGCATATTTCAGCTCTGATTACAATAAATATTATTGATATTAATGATAATCCACCCATATTCACAAACGAGACATTGGTGGCGAACCGGACAGCTTATGAAGAAGCGAATGAAGGAATAATAGTTGGCACTATCTTAGCAACCGATAAGGACGTTGGAGATGTAGTCACTTATAGTTGTGAGTAAGTATTGTGAATTCCAGGGCGCTATACTGACAGATGCCGTTGAACAGTAATATTATTAAATTGGAAGATTTTAAAGATTAAACATATTGGGGGTTAACGGTCGTCGTATTTTCTCCAGCAAAACGAGCTAACTTCTTCAAAGGTTCCTTCATTATTCTCGTAACAGAATGAGGGGACTGGACTTACCTGTCATTCTGCTCTTCTTTATTGTTGGAGTTCTATAGTGTAATCGATTTATTTTCTAACCCCACCAAAAAGGCAGGTGTAAGCAATTAAATTTGTTCCATCCTCAATTAATGGAGTACTCGCTATTTTTTCCTGATAATTAAAAAGCAAATGCTGATTTTCTGTTTAGAAAAGGCAAAGAAAATCAAATACTTTTAACCACAACTAGTAATGAAACTTGTAGCAAAAATAAGTACTTGCAAAGCAAATAAATACTAAAGTGTCTTGGCAATTCAAAAAATAAATCTCTCTGTCTCTCTTGCAGATGTCTGGACGAAAGAGATTGGTTCGAAGTAAATGAAAAAAATGGCGAATTTAGGGTGAAAACCAGCAAAACGGTTGATGCTGACAGCTACCCAAAAGATTTCACAGTGGACTATAATTGTTCAGCTACCGACACACTACATTATACATATGCCCGGGTAATATCCGATTCTTTTTGCTAAATTGTAACAAACTAACTTGGGATTATTGCAGTTTTCTATTTATATACTGGATACCAACAATAAAATTCCCCAGTACGTTGACGATATGGAAGAAGAATACATTGGTATTCCAGAACAAAGTGAAGCCGAAACACCATTAACTCAAATTGAACTTACTGATCAAGATAGAGATAGTAAGTTGAAGTTGTAATTTTTGGAGTTTTTCAGTTGATTAATTGTTACAAAACAGATCAATCAAATAGTCTGACATATATGTATGTCTTACACTTTAAAATTCAAAACGACTAAATTCTTTTATGTTAGTATTTTAGCAGTCGATATAGAAGCATTGAATTTACCGTCGGTATGTGTATGAACTATGTTAACAATTGTGTGTTTCAGTACCATACCATACTGTAACGTGTTACTTTACGAACACCAGCGAGCCATGTTACTCTTCTTTTCAAATAGTTGCCAATTGGGTAACAGTGCTTAATGGAGGCAACGATCTGAACAGGGATACCGGTATCAGAAAGTATGATTGTTCGGTTAGATGCATAGATAATTCTGGAAGAGAACAAAGTAGGAATTATTTTGCTATAAAACATTGTTTTATAATTCTTGTCCCGTGTTAAATATCTTAATAATCTGAAAATGTTTCCTAACTTTTTTAGGTGGTGATCAAAAATACAATGACACGAAGATTTCCATAATAGTTGAAGACATAAACAACAATGCGCCTCAGCTCATAACGACGGAAATTAGCGGAAGTGAAAATTTGAAAAAGGTATGCAATTCATCTACCACGATTATAATTGAACCGTAATAGCTGCTCTCAATTGACCTTTACATCCTATAACCCTGTAACAAAATTGACTAAACGATTATTGAATTCGAGTCCAACTGTCTAATGTAATAGTTTTTGTCACACTGAAAATCACTAAAATAACTTAATATTCATTTATTTTTTCAAAAGGAAAGTTCCAGATTAATTAAATGACAAAATGATTATTGAATTTGAGTCCAAGTGTCTAATATAGCGGTTTTTGTCACAAAGGAAAGTTCCAGATTAATTAAATAAAAAAATTGTTTCACAATACGGGAATGTTTTACATCTTATTATATTGATAAAACGTAGCTTAACCCTCAACGAAAGGAAAACATCTTCCTTAATCTTCTCTCAAAGGTGCATCAACGAGTAAATAATGTACAAAGTGCAAAATTCTTGGGAATTAATTTAAACCGTAAACTAAAATGGTGTCACCGCACGGACCATTTGGCTAAAAAACCTCAAAAAAACTAATACGTAACCTAAAGGTCACTGCAGATTGCAACATATGATTGACAGCATATCATGCTCTAATTGGCTCCCACTTGCTTTATGGTCTGATAAAGTGGAGCCAGGCTCCCGCTGCAGCAAGAAACTTTGGAATACAATGTAGAATAATTAGAATAATCACAAACCGCAAATACAGAAAGGATGTTAGATTAGAATTTTCGGAGATTAAAATTCTTACACTTCCTTATATACTTTTATTAATAAGCTTAAGTCCGAGACAAAACAACTAACAATAAACCAGTTTCAAAAACTTAAAGTGAAAGACTTTTTAATAAAGCAATCCTTTTACAGCTTGGAGCAGTTTATCTTTTTTCAAAATATCAATAACTATATTTAGTCAGATATTGCATGTGTGGATATGCCCGATGAGCGTTTTATGTTATAGTATGTTTTCAATATTATGTTGTATACATTTTCTATGTTTGTAACATGCTAATAAACGGAATGAAATTAAATGAAATAAGCGTATATATAGTTTCTATTACTTACTATTACAGAGTACTGCACAAGACTCTCACAGCGTCTCTTTTTGATTCTTTAAATAGAACCACCTGCATATCCGGATTCTAAGGAAAAAATATAATGTTCGGTATAAATTCAATTTCCAAAACGATTTTTCGGTATTGCAGACACCAATCGTTTAATGTGTCAAGTTTAAATTCGTTTATTTTTAACGTGATGTGTTTTGATGTCCTGCAAAAATAATTTTCTCGAATATTTATCCAAAGAACTTCGGAATCTAAGCCCGAAGAACCAGCTACTTTACAACCCAACCCATCCCGTCCTGTGATTTATTGCATTTATTAGTCACAGAAACAAAATGATTATTTGACGACAATAAACCCTTAATGTATCCAATGATGAATAAAATTAAAAGCTGCTCAAATTTAATGAAAGGAATAAAGCGAAACTAGAACTAGCCAATAGAATGTTGAAAAAAATCTACACTGGTTTCGCCTTGGCCGGTATTCCCTGTACTAACCAAATTATCCTCCGATCGTCATAGAATGTTTTCGCTTTCAAGCCTGGGTCGAGTATTTTCTTCGACGGCCAATATTAAGGTGTAGCATACAGACAATTCATGAATCCAAATATAATAGGGGATAAACGACTATAATCGTTTAAAAATTCACACAAAATGGTCGTAGTATAAGTATAGTATACAACATGTTATAAACCTCTACACTATTTACTATCTCAATTTTTGGTATATGTTAACCAATTTTGGATTTCTTTTCTTTTATTCAATTTTTTTATTTAAAATCTTTTCAATAAGATATAAACCAATCTGGTAGTTAATGAACAATCATGGATAAAATATTTTAACAAAATTTACCTTAAAAAATACATAAAATATTTTATTAAACCTATGTTTTCACTAACAATAGCTGAATGTTGAAATAACTATTTTATTAAAAATAAGTTCGTTTTGTAACCGTGCAATCTTGAACATCAACATGGTATACCATTTTAGAACCAGGTAATTGGAAAGGTGCAGGCGATGGATATAGACGAGGGTCTTAACGCTACGATAGACTTCGAAATAACACAAGTCTTGAAAGAAAATGTGGACTATACAAAGGAAGACTTGTTTTTCTTTGACAAAATGGACGATTACAATGAAAGCGAAACCACAAAACTAGGAACACTAAAAGCGAACAAAGATTTAAGGGATTATTACGGTGAATACACACTCAAACTATTGGTAAGTTCATTCTAGAAGACAAGACATAATACATGTAATATTATGTTTAATATCCTAGACAATAAAATGGATACCTAATGTGTATAGTTATTATATATGAACCTACTTTTTGTACTTTAAATCTACAATTTAGAGTTCTAAAAGCTTTAAAATTTTTGGCACAAAAAAAATACCAAATTTTCTTATTTTAGTTATCTGATGAAGGTACACCCCAGATGTTTAACGATACCACTTCCTTGACGGTTAAAATAGAAAGATTTAACTACCACTCTCCAACGTTTTTGTTTCCAGGCGACAACGATAAATCGCTGGTATTAAGTACAGTAAGTATCAATCAGTGGAGCTAAACGGCAAAATTAAAATAATAAAAATCACAATTCCTTAATAGAAAAAGTAAAGCTGAAACTCGTTCAATAGAATGGAAACAATATGACGCTTTTTAATAAATATGTTTTTTCTTTAAAATCTTATAAAATCAAGTTAAGCAATGATTCCATCTCTCCCATGAACAACTTAATAAAGTTTACAGTGGGAATATTTTAGGACCAAGAACCCTACAGCCAACTTACTCAATATTTGCAATCTAAAGTTGTACCGGATATCAAAATTAGCGACAGTGACGATGACACATGTTCTACCAAGTGGAATCCCACGCTTGATGTAACACAGACTGAACCGAGTAAGTCATTTTATATAGTTTGTTTTTTGTTGCGTTTGAAAATAATGTGGGCTCAAAAAAATCTTTCCAAGCTAGAGTCAATGCTTCCAAAACCTTTATCCTGTAGCTATTTCATCAACAAAGTGCCATCAGAATAATTTGTTCATTCGGATTTTACGATACAGTATTTAAAAAATATTATTACATCAGATATAGAAAACAACGGACCGCAAATTTAAATTTGAAACCAATAAAATGTTCTTTTTATGTATTTCTGCTATTGTTACTATCATATTAATAAACTATCAATTTTCCGGTTCTTTGCCCCTAAATATGACCCCGTAAAATATTTTCATATATTTTGCAATATAAACGAAACCCAAATAAAAAATTATAAATGAAATTTTTTGAGAAAGTAAGTAAAAAAGTAAGCCAGAATAATGGCGTAACTATCAACACTACCTAGTAGTTCTGCTACAATGCTACCGGTTTTTCAAATATGTACTACTTATTGCACTATAAAATGTACCCATGGTTGCCACCGAACACTTTAATATTTTCCGATAATTGTATTGAAGTGATATCTACAGAGTGTTATAAATAAATAAATATTATATACAAGACATAGGGGAAAAAAATCGTTTTAATAAAAACTATAAAAATAAAATATTTATCAGACAAAAACATTTTTCAACATTCTAAGAATATTTTCGAACAATAAGTTGCCGTCACTAATGGCACTGCACTTAATTATGTTATCTAGTCAATGCTAAATCGGCCCGCTGCAAACAACTCAAAATGTCTTACAAATCGGTGAATAGATATTTGAAGTGTTACGAAAAATGCGTTATTTTAAAAAGTTGTGACACCAATTTTTCATAACATGACCTGAAAAATCAGCCTTTCAAATATTGCCGCATCTTTGTTAAACTATTCAAAACGTTTTTAAAATAGCCACTGCTACAACTTTTGTATTTAATTTTATGTAGTATATCTACCTCATAAATCAATAGATAGATACCCAGGTACTCATATTTAAGATTTTAATTAATCCTTTGGTAGACAAAAGCGTGTTACTATAAATCTAGGTATAATTGTTTTTAATAAATATTCAGAGCTTTAGTTCATTAAGTAAAAAAGACTTTTTTTTACATTTACCATCTCCGAAATCTCTAATATTAAAAAGACTTTTTCTAAAACACAAGGGTTTTAATTGTTTATTATGTGAAATAAATAAATTAATGTCATCTACAAATCTTGCGTCGATTGTTGATGAATTAAACAGTAATTGATAAAATGACTAAAAACAGCTCGTTAAAATTTAAAAAAAAAATTTCAAAGAAACTTCCACAAGCTAATATAATATTATTTACAAATCTTCTCGATTCAAACTGGGTCGGTTGTTGTTGCATCGAACTTGCTGATGTTTCGCTAATCATCCTGTTGACTTTATTAGAAAACTGGTTTGCATTCTACTCAATGCGTGATTATGTACTGTTTGAATCCAGAGTTTTCTAAAAAGTATTACAGTAGCCTGTGGAAGTTTCTTTGAAAAATTAGAATGCAAACTAGTTTCACTTAAGCTACGACGAAGCCAACAGCCACCAAAGTCAGCAAGTTCGATTCATCAATAACCGACGTAGGAGGAATCCAGAATATTTATAAATATTACAGTGGCCTTTTAATGTTTCGTTTTCTCTAATTTTGTGGTTAATTTTTACGCTGTTTTTAGTGATTTTACGAATTACTATGGGATGGTGTTTATTTCCACTACAATGCCATTGATTCTAACATTAATATGCGATATGCAGATAGTGAAACAAAAAATACTGATTGCAGGTGGAATATCGATATTTCTTATTAATACCACTAGCGCAGCAGACGAATGTACAGGACAGCTCCAGCTCAATACGTATTTTGATAAGAATTTAGTTGTTAATAAAATGTACAGCGTAAGTTGATAATCTATTCGCATTTTGTTATTTATCGTCCCGCTGCATTCTAGTTGACACTAACAGCCAGGCTAGAAGAAGGTACAGCTCCCTCCGACCAAGAACCATACGAATCTAGTGTCTTTTTGGAGATCACATTTCTCGACGTTACACAGGATCCTATTTTTGACCAAACCAAAGGTCCGTGGAAACTTTCGTTTCGAGAACAGTATTTGCCCGATCCCGAAACGTTACCTAAGAATCTTGAAGCGTATTATCCCAATGTCACAGATCTTTCCAAATTTTATTTTCTATATACCGACGACCAAGACGTTGAGGACACCTTTAAAGTCGACCCTACGACAGGTAGCTTAAGTCTGTTGCAAATGTTGGACTATAGTATTCATACAACTTACAATTTCCAAATTGTGGCCTCTAAAAACCAGTCGGGAATATCTAGCAATAAAGCCTCGTATCTGGATGTCGCTGTTACCGTAAGTATACTTCGATTATGCTATTAATTTAAAAATTCTCGTAAACTAAGAAAGGCAACTTGTCCAAATATGTGCGGTAAACTATTAATACGATTGCATTCACAGAATAAAAGCCAAAAAAGCAGAAATAGGAAATTAGTTTGTGGCTTCTAAATACAAACTATTAATAGAAATTATATTTCTCATATTCAGTTCACTACAGAAAAAGATTAAGGGTTTCTGAAGAATCAAATAGGAAGTCACTGCAAAAATTTGTAAAAGGCAACAAGTCTCCGTTTAGTGGCCCTTTACTGGAATTAACTTTCCATTTTACAATATCACCACGAAAGTTGTTTATTAAAGTATTTATTTATTGATTGTATTGTATTTTTTGTCTTAAAATATTAAAACCAGATTAACTTTGCATTGCGATAACGATTTATATAGTGCCATTTGAATATTTTTTTAAAATAGAGTGCTTAAGAGAAAACTGAAAAAAAATACAATAATTATATTCAAAAATAACTTATTTTTTAAATATCCTTTTTATAAAAAATGACAATTTTGACACAAAGTCAGCAGTTATTTGCAACTACACTTAACTTTTAACAACTCCTCTTTTGTTTTCAATCTCTGTCAGTAATGTGGATCGGTGATTCCGTTAGTCGCAGTTTTTACTATCCACCTACAATCCAAAGGTTTTCAACAATACCTTCTATACTGGTTATCTTAATCTTGTAATGTGAATAGATCATCCCTCAGTGCCAATAAATGCTCATGATCGAGTGTAACTTTTTCTCACCTTGTTAAAGGTAGAAATACTGTCTATAATCTCGGAAAATGAATGAAACTTAGAAGATGCCAATTCATTCATATGTAATTTAATAATCGTAGAAACTCTGTTTTTATGGATCATTAACCGACCTACATTATTTCGATATTATATCCCTACACCCGTCTCCCATCGCTCTTTAAATACTAGCACAAACTTAACGAGCTACTTGGCTAGGTAAGAAATTAAAGGTTTTATTTTACATCGCTAACTCAAACCGTTTAAAATCGCGCAGAATTATCCAGTAGGGATCAAATAGAAACTCAATATTTCGTTACAGGTAATCGAAATTAATAACCATTCTCCAGAATGGGATCAACCAACCTTTTTTGGAGCGATTATGTCGACTTATCCCAGAAACACCAAAATTTTGACAGCGAGTGTAAGTACCGCCATTCAATTCCTAATTAGATTAATGAACTGCTTACCTCTTAATGAATTCAGGCAACTGACAAAGACGTAATAGATCAGGGAAAGCTGGAATACGCAATTAACAGTACTTTTGAGCGGTCGGGATCGAGCAGTATTAATACTGTTAATGACCCACCTTTCCTCTTATCTACAACTACAGGGGACATAACTTTAAATTTTGCGGTTGACAACTCTATGACGGGTCATTTCTGGTTTAACATAAGCGTTAAAGATAGGCAGGACGACTATGGTAACGGTGGGTACAAGTAGTTAAAATTATTTGTAATGAAATTAGGTTCTAACAATTTTCATCCTGCAGGTCCTCATTTTAATTTTACTACAGTCACTATCTACATTGTAACCACAGAGCACACAGTTAATTTTAGATTTGGAAATGTGCTATCTGCAGTGCTGAATAATCAGGCCGAGGTAAGTCTTAAATTTATGTTATTCCATCAAATAATTTATGCTTTGAAGATTCTGGGCATTATAAGTAATATTCTGGGCAATGACTGTTATGCACAAAACATAGACGTTGACAGTCAAGAAGGGCAAGATTTAGATAATCAGACACTTGCCAGTGTATATTGTGTAGAAGACAATACACTTGTATCTTCTGAAGAAATTCTTAAGTGAGTAACCAGTTGAGCAACCACCAAGTTGCCTAACATTACATTTTAAGGAAAGTAGCAAGTTTGACCACATTCCAAAACTTAAGAAGTACATTAATGGGTAATGCTTCTGTATGGTTGTTACCATTTACAAGTGAAAGCACTCCCGAAAATCTGGAAGAGGTCCTTAAAGCTTCCATTATAGGTGTCACGGTTGTACTTGGAGCTGCCTGTTTCATTTTAAGTGTTACATTCTTTTTCAAAATGAGAGAGTAATATAGGGTATTTGTCACAATTTAACAAAGTAACAAATAGTCTTTTAGATTGAATACCAGATTAAAGAAATTAACTGAACCCAAATTTGGTTCAGATGAATCTGACCTAAACCGAAAAGGCATCAACGGTGTTAACGCACCTAATACCAATATCCATGCAGTTGAAGGTTCGAATCCAGTTTTCAACAACGAAATAATTAAGAACAAAGATTTTGAATATGATAAAAAAAGGTGAGTAGTCAGTGATGCTAAGTTTTAGACTCAATAGTTATAATTTCAGCATTCACAGTGGAGATTCAGATCTAATTGGTATTGAGGATAGTCCGGAGTTTGACTTCTTTGAAAAAAGTATTGGAACTGAGTGAAATCTAGTTAATGTTTGATTATTAAATTGTGATAAAAAAAATGTAGATAATTGGGAATACATTTCCAAAAATATTATGTGAATATAATTTGCCTGTCTTGGCAGGGACTTATTACTACAAAAAATACTTGAAATAATATAACAAATATAATTGACACCTATGTATGTACACTCAAAACTCATCATCATCATCATCAACATCCAAAAATACATCAAACACTTCCATGTTGCAAATTCCCTCGCTGCTGAAGACATACTTATGGGCAGTACCATCCAAACAAAGTGCTAAAACATCAAAATTTATTTTTATATGTTCTTTAATTTATATGGGAAATGTGAAAATGTAGTCAAAGCAGATTCAAAAGATTTTGTATTATTATATTGTATTATTATTATAAAAGACCATAAACTTTACCATAAACAGAGTTTTGGGGACCAAATGCACAGAGACAAGCGCACTCAGCAGAAACTGTAAAATGTGCAAGACCCCACTGAGATTCACCATATTTTCCTAAAATCCCTACATTTGACATTCTAAAAATGCAAAAATAATGTGTAAACAAATTGTAAAATTTTAAATAGCTGCACTCTTAACAGTTTTATCTTTGGAAACTACATTTTTACTTACGCCATTCTTTTATTTAAATTTGTTTGCTTTATGGCAAATATATGTACGGTACCCTTGTCACTTGAACAACACAAATAATCAGAATCTCTGCTAAAATTTATGCTAAAAATAAAAGCAGGATATGAATAAACTAAACATTGTAATTATAAAAAATAAAAAAATAATAAACTTTTATAATGCTCACCAATACACTGTGGCTGCATCAGACCCTCGTCGCAATTCTTGCAACAGATTCCTACTTGATGTATCCCACACCCTGATGAGAGTTCCCTGACAAGAAGCAGTTGCTATCTTAGTACCTTGCTGATTTAACGCTAAACAAGCCAATTCATTTTTGTGTGCTGCTATATAAACTGGAGCACTAGATATGCCTTGCTCTGTATTTGAAATATCCTGAATAATAAGACAAAATCTAATTATTGCCTATTCTTCATGAAGATTTTAAATAACTTACTACTATTTGCACACTCCCCAATTTATGACCTGGAAATATTAACACTTCCTTTTGAGCGGATGCTAATGGGCTAACCTCACATAAACCCTTGTAATTGTCTCTTGTTTCTAATGAAAACAATTCTTGCGTAGGATATAATATTGAAAATACATGTATTTTGTTTAATAGAGCCACAACAATTCTGAAATTTGAAAAGCTTATCATTTATTAGGCCGGATATTCGTCCATAAGGGAAAAAAATTGGTTTCAAAGTGAACTCACTTGTCTCTGCGTAACCTCACAGCTCGAATGGAAGATGAAAATTTAATTTCCATGAAGACTTTTTTCTTTGAATCATCATAAAGATGCAGAATATTGTCTGGCATTTTCGGACGCGCACCGCCAGAGACAATAGCTAGGATATTGGTGCGAAAAAGCATTTCACACTGAGAAACACTTCCGACCATTTCTGTATCTACAGGAAAGACAATATAAACAAAAAATTTAAATGATTATTAAAGGAATGTAGTACTCACCATAATGAGATTTTTCTACTAGGGGTTCCAAATTATAAATTCTAATCCCACTTTCCATGCAACATGAAAAACAACCTAGTGCGTAATATCTTGATTCCACAAATTATCAAACTAAATTTTGTACTTACCTTGGTCCTGATTAAAACGGAGGCTAATAACTCTCCTGTCACAACTCATTATGTATTTGTGCTCATTCCCGTTCAACCCAAAATTTTAAATTTCAATTCTTTCACAAAAAATATTTTAAAAAACTAATTCCTTGTTATTTGTTTTCCTGCAACATGGATTCTTCTTCATCGAACTCTATGGCCACCTGGCCAACATTCGTTCACATTTTTCTGTGGTCTATCGATGCTGTCGCGAGTCGGGACAAGCCAGCAGCATAGGACACTAAAAATACAGAGAATGATTGAATGAAAGAACCTATTTACCATTTAATTTCTGTACAAAAAGGCAATTAAGTAGATGATGTTAATGGACCTTAAAATAAATGTGTTTGGATTTGAAAGCGATAAGCTTTTTCTTTAGTTAAACAATCGAATAAATTACTGAAAGCACTGCTAACGATATTAATGCCAATTGAGCCAACGTGTATAAAAAAGAAGAAGAAGTGAAGTTAACCTAAAAGTTTATAGATTTTAGGTGTATTAGATTAGAAGTAATATCTATTATGACTAAGTTGTTAGAGGGTTGGAGATATGGCGTCTTTATTACAATGCTGGTAGGGGCAATAGGATTAACATGTTATCCAATTATAATTGACCCAATGGTAAATACGAAAAAGTGGAGTAAGTTTGTATATTTGTTAAATGTAATTTTGCATTATATATGGGGGTTCTTTTTAGAAAAAATTCAAGATCACACTCGAAAAAACATAAACCAAGAAGACGTTCAACCTGGGAGTAAGTGCATGCTTACTTTTCTTACCTTTACACAGATTTACACAGATCCCTCAAGTTCAGTTGTATAGAGTAGTTTAACAGTAAGAGTACTAAAGAAATTAATAGGCTAGGGAGCCTTTTACGCCTCTGTGCCTATAATATATATGTAGTACCCAAAAGAAAAAAGTAGCAACAATAGGAATGTTGTCATATCAGAAAAATCTCAGATTATAAGTTTTAAAAAATACTACAATATATTATGTATTTAGATTGATTATGCGAAATTCAACACTGGTAACATCCTTGCTTTACTATTATTTCTGTGGCATTTCACGGTTATTGTTTTCAAACTTTTTCTGTGATTTTTAAGGATTTTTTTGCTAGTTATCCTTGATCCTAATGGGAACCACAATTCAAATACAGCTAATAACTTGTGATGTTATGTTAAAATGTGTAAAATCATTCTAATCATGTGTGACGTCAGATCCATGGTAACTCACCAAAAAATCCATTGTTTATGTTACATGTGTTGACAGTTCTTTGTTTGCAACTACGTCTTTTTTTTAGATATGAAAGTTTGGACGGATCCTTTTGATAGAAAAAAGAGCTAAAAGGATATTTCATATATAGAAATTTTGTATATAATCATTAATTAAAGTGAATTAGCCTTAAGACTTGTTCATCTATTCTCATCACTCACCAAATATGTAGCAACTTTTCAATATTTGGTTAGTGCTCCTGATTCTCTGCAAAGAGAAGAGTTCAAAAGAAAGAATTTCCACATGCTTCCAACCGCGGAATAGCGAGACGTAGGGATTGCACAATACTATATCTTAATTTTTCTCAAATAGTAATGTTTTTGTAAAATGGTATAATGAAACAGTGTTAAGTTCCGCATCCAAAGACACTTATTATTATTAAACCAATAAAAAAAAGGTACTTTGAGGGGAGGCGGGAGTAGGCCACCGATTATACCTACACTTTTCCTCCCTTGTGTTGAAAATAACTCCCTGTTTTCAGTTGAATTTTAATAATTTTTTAACGACAGTACATTTTAATACATTCCGCTTTAAAAGTAATTTTGAATGTACAATTACAAACCATTGTCACCACAGACTACTAAAGTTAGTTTTAGTAACTGACGTTATGCAACTACTAGCAAATCTAGTTTGAAGGATAGTCCCACTACTCTCTCTCTCTCTCTCTCGCCAAACAGTGAGTTGTCAGTGTTTGCCGACAGTTTGATTTGTAATTTTTTATAGGTTATACTGGACGATAACGACTTTTACTCTAAACAATAAAAAAAATGTATGTTGTCTACCGTATTCCAGCAGAGGCAAATTATTTCCCAATGTCAAACAAATGTACATAATTATTTTTCTATGGATAAAGAAAAGCCTTTTTTTTATCAAAAATATTTACAATTTGAAACAGACTCTTTTTGTTTGGGTTAGTGGGATAGCAATAACAAAGCAATAATAATCCCGACGACGCTTTGCATAAGAATGAAACTTGTTACTTGTGATAATCTTCAAGGTCGAAATTCAACATTGTTAACATCCTTGCCTTACTATTATTTCTGTGGTGTGTTTCACGGTTATTGTTTTCAAATGGGAATCGAAAAATTAGCATTTGTTACAGGTATATATTTTTCAGTTTTGTACCAACTTTTATTCAAAAATCGTTTTTCCTTATCCTACTAATAGGTGCTGGGTCCGGACTAGGTAGGGCTACATGTTTGGCGTTAGCTCGCGAAAAGGCTGTAATTGTTGCAGCAGATGCAAATATTAAAACAGCTAAAGAGACTGTAAATTTAATCACAAAAGAGTCAAAACAAAATCATTTGGCAGTCGAGGTACAAGTTGAAAGCTCTAAGAGTGTGAGGGAGGCACTTGCACAAGTGCTTCAGAATTATATAACACCACCATCAGTAATAGTAAACTCGGCGGGAATTTTAAGGGATAATTTCCTGACAAAGCTCTCTGAAGAAGATTTTGATGAAGTTTTGGCTATTAATTTAAAAGTACTTACTACTAGTAGTTACTTAGATTTATTATTTAAAATCCAAAAACCATGGTATATTATTTTAGGGTACATTTTTGGTCACACAAATATTTGCAAATGCAATTATCGAGCACCAAATTAAAAATGGTTCAATAATAAATATTGGCAGCATTGTGGGTAAATATGGTAACTTAGGCCAGGCAAATTATACTGCAAGCAAAGCAGGTGTAGAGCTATTAAGCAAAACAGCTTCCCAAGAACTGGGTAAATTTGGAATTAGAGTAAATACAATATTACCAGGAATGATATGGACACCAATGCTACAATCGGTGCCAGAAAAAGTAAGAGAGAAGTTTGTTAAAATGATTCCCTTAGAGAGGTTTGGTAAACCTGAAGGTTAGTTTTTGATTAAGATTCTAGAATTATTAAACTACTGAACTATATTTTAAAACTTTTTAGAAGTGGCTGAGGTCATAGCATTTCTTGCTTCTGACAAAAGTTCTTATGTCAATGGATCATCCATTACTATTACAGGCGGATTTTAATGGACATTATATTGGAAATAGTTTTATAATTCTAGCCTTCTAGCTACATACCAACACTCCCTTTAATAGAGATCAGAGAAGACTAAAATAATAGAACTAGTACTTTGTTAAAAAATATTAATGAGGACTTATTAAATCTATTAACTTTTCCTTTCAAAAGTCAGTATAAAAATAACTGGAAGTATTTCAAACTAAATGTTATATATAGTGTTTCTTGGGAAATTCTTGAACACAATAAGCCTTTTGCTAAGTAAATAATAAAATCATTCTTCAACTTTTTATTTTAAATATATTAAAAACTAGTTCTTTTTCTTTAACCTTTTAGCATGTCTCCATGCCTTATAATGAGTTTTTTGTTTTTCTTCTATAATCTCCTTATACTTTCTTTTGTTGTACTTCTGAAATTCTGCATCTGCTAAAAGTTCATCAACAAGTGTCTTTTTGCGCTCCTTCTTAGATAAACGGTTGTTATAAAAGTCTAAAGGTGAGTCTAGAACTTTACCGATCTGAAAAGATATCAACTTAGATAATCTTGATAAAAATTTTTGGTAAAATCTCATACCTGAAAATATTTAGGCAAAACCTTTAAATCATTTTTTTTGTAAAAACGCTTGGGATCTAGCACAGATCTCATTTGTAGGATTTCTAAATCAAGTTTGACATCCTCGGTAATTTCAGTTGCGGGAAGACCAAACCATTTTTTGCCTTTTGTTTTTTCCCTTTCTTTCTAAACAAAGCTCATAGTTCAATAAATTTAACAAACCAAATAACAATAATATACCCGTCTTTCCTCTAGTGCTTTTCGTTTAGAAATTTCATAAGGTGGAACAACCTGGAGCTTTTCAAATCCAGACTTGAGCACTACCGATTTCTGTAGTATCAGTTGGGCTTCTTGTTTTTGGATATTAATTGTCAAATCGTCTGCATTCTTCTTCCTCCGACACTCCTTAGAGCTATCTTTTTGATGATTCCATCCAAGCTCTTCTAAAACTTGTTCCGTTTCATCTACATTCAAAATTAATTTGGGTTCTTCTTTCTTTTCATATCTAGCTCTTAATGAATGCTTAAATTTGAGCAACTCTGTAAGGACTCCTGGTGGTCCAGCTGAAAAGTCAAAATAACAGTGGCAGTAAACCAAAATAATTAACTGTTACTTGTGTCATGTGTAATCTCTTGTTTAGTTTTAACTAAAGGTTCATCACTACCATCAATGTCAATAGTAAATGGTTCGATCGGATCCATAATTATTTTTTATTAAAAAAAAATACCACGCAAAAGTCAGTTCCTCTGCGTTAAGATTATGACCACAGAATCCATCTTCTTCTTTACAATTTACGTAATGTGGAACATTTACTAGGGAGACGCGCCCATTGCCGTCGGAGCAGCTAATAACAAGTATTTTACGGATTACTGGCGATTTTGAAAGGAGCAGACTACAACAACCTGTACAATATGCAATGTTTTCCACAAAATGAAATAAATTCAACTCAGTTATGCTCTTCAAAATTTTCATTTCGATCACAGACCGACACATATAATGATTTGATAGTACAAACAATTAAACTTGAAATTTAAAGCAATACTAAACAAAAACTACTCCGGCTCTAACTGGCGTGAATAACGAAAATGGAGGAACCGTAAGATACAAATTAACTGAAGCATTAGACTAACAATTAACTACTACAACTTAAAGCAGACGGATAATAATTATTTTTAACTAATTACATCGAATTCTGTAGCTTGCGGACTAGCTACAACCTGCCGTGGGCAATGATTACCACGGAATACGAAGGGAGGATTGTGGCCATAGTATGTTGACTGGGACTCGACAAAATCACCAAACAAAAAGACTCATTGTATTTTTTTGCGTCAAACATATTATGTGTTAATTATTAGTATAAAATGGCGAGGCAATATTAAAAAGTTCTTCAGTATTTTAAATAATTTCTTCACAGTAGTAGATCAGACTTTGGTAAAAAAAATTTGGTGTGCAATGAGACTTTCAAAAATATATCATTTGACTTTAATTCTTATTTTACCAACATATAGGTACCGCAAAATGTTTGATAAGTAAATGCAACGCGAAATATATTTTCATTTTATTTGACATTTGCATCTAGACATTAAAAACTTAAGGACACTTTAAAATTATCCCTATCACAGTAAGACTAGATGAACAGACAAAATGTCAAATACTTAAATCGATATAAAAATATCAGCAGTGTGATTAATATCTCAGTTGTAGTTTGTCTCAAAACTAATTAAGTTTCGGCAAACTCATAGATGACAAAGAATTTCGTAACTCAGAAATTAGAAAAAATGTACACACACACAAGTTATATCGTAGCACTTAAAGAATATAAGTGTTTCGAATTCAAACCTTTGCAGGATTTAGTTGCTATGCACTAAATACTTATATGTATGAAAAATTAACATTTATGAGTTTTTTTTATAAAAATACAAATAAGTACTCTTAATTATACTATACTATATCAAAAACTGCATTTTATGTTGACATATACATAAATATCACCCACCGGATGAATTGATCTAATAAAACAGCTCGTAAAACACTTTAAGTTTCATAGAGCTTAATAAAAGTTCAGAGTAGGTATTTCACGCTACTGTTTGATAGTGGTGAAGAACCATGGAAACATCATATCAATTAGAAAATTTTGTTTAAAGAAAACTCTAAAAGGAAAAATACTTATCTGTTTGTAAGCATATAGAACTTATAAGGATTGCAATAATAATTATAATAAATTTAGGATATCCGCAAAGTTGTTAAATGTTTCCTAGGTAAATCATGCACAAGTTGGCACCAATGGCAGTTCCTATTTAAGTTTATCACAAAAAAAGCAACTTAGATAGTAAGATCTTCCCAGTCCTCTTTCTCTCTTGGCGATAGAGATATCCGGATTTTAGTAATGCGCGATAGCTGATCGTGTATTCTGGGCGTAATGGGGTTTCTTGTCAGATCTATGTTTTGCAACGACGGAGCTTCTTCTAGAAAATCTACTTCTATATCTGAAATATATATAAAAATGTCAACTACTTTGTAGGTACAAAAATGCGACAAGCTTACCCACTATATGATTGTCATTGGCATTAAGCTGATTTAGTTTTGGCATCTTAAATATACATGTCGGAAGAGATGTGAAAGTGTTGTGGGATATATCAAGCCTTTCTAGCGAGCCCATTTCGGCGCATTCTTCAGGCAATTTTGACATTTGATTATGTGAAAGATTGAGGTCCGTGATAAGGTTGAATTTTACAGCAAACTTGGGAGGTATTTTGGTGATGACGTTGTCGCTGAGATCACAAGTTTTGAGTTCGGTGTGCCTCATCAGATGATAAACCGCGTCGGGTACTTGCATTAACTGGCAATTGGAAAGATCTGAAAAACATAAATGTTTCCAGTTAACGTCACGCGGGAGACGGTTGTCAATTAAACATCTACAAATATCTCGAACTAACCCCGTATATTAGAATAGTCACGACTGAAACGTTTTCTTTGACGCGTGTTATAAAAAAAGCACGGAAGTGAAATGGAAGATCCAGTATAATTTTTACGTAACTCTTTGTTTTATTTCGTACCTACCTATATGCCACCTGCATAGACTTTCTCGAAACCTAATTAATGGACATTACATATTAGAAAACATTGAGTGTTTACTAAACGATTCCAATAAAATATTAAATATGCAGGACTGATTTTACGTTTAGAATATCCAAATATTTCATCGAATAATAATTCTATTACGTAAGAATTCTTTGCATAAAGGCTGAGAAAAATTTGAAAAAAAATGTCAGCTCGAAGGTTTGCAGCAAACCATATGTCTACAAATAGGCACCTAAAATATAACAATAAAAAACGATCAAATAGCAGGTCTACCTAAATTTTGATTCTCCTTTGCATCATCGCACCTGTGAATCACTTTAGTTACCGCCGAAGCCATGATTAAGGAATATGGGCGCGGAATACGGGCCACAGTTTTTTTCAAAATGGTTGGTTGTACAGGATTTCAACATAAATCGTCCTAGTTTCCAGCAGAAAACGCAAGCAGATGGATTTTGGGTTTCCGCTGCTGTTTGCGCCTGTCCGAATTTATTTTTAGTATATTGCTAATATGCTGTTCCGATTTTTGAATAGGTGTATGGCGCAGAATATAGGAAAAGCACTTTCGCATGTTCATTGAATGATGTTTTTATAATGAATGTTGGCGCGTTTCTTTGATGTACGGTTTTCTGCACAACATTTTCATTTGAGCAATTTATGGTCTTTTACAAAAAAAAATATGTTTTTCTACTCCCGTCAGTAAAATGCCTCATTACACACCGATCTAGCGTACGAGAAGCGTCACTTTATCAAGTCAGTTTCGTTTACCACGGATCCGAGCCACTTCGGACATTTTCGGGATTTTTCCGCACGGGTTTGGTGGCAATCGGATGTTTTTGGAGATTTACCGCACGGTTTGAATTTTGACGTTTCTCAATTATAACGGTGATGTCAGTGAATGTATTCGTCTTGTTTTGCAAAAATGTACCCAAAAACTAATACATAGAAAAATGTTATGCAATATATCAGACAATTTAAATACTAAGTGCTGTAAGCTACAATTAAAATCTAGTGGACTAGTCGGTAAGTAAAGTGAAATTTATAATTTAAGTTTCCCACAGAAATTTTGCATACCGATCACATGAACTTTAGTGGTTTTTACAGTTTTTATATTAATATCTTGACAAGACCAATTGTACTATTTTCAAATATCCATCTCTCATCAGTACAAACAAAACAAAATTGAAGGTTAGGGCCCGCTTTTTCTTGCTTATACAATCTTAAAAATTTAATTCTCTTAAAAGCTCTATCCTTGGATGATTTTTTATCCAATTCCAGTGTTTTTCTTTAAATAAACTACTTAATCATCAATTGTAAAAGTTAAATAAACAACATAATGTTTTAAAATTGTGTTTATTCCGTTGTTTACATCTCTTTGTCTAACGAAACACGGTTCAAAAGAGACAACAATAGCAGAACCGAATAGGTTTAATTTCAGCTAATAAATATTTTGTTTTTAGTAATCCGATAATTTGTTATTATTTTTAATTTGTTAAATTGTGATTTTTTCGTGACAGTCGTAGAAAAAATATAGTATGCAACATGTTTGGTAAACTCTATCTCACTCATTTATTAAGCCCTCGCTCCGCTACGCTCCGCTCGTGCCAAATAAACTCTTGAATCAAATGCTGTTTACTGACCTTGTTGCATAATATACTTTTAGTGCCCAGTATATCGGTAGGATGAACCAACTAAGAGGATGGAGGATTAGATACGCCTGCATAAGCGGTATATAATTTTTAAATTTTATTTTGGATTTAGTTGACAGCTAAATCGGCAAAATACATTTCAAAAATGCTTGTACAGGAACGCTTGTCAACATTGTAATAAAGATAATTATTATTGTATAAGTGCGCAATGGAATTAGCAATAATGCCAAATAATTAGTTTTAGTGCAATATAAAAAAATTATTCAAATTTGAATTCGAATTGGATGAAATAACTGATCTGTATAATAATTTGATCATATCGAAAGTAAACAACTTCGACCTAATATGGTTCAAAAAATTAATTACGGTAGAAAGATTTTATTATGCGGAAATATATAAATATATGCTTCAGCAATTCAACGCAGATTCAAAAAACCAAACTTATTATTTTTACCGCTTAATTTTCAAAAATACATCTTATTTATATAATTAAAACAGAAATTCTAATCCTGGCACCGACTCTAATGGGAAATCGCAGCTAAAAATATAGCATGCTATTTGTGGCTTTAGTCATAAAAAACACACCATGGGATTAACTCTGTGCGCGTATCAAGAGCACTTCCGCCTTATTAGAAAGGATATTTTAAGGACTAACCCGACCAACAAATGCGGCACATTTTTGGATTGATTTCCAATAGGTCTTTATTGGTACAAAAATTTATTAAAACCTTCCCAGCGCCAAAGGATTTTTATTTTCCTTGAAAAGGAAACAGTTTATTACGCCTTAACGGTCTTGTATTCAATTCAATTGCAAAAAGTAATAATTATGAAATATCTGAAAAATGTTAATCGACCTTTTTTCTCAAAATGATGGTTATAACCGCAAGTTTATATTTTATACTAAAATATTATGAAGAAGTTACACCTAAATTTAAGTTAGCCAGTAGAGGAAAAAATATTTTTTACTTCTATAAATCTTTTTTCAGTTTTAACATTTTAATTTACGGTAAGGTGTAAAATTAGATCATATTTATATGTAAACCTTCAAGCTAATTGAATAGGGATATTTAGCAACTTACCCGGAAAATACTTTTTAATTACTCATCGAATGATACAGATAGTTTTTTTTTGAATAGTCGAAATTTGGATTATTATTGTCTTGGTGTTGTCTAGCGGAAATGAAGATTTACCGAAAATATGAGCGTATTGATATGATTTTCATCTTTGGACATAAAGGTTTTACTTTTTAAAATTGAATGAATTTCAATTAATTAAAAAAATGCTAAATATTGAAGTTATGTAAAAGAAATTTCCGTAAAAATGTAACAATAAATCACACTTGATATCGTAATTAGCAGAAACTTGCACTTACGCTTTTTATTTACGCATGTATTTTGTATACCAAAACATTGGAAATTAGATTTTTTTTTTGCGTTATTGTGATGTTTCCTAAAAGTTTTCTGTGAATTTTGATACTTTATAGTTGCATTAATTACTTACCTTCATACTCTTTGATATTAGTTCAAATTCTATAACTTTTGTAACTCCTGCTTTACTTAGGTTATTATGTAAAAAGCAGTTTTTCTTTGTCAATTCAGTTTGCGAACAATTCGTAAAAGCGAATAATTCATTAAAAAGTTGCATTAAACGAATCCAACAGATAATATTCGATCGTGCGATCTTTCGCGTACTTTCACATGGGATATTTTCTAATTAGCCATGCTACAATCACCGGACGAATACTTTTTTGCCGATTACTCTCAACGTAACTAGTTCCAAGGGAAAAATTGAATGATTCGACTAGATGACGGTTTCCTGTATTTTGTTCCATAAACAGACTTAGAACTGTTTGTTTGGTTTTATTTTCGCTTTGTCGATTCAATTCAGTGACCTTTATACGCCATTTATGGGCAGGATAAGGTTGACCGGTAAGAAAAAGTGCGGAATCCAAGAGTCCGTCATAAATTGTTTCGACCGGGTACTCACAATAATTGTGAATATAAAACATTGAAAGTCCGAAAACTTCACACGATTCTTATTTTTCCACGATTCCATTACATCATATCACCACATATTTTGAGTTCAAGTATCATCTATTGGGTTTTGCTAATATCCATCATTATACGACTAGATGCTAATATGCAAACACTCGGTTACTGATTTACGGTAAAATTTTGAAAATTGTGTTAGTTATTAGCTTTTAGTAGCTACTTTATCAATCAATTTTTAAGACGATACGATTTTAAATAATTTTGTTTTTCGTTTTAGCAGCTATATTGAACACTCTATATAACCTAGAGTATTTAGCGAAACTAAGCGAATGTGAAATTATCCTCTATTTCCAAAAAAAATCACTTTCCCTGGCATAATTAAATATTTACAATTTACAAAAAATTAAAATAAATAACCCAAAATTTAAAATTAAAAGTATAAAAGCATTTGAGTAAAATTTCTTTCTGTGTTCAACTATGCCGCCGGATAATATGAAAAAAGAAGTTGAGTTATGTACAGGGAGTCCGGCCCTGTTTCTGCTGATAGTTGTCATTGACTTGTCATAAAATCAGAGTTGTTGCTAAAAGGACCAAGATTTTTCTTCACGAACATGACCCCACCAACAGATAAAATAGTGATGGAACAGTAAGGTTACCTAGAGTGCCAAAATACGGTGTGCAGGAAGTCCTGGTTTGCAGGTTGAAAATGTGCCTAATAATTCTGGGTTGATGGAAGAATCCCAGAACATTATTCCATATGAAATGCGAAACTGAACACAAGCAAAATAGTTCTGATGCTCTCTGTGAAAATCTCATTAAAATTGTTGGACACCAATGATATTCTGATATTAATAATATCCAATTATGGCTCTTCGATAACTCCCTCAGTAAAATTTTAACTTCTCATTATCACATGTTGCAAAGTTGTGTTTAATTTTGTTTTCCAAATGCGACCTTACATTTTCAACATTCCAAACAAAATTTTATTTAAAAAGTTGAATACTGTATGCTGCTTTACTGTTATTTTTAATTTCAACATAACAACATAAAATTACTATTACGCAAACATGCCTTCTGTCCTATCATAATAAATGTTACTTTTTAAGTAACTCATATAACTCATAAATACAAACCACACATTTCAAAATCGGAGATCAAAAGAACTCAACTAAAAATATTTTTTTCTTATGGATTAAATTGTCGATGCGTAGATCGGTGTCAAAATATACGATCAACAAAATTGATTATTTGTCATAGGTTTGTGATAATAATTTTCTTATTATGGATACGTTTGTTGCCGTGTAGGTGACAGGACACCCATGAAAAACCTTATAATCGCATTTAGCTTGATTCCTTATTTAATTGGTACTCTTTAGTCTTAGGCTTTTAGCAATTCAAGTTGTCTACATTTGCATTGTGCTTGGAGCGTGCGATTAACTGGCACATCAGTTTAATCAAGTAAACAAACGTACACTAAAAAGATAAAGATATCTCTGAAATCGCAATGAAGGTTTATGAAAATTGCGCGTTTACTTATAGGACGGTATCATTCTCCGAAACAAAAGCTGGCCTATTTATTGAAATTATCCAGGTAAAACAAAGTTACATTCGATACCAGTTAGCCGGTGTCTGATTTGTGTGTCATTGTTTCTGTTCCGGTTGATAATTTTTGCAGGTGCCTATTCAGTTTCGCTCTTCCTTGCTCCCTTATTGCTGTTTTAAATTTTATAGTTCGTTGCAACGAAAGTATCAAATATGTAGAGAGGAAAGCATTAAAGAACCCAAAGCACTAAACGAAAATTTAGTGTTCTCTATAGTCGCTTCTGTTAGGAGAAACTGACCTAGTTCCTGATTCTCCTGGGCTTCGTTACACCTTCCGACAACCCTTATCACAGCCCTGCCGGCCAGCCTGGTACTGATCATCATCGCCATCAACCTCGGGTCAGGTTCTTCAGTTTCCGCCTCGGCACCTACCACTGCTTGGGGATATTGCGACGGAGGGCGCATGATTTTTCGTTGTTTCCAATGCGCGAGGGAAAATTCACTTGGAGGAATAAAAAAACACCGAAAAACTGCAAACCGAACTATTTTCCTTGTGCCGGAAACCGATAAAAAACGGCGCAAAACACTTTCGGTTTCACTTTTACGAGCGCGTTTGTCAAAATGTTTCATGTCGGGCATCGCGACGCCCTTTTATATGCGGCGGCAGTCCGTTGTTTTGGTATCCCCCTCGCGTCCCCACACCACGACGGTGCTGATGTACCGAGCATATGGTGCGCGTGGAGTCTCTCAGTTTCGCGATTTGTTTTTGTTTTTTTTTCGATGGGGAATACGTTCGCTGTGTTTCCATCGATTTAATCGTCGCCTCGGCTGTTGTCTTATTTGTGAAAAATCTGTGAGTTTTATTTCCCGCGCAAATGTTCCGTTTACACAAATAGTTAATCGATTTCTCATAGGTTATATTATTAGATACGTACCTACCAAAGAATTAATTAATAAATCTGGGTACCAAAAACCAAAAATTTGAATACAATATGCTATTTTTTGTTTGTTTAGAAATCTGCACAATTTGTACTTTCAAAAAAATTCTATCAAAACCTTAAACCAAACCGTTAGATTTGGAGAGGCTTTTCCAATATTTGTGTTCAAACAGTAAACATTTTACCAACTCCCTTACCCAGAATCAAAACAAAATATAAATTTACTCTTAAAGGCATTATCCAACTTTAAATAAGTTAAGCGTCTTAGATTCTGTTCGAAGATAAAAATTATTATGCACACGAAGAGCGGTTGAGAAAAATACGTTTTATAACTCCTTATTTTCATTTGTTCCTTTGTCGTTGTTAGAATTGTCGGACAATTTACTTTAAATTAATAATTATTTTAAGCGTTCCTTAGATCAAATTAAAAGCAAATATTCACCTTGCTCCCATAAGCATTGGAGATGGTGTGTATAGTTTCACAAAAAAAAAAACTCTTGTGCATTAAAACTGAATAACCAGGCATACAAACACTCTATACTTTGTATTTCTTTGGACACCACAAGAGAAGTTTTCGAATAAAAAAAATACTCTGCTATCCTTATATAATGTTTCGTAGTTGTCGACAAATAGGGCCACAAAAATTCTTCACTGGACCATCTCAAACGTCAAGCGTCATTTAAAAACACAAATGTGGTGTATCTCGATATAAATAATAAAATTAACTTTTTGTTTTAGTAATTTGCCCTTCAAATATAATCCCTGAAACCATAACATTAATTTCATCCATAAGATAATATTTATTATACGAGAGCTTTTGTAGAGCTATTTATGTTATAGGAACAAACACTTTTCATTCCGTTTCGTACAAAAAATATTTCTTTGTTATTCCGTTTTTCCAAAAAGTTTTGACGTCTAAACAAAAAAGTAACTTCAAAAATAATTGTCGGAATTAAAGTGCGTCATTTGGTCTCTTTACTTGAGTTTTCCTGATGATATTTCGTTTTAAAATATTCAAGGAAGACGTTAATAGTCGAAATTTTGGCAACTGTCTCCGCAAAATACGTTAAAAGCGACGGAATTTCCTATCACGAATTTCCACGTTGCCAAAACGGATCAAAAGACATTTCGCCTGATCCCAATTGTGCTACGCAATTTAAATTTTTCCTAAAAATATATCATATTTGAGGCAGCCACACGAATTGTTCGCACAGAACTATAGCAACGGCGGAACTAATGAAACCTTAACACGTGGGCGACGCTGCAATTATCAAAATCGCTCAGTTGAAACCTTAACACGTGGGCGACGCTGCAATTATCAAAATCGCTCAGTGACAGCCCAGACAAGTAAAATCGGCAGCGTTGTTGGCAAAAAAATGCTGCGCATTTTATTCTAAAGGTGGAAGAGTACATTCGACCTCAATCAAAAGATTTTCGCGGAATACCTTGGCAGGGCGCCAGAAGCAACGCCAAAAATATAACGTTTACGTCTGTTCTTGGTCTTAACTTTGCCAGGGTTCTTGACTGATGAGAACGATTTTTTCCGCTTTCTGTTTTTCGTATTTTCACGTGACATTGACGGCGGTTCATTGTTTTGGCACCAAGAGTAAAACCTTTATATATTAGAGGTTGGTCAATATTCCCTTGGTATGTAGAGCAACCATCAAGTACCGAATCAACAAGAAATTTAAGAGATTAGCTTAGTTAATGGTGACAGGGGCAATTAACATTCCTGCTTCATTCTAATGCCGGTGTTTTCCAGCGGGTTCAGGTAGCGTTGGCCAGTAGAGAAAGCGTAAAATTGCCAAAAATTATATGTTATGTATCTATCGCCACAACTAATGCCCTTACCCAAGAAAAGATTGTCAGAAACCAAACATCTAGACGATAAATGAACTATACAAATTGCATTGACTGAACAATAAGTCACCCTCACGCCAACTCAAATTCTAATCACAATTAACTGGTAGTAGAGTATAATTCAGATTCGACAAGCGTGGAAGCAAAATAAAAACTGTCCTAGACGAGATCTGCCAAAATTGAACTATCCACCCACTCCACTTATTAATATTGATATTGTAAGAAGCTCCAAAGGAATTGGGTTTCAGGACCTATTCATTATGATAGAAGATAATAAATTTGACGAATTTATTTTGAGAATCGTAATATTATATAAAACAAAGTCCACAGGATGGCGAGATAAGACTACAAGCGCAATTCGCTCTAGAGACTTGGGAAATAAGCAAGTTTAAAATACTTTTAAAGTGATTGAAGAAATCCATTTTGTAAATGTAGCACTGTACCAAATGTACCAGACTTTAGTCACGAGTTTCATTTAGCATACGGGGAGCGAGTGTTTAACAAACTAGGGTTTGGCTACATTTTTGCGAAACAGTACTAATGCTTTCACTGACTGAGGTGTGACATAAACGTCAGAATTGGCAAATGTTAAAATACCATCACAGAACAAAATCTACCGAAATATTTCAGAGTAGTAGATAGTAGAGTAGACAAAAATATATTTTTCTACTCCCGTCTGTAAAATGCCTAATTACACACTGATCTACCGTGCGGGAAGCGCCACTTTGACGTTTGTCAGTTCTAACGGTGATATCAGTGAATGTATTCGTGTTTTTTTGCTAAAATGTAGCCAACAACTAACGGTCGTATAAAAAGTATAGTATCAGACACGTTCGGTAAACTTTTTAAGTCACTCGTTTATTAAACACTCGCTCCGCTGCGCTCGGCTCGTGTCAAATAAACTCGTGAGTGAAATGCCGTTTACCGCATTTGTTGCATAATATACTATTATCACACTTGTTGCATAATATACTATGATCACACTCCCTTCTGTAATATACACCGATCTAGCGTGCAGAAAGTTTCATTTTACCATGTCAGTATCGTTTTCCACGGATCCTTGTCGGACATTTGCGGGATATTATCGCACGGGTTTGGGAGCAATCGGATGTTTTCGGATATATTATCGCACCGCTTCAATTTTGACGTATGTCAATTCTCATGGTCATATCAAAGTAGTCGTTTATTAAACACTCGCTCCGCTGCGCTCCACTCGTGCCAAATGCCGTTTACCTCCCTTGTTCCATAATATATTATAGAACTTGCCTTTATTGACATTAGGCACTTGATAAGTCGTAAACTTCGTTACAAACTGGTTACAAAAAGTTAGTAAATGAACCACGTACCCTCAAAAATATCTAACACGTCAATTGCACAAGGAAGTTTGGGAAGAAGGTCCTCCGTTATCCATTTTAACATTACCTGCATAACAATAATCAAAATAACGAATACATCTTATTTTTTCTAATTTGGAACGATTTCAACTAAGCGGCATTTTATATTATGTATTGACAAAATTATGCAATATCTTTGATAATAACAGGATTCATAACCTAAACTATATTTTCATTGTTATTTTGAGTAATATTGGATCAATAGCAAAGTGATGAGCAGTTTCCAAAATACTTCTGGTTGGTCAACTATTAATTACGTGGACCAGGGACGAACTCTCTAAAGAAATTATCTTGCGCAAATGGTTTTTTTAGTTACACATTTACGTAAATAATTTATTGACGAATTTCAACTCGTAAAACTATATTGTAGCAATAAACATTTCAGTGTGTTAATTCTCGGTCTGTTTCGCACTCAGAACGCATTTATTAATTTTATACACTACTTTTTTTAATTAATGCGTATTACCGTACGTTAAAGCCCCGATACAACAAAATTCAGACTTTCGTTACAGTGTATTGCATTCGGACAAGAATATTTATTTCAAACCGAACAACGGATGGGTTCATTTTATAAAACTTCATGTTTCAAGTCCACACGAATTGGTTTACACGTTAAATAAGCAAAACTAAATTTGTCGTGCTTAAAGACGAAGCAAAATCAGCTAGAATGTAAGCGTGTGGTAAATTTTTTCTTTATTTGTTCTATTAAAAAAGTCAAAATTACGGGAAAGATGAGAAATGGTGGGCCAAATTCGATGTATTTTGGAGTTTTCCGGGATTTCTAGCAAACAAAGCGAAAAACGAAACGAAAAAAATTACAAGTTTATATTTTAGTGGAGGCGCTCCATAACTTTTTTATTTCTGAAAGTTTTGTGTTCGTCTAAAAAGATTTTTTGATAGATATTTTTTGAAAACTGGATTTGGTATTACAGTTTGTCTCAAATCATTTGTTTTTTCGTTAAAATTTCTGTGTTGAGACAAATAACCATAGCTATCAAATTTTCGCGTAATATATGAACGGCAACTAAAGCGTAATGAGATTTGGTTAATTTTTTCTGATAGGTTGGTATAGTTTATAGAATATTAGAAATCTCTGCTTAAAATGCATAAGATCTACTAAATACAGGTAACTTGACCCACTCTGTAGGAACAACTCTGTGTTTTGGTAACATTTTGAGTGCCAAAATCTATTACGCCGTGAGAATAAATTTTTACTTTAATGCAAAATGTTTACTTTTATTTTAGAACTGCGGCAAAAAATAGATATCTGGCGGAAATTTGCGTTCTTTATAGACAAAGCAGTTTAAAATTAAATAAGTGGGATATGTATCTCCCACATTTATCAAAAAAGCTGCGCGACGCAGTCTCGGCGTTTTTACAAAAAGGTTTTTGATTCTAAAATTAGTGCACCGGCTGATGTTAGTAATAAGTCCAGTTGTGTTTAATCTGATGTGTAGATTTCTCTGATATCTACCTAGTTAACTTTTATTTTTGTTTGACATACATTAGGTGGAAGTGTGCCCTAGTAAAGAAATCAAAAGAATATCAAGTTAACAAGAATTTTATTTTTCAACGTAATCCCAGTTCATCCCAATCCCAACTTCAATGTACTAATTGGTGATCTACTGTCAAGTGCTTTTATTTCCCCCCTAATAAGCTCATACCTCCAGCGGGTTAAAATATAGGTTATTCTAAACGTTGAAGCTTTTCTAAGAAGACTTTTACATTCCGAAGAACTCTGGAAATTTACATTACAAATTATATTTCCTAGAGTGGATTAGAGTAGATTATGGATACGAAAAAGAATCTTTCCTTGATGTTTTTTTACGCTGACAACACAGATATATTACAAAAATTCCAAGATACTTTTGGATTAAGCGAGACTTGTAGTTGACAGTAGCAGAGGATGTAGGACGTCACACATTCGGTCATTAATCTGCAGTTCGATGAAATCTGGGATGCGCAGCGCTTATTGCCTCTTTTATGACTTTCTGCTTTGCCAGCTAATCTATGCAAATGTCGAGTGTCATCCAATATCAAGCAAGGCGGTGTCATGGCGTTGTCGTATAACCTAGGACATTGTTAATTAACGTTTTATATTATAGAAGTTTGCGCGGTAAGTAGTCTTTATTGTTTTAGTTATTGGCTATTGAACCTGTGTAATTCAATTTGCAGATGTCGTACCTTTCGCGAAGGGATGTTGAAGATTTGAAACCTTCCATTGACAAACTTGTCTATAAAACTGTGGGTGGCAGTGACTCTTCCTTGTTAAGAAGTGCTATTGATTGTATTACCAATGGATATGATAGAAGAAAAACTGCTGATAAATTATCTTCATATATTGACACTAAAAAAGCGGGAAGGCTAGCAGAAAAACTGTTTGATTTAATTAGTGACTGGGAATCGGCTCACAAATCTAAGAAACGAAATCATGAGGATGACAGAGACAGAGACTCTAAAAGGAGTAAGACTAGTAGTTCATCAAAAACAGAAAATAAAAATTCAGGGGAGAAACGTTCTTCTAAGATAGACTCCTTGCCTACAAGCAAAAACAATATAAGTATAGCAAACTTGAATATTCCAGCTCCTAGTATATATGGAATTCCAATGGGCATTCCTATGGGACTATTAAATAGGGGTGATGCTGATAAAGCAAGAAAAATTGTGCAATTGCAGGTTAGTATTAGCATGAAACAGTAATAACAATAATATAATAATAATAACAATAACCAATAATAACAGCACTTATTCATTGTTTTGCTGTATATAATATAAATTATTATTTTTAGGCCCAAATAAAAACAAAACTCTCTTCAGGCATTTTGGGCAATGCAATTCAAATTCCAATTCAACCAAACAAGCCTCAACCGCTTATTTTGGATGAAGAGGGCAGGACGATTGACAAAACAGGTAAAGCTGTACAACTTACTCATGTAGCACCAACACTAAAAGCAAATTTAAGAGCTCTCAAAAGAGAACAGTACAAGGAAAAGGGTGATAAAAAAGAGGAAGATAATAGCGAAACAAAATTTATTGACCCACGAATTGGAGTTAAACCAGCAATTCGAAACCGTAGAGCCTTGAGGTTCCATGAACCGGGCAAGTTTCAACAATTGGCAGAAAGGATTCGTATGAAGGTACATATTTTCAATACAATCTTTCCATATCACTAAAGATATAAGACTCAAATATATTAAATATTAATTTCTCTTTTTATTTTTAGACTCAGCTTGAAAAGTTACAAAATGAAATTTCTGAGATAGCTAAGAAGACAGGCATCTCTTCTGCAACAAAGTTAGCTCTCATTGCAAAAAGTGAGGGTGTTATTGAAGATGTTCCACAGATGGAATGGTGGGATTCTGTCATATTGGAAGATAACTTGGATACTATAAGGGAAGATGGAAAAATTGCAATTAAAGCTAATGTAATTAATAACCTAGTGGAACATCCAACCCAAATGAGATGTCCTAGTAAGCCTTTGTAATGAGTTTTTTAATCCACAGCTTTACAAACTTGTTCTTTAGCGGATCCCATTAAACCAGTGTACATGCCTGTGTTTCTGACTAAAAAGGAACGTAAAAAGCTCCGAAGGCAAAATCGTAGGGAAATGTGGAAAGAGGAGCAGGAAAAAATTCGTTTAGGTTTAATACCCCCACCTGAACCAAAGTTACGTATATCAAATCTTATGAGAGCTTTGGGCACTGAAGCTGTGCAGGATCCCACAAAAATTGAAGCACATGTCAGGTTTGTTATCAAACACGTTTTGAATTAGTAGCTTCATATTCTAAATATCTAGGGAGCAAATGGCCAAACGTCAAAAGGCTCACGAGGATGCTAACGCTGCCCGCAAGCTTACAGCAGAGCAAAAACGGGAAAAAAAAGTAAAGAAGCTGAAAGAAGATACGTCTTTGGGGGTACATGTATCAATTTATAGAATCCTTCACCTTCATGATCTTGCATCAAAGAAATTTAAAGTAGAGACCAATGCGAAACAACTCTTCATGAGTGGTTGTGTGGTTTTATACCCTGATTGCTGTGTGGTTGTCGTAGAGGGAGGTCCAAAACAACAGAAAAAATATAAAAGGTTGAACAATTTGGTAGGAGTTCTAAAGGATTTATTTGATCTGAAATGTTTTAGATTGATGTTGAACCGTATTAAATGGGAGGAAGATATGGTTAAGGATCCGGACGGAAGGGAGGTACCGAATAAATGTGTGCTCGTCTGGGAAGGTACATCAAAACAGAGAAATTTTGGTGAAATGAAGTTTAAGGTTACTCCAACTGAGAAATTAGCTCGTGAACACTTTAAGAAGCACAAGGTGGAACATTATTGGGACCTCGCTTATAGTGGGGCGGTTCTGGAGCAAGCAAGTGATCTTGTAGAGTAGTTGCGTTTTTATATATTGTAGAATAGTTCCTTTACGGCATAGCGAATAAAATTATGTAGTTATGGTATGTTTTTTTTTTTAATTAAAATATAACTTTGTATAATTCTATTTCATATTTTAAGGTTTGTGCGTAGAAAAGGAATTTCGCGATAAAACAGGTCATGGTTAGTTAGGGTATTTTTCAATCTACACTGTAATAGTAAAATAATAAAACATTGCAAAAAATGGAGAGTTATTATTTTTAATTTTTATATTGCATAATCACCTAAAAATGTAGTTTCTTCCACACTAAAAGAACAGTTGTTTCAGGACCTGTTGATATCGTTTATTATAGCCATAACTGGTTGTTAAGAAGGTCAATGCTTATCCTGGCGTAGACTTATTTAAAAATGTAGAAAAAGATAATATTTCACTATCGTCTTTCGCGGAAGTCAAAAATGAAGTTTGATGTGCAATGTTTTTTTGTCTTTTAATGATGTCTTACAAGTTATTGTTTCCAAACATAAGAAATATTACAGAAAATGTCTATACCATAGTAGGCTTTGATTTTGCAATTATTTTTCTTTTGCCCTCCGTGATTGCACACATTTTTAAGGGATATGTTTAATACCTTCAATCAACATCCTTAAGAAAATAGAAGTAATACTATTGTCAATGATTTAGTCATTATTATCGTTATCGTCTTTCAGGGTAGTAGATAATATAGTGGCCCTACTACACCTCAGGTGGCTATGATATTTTTCACCCTGTAACCTGTATTTTGCGTCAATTTCTTCCTAAACAACTGAGAGATATCCACATACTTGTCTTCTTTTTGAAATTTTAATGAAAGTTGGACATTCTGCGAAGTTACTGCCGCATTCACACCTTTTGTCAGCGGTGCTATTGGAAAAAACGGGACTGTAAATTACGCGCATGTCCATGTTGAATGAACCTATTCAAAAGTTTTTTCATTGTTGGATACCAATTCAGATACATTCAATTATATTTTTTTCGTTAATCAGCCTAAGCCTACTCTATTGTATAAAAATACATTTTGGTTACGCAGCGAAGACGGAAAAAAAATTGAGACTGGCCATGCCGGGATGTGCGGTCATTTGAAATTCCTGCGTCAACTTGAGCTACTCTGTATTTTACAATTTGCGAGATGCCAGTGGTGCTCCAGGTAACTCTAAAATATTTAACAAAATTAAAATAATCTTATAAAAGAGTTGTTCCCATTCAAAAAAAAAAACAAAAATGCTGAAAGCCGATTTTGCATCATGCAGGTATGGTGACAATATAATTCTGTGGGAGAATATTTTGTTTGTTTCGCAATTATATTACAAAAAAAGTTAATTACATTATAAAAAATATTAATTTATAAAAAAAGCATTTGTTATGCTGTTAAACAAAATTTTATTGATATTTTATTATTTTATTTATTTTATATTATTTTATAATATTAGAGAAATATATAATATAAAATATTAAAGTTAGGTGATGGAATACCCTGCATATAATGGGAACTAATTTTATTGTATTCAGCTCTCCTATACCAGCAGCTTTTGTATTAATTTTTTTTTCGATAGAAATGAAATTAAAGAATTCGGCAACAATAAAACTGCCCTGTAATGTTCTATCTCTTGCATACATGTAATTTACTTAAAAAATTAATAAAGGATAAGGTATAATTATTAACATGAATTATAATACGCGCATGAGTGTTTTAATTGTAACGCATAAGGGAAATATAAAATTCTGTATAATATAATAAAAATAATTTAATATTATACTTTATATTTTTTTAGTAATGTACTTCTGCAAAATATTTGCTTTTGTTAAAAACGTACCGAAAGTGGAGGAGGATAGGAGGCAGTGAAGATATGTACTCTGCAAGGACAACATCCTCAGACGTAGGAATGAGTACTAACTAAAATGTTAATTGATTTTGAAAATAATATTATTTCAATTTTGTAAATATTTGTATTAATGTTATGTTATTAATGATATGTTTTGAACTTTGTGTGATTATGACGGCATATTTTTCCACAAGGAAAATGCGCCGGAATCCGATGAATTTATGTTTACAGATAGGTATAGTTAAGGGAAATAAAAATGGCACTTATTGTTTATAATATATTATAATTCATGTTCACAACGTTTATAAATCTATTATCACAATGTATATACATTCAAGGATTTATCAATTCAATGAAATCATTTACCGAAAAGCTATATTCTGTCAGGAACATAAAAATTCTTAATACTGTTGCAAGTAATTTAACTTATTTATTTGGTGACCAAGATATAACTTTAGCTATTTCTAAGTTGTAATTCCTTCGATACGGATCTTTGTATCAACTGAACTAACTCCAAATATAACAAACAATCCCTTCCGGAAGGTTTGCATATGTCCCTGTGATTCAATGGTACAGCACGTTTATGTCCTATTTCCGGATCTGGAAAAAAATGTTCATTATAAACTTATTTGTAATATGAATATTCTAATATTTAATTTTAACCAACCTGCGGACTCATAGGCAATCATTTCAATGTTCATGAATCCCATCCTTGTGTAAACGGTATCTATAAAACTAAATATTTCAGGTTTGTTCTCATTCTCATCACTAAATATTTCGAGAAATTTCTGGTGCAAATTTAACACATAATCACAATCTGAAACAATATTACAGTATTAATTACAATGAACCACTTAATATCGATTAAAAGCACAATGGCTGACTTCTTAATAAATTTTCTGGATTCGTAAATATTTAATAATCAATATTTATAAATCAAGCTGTTGGCTTATTCAGAGCTTAACTGAAACTGTTCCACTCAGCAGGTTTGATTTATAGACTACCGACGCAGGAGGAATCCAGAAAATTTGCAAATGGCACTACAGTAGCCTGTGGAAGTTTCTTGGATAAAAGGCTTACTTCTTTGGATCTCTAATAGTTCTATGCTGCGACGAAAGAGCGGAAATTGCAAATCAGCTACAGAAGAGCCTTTATGCGGCACGCTGTAGAACATAATTCCTTTCGTCTGATGGTACAACTTCCCGGTAACGTCATTTTGGTGATGTAAATCATACGCTGCAATTCAATGACGTTCACCAAATTATCTTCACCACAAATTATATCAAAGACACTTACCATTAAGCAACATTTGTTTTATAAACAATCCACCTTTTGAGTGTCCCACCCATATGATAGGTCTGTTCCCCACACCATGTTTCAATAGTTCTTCTATCATTTCCTTGCTTCGTTCAACTAAATTTGTCCTGAAATGTATTATTAACAAGTAAGTTGCAGGTAATTTTATTGCAAAACAAACGGCATTACCGATTTTTCTGTTTCTGCCATATAGGACACCACAACACATCTGTCGTGTAGTTGAGGGCTATCACGCGTGTGTCGGGGCAATCCAACGGTAACCAATCTTGAGGCCAACAATTAGTGTATTCTTCACAATATTGTTTTGCTGACTCGACGATATCTGAAGTAAACTGCGTATGATCTTCTTTTTTCGAAATTTTTCGAGGAATTTTGGAATAAATATGATTTAATGTCCTCTTGAGTGTTGATGATTGCGTATTCACTCGAGAATCGAGTTCATGAATGGTTGATGACTGTTCACGGGTAGAGAAACTATTGTTTTTGTCATCACTTCTCCAGGTGCCCTGCTTCCAAGTCCGATCAAGGCCTGAAAAGATATTTAAATAACTTTACTAAATTAATTATGTTGATAAAGTTTGTTCCTCCAGTCAATTATACCAAAGTCATATTAAATTGTTTCTAGCCAATAGTTGAAAAGTTAATACCACAAAAAACAATGTTTTAATAATTGATTCTGAGCTTTTTGTTAATTTGTAAAAAAAATATCCAATAAAAACATTGAGTAGACTAATCTTATTAAGTAATGCACTCAAGAAATGCTGAAATATAGCAAAACTTGTTGGAATTCGTTTATACTTATAAAATATGATATTTGATATATACAGACTGTTCGTATATTTATGTGCAAGTAACAACTTCCTTATTTTAAATAGAACACAAAGTATATAAAGTAATTTTTGGGTACTTCAGAAAATTCTAGACATTTTGCATATAACATGAATCAATGTATATGATAATATGAATGTTATGTCAAAAGTGACGTTTGGAGGTCTAGGTATATCCATCGTAAAAAATAAAAAAAAACTTTTAAAATATCATGTTGTTGTATATACAGGGTGATTGTATTTTCATAAACAATTGACAACTGAACGCCTCCAAACTTTCTGACATATTTCAAATATATATAATATTCGATACTTAAGTTTTTCTTACCGTTTATGACATATTTTGAATTGTATGTAAAAAGTAATGTTTGCATGGCAAATGTATCTATCCAATTTTCAACTAAAAGTCTTTGTTACATATTTGATTACCTTATAGAACGGGTTAATTTAATGGTCTGTGTTGATATATTAAAAATAAATATATGCAGGTTTTTTTGCATGCTTTAAAGCATATTTTTTTATGCAATGTACTTCTATCGTGTTTCGCATGTATAGGGTTGCCTATTTGAAAATATTGTAGATTTTGAAACACCTATAAGAAATAAAATTTTTGTACATTGTAAACATGTAAAAATGCAATTGCGAAATATGTCGAAGAAAGAATCGTGCACTACAGAAACGTCATTATTTTATTCTGCCATGAATTTAGAAATAAATGTTGTCATGAAAAGGTTTAATTAAAAATGAGATTTAACGGCCCAAAGCTTCGTATATTTCTTTGAACCTGTGTTTTTTGTAGGTTTTTGTCCATCTGGATATTTTTCATCAAATTTCTAAATATTTTTGATAAATTTTATTAGATTTTCAGAAATAAACCAAATTATTAAAAAATAAACAAATTTTCATTTAAATGTTTAATGTTAGTTTGTTAGTTTATTTTTAAAATATCAATGCCTGCGGCTAAAGTAGATTCCTTTCTAAAAGGAAATCAACACCAAATAAGTAACAAAGAAATGTAGAAATCGATAGACATATTTAGACCTGCAAACTTCACTTTTGAGATAAAATTCAAAATATGTGGTAAGGTCTAGAAAGGAATTCAAATATAGTGTATTTTATTTAAAATAAGAAGCATATAATTTGACCACGATAATATAAACACACTGCAATATAATATTTTAAAAGTATAAGCGAATCCAAACAACCTTTTTCTAAATTTTTTTGATATTTTTTCAACCGCTACTTAAAATGACAATAACAAATAAATACATAAATAATAAATCTGCGCGGCACATAGTCCCAATAATATCAAAAGAGGAACAAAACAATTTGATAATAATCACACCCCTAAATGTTTTAACGATTGTTTGTAGTATAAAGATCATTAAAGATCTGGAAACGGATGTAGTTACATTCTGCAGATGAGATCTTTGACCTCAATACACAACGACAATGGATAATGGTCCATATTATAATAGTACATCATTTTTAGTAAAGGTACATCTGCTGATAAACTAATACATTCGTTGCTATCCCAAATCGCAATGGTTAAACGATCGCCACTGTTAACCTTCACGATAACGACGATTTTCGAGTAGGTACGTAGGGCTACGATGACAAAAGTATTTTCATATTTGTGTATAAACTTACAACATGATTCACGAGAATATTTGATAAGATAAAAGTGACAAAAAGACTTTTTCTTTCTGAGTAAAGATTGCTGCGAAAATCTGTCTAAAGGTTTTATTTGATATATTTTAATAAAGACGCAGTTTATTTGCAAAATCAAGCCATTCACGTAATGAATAGTACTGAACAGCTAAAATCATACTAATTTCCGGCAGTCCTTAACATGCAAAATATCAAAACGTAATCCAACGCACTTTAAAAAAAAATTGATCATGAACGCCAATGGTTGTTCTAAGTTCGTCCTTTCGCTTTCACTCTCTGACGTTGCTCTTCTTTAACAATATTGTTAAGTCTAAACGGGCAATATACTGATCCACAATTGCTTATTACTATAAATATTTTTTATGTGCTTTTTTATAATTCTTTACCTGATATTAGATAAAATATTGCCTGTTTCTGAAACAAAAAACCTTTTTAAACAAAAGTGATTTATGATGCTCATCCTTAACAATATTGTAAGTGTAAATGGGCAATTGCACAATTTTATTTAGGTAGGGGGTTTTTACATTATTTTTACATAATGCTTTCTTATAATTCTTTAACTGATATTAGATTAGAATATGCAATATGTCGTTTCTGAAACGAAAAACTTTTTTAACCAAAAGGGAGTTCTTAATGGTGTGAAACACGAATAATTACATAAAAATATATGCTAGGTATATTATTATTTATATTTAAAGAATTAATACCAGGCTAGCAATTTTTACAAATCTTCTGGATTCTTCCTGCGTCGGTTGTTGACCCAGGAGAAATACAGAAGATTTGTAAATAGTATAGTGGAAGTTTATTTGAAAAATTAACTGGCAAGGATTTATCATGGATGTTTATTGAGTGTGGTTGGTTGTTCCGTTTTAAATTGTTAAAGTTGTGATCAAATTCTTAACAGAATTCTAATTGAGAATTAAATTGAATAAATAAATAAAGTCCACCTTGTATATTTATATCTCTTCATCTCCCCCCACCCTTGTCACTACAGCACTTTTTGTGGTTTGTCCGCATCTAAATTATATTTATGTATAAATGTTTTCACTTACCGCCATGTAATCCATGGACAAAAACAACGTCAGCGCGGACATTGCCTTCCGGTTCGGTCAAAACTTGGCAGGTGACACATTTTTCCGGCGTTCCCTCGTAGGACGTATCGGGCTCAGTCGCTTCGACCATCAGTTTCGGTTCTTTGGCAATTTTCACCGGCATAGAAGACGCTATATTTTGCACCGAAGTGAAAGACCGGCTTACGCTGTTGAACAAGAATGTCGTTATGGCAGGGAATACTTCGTAGCGCACGCTGTAAACTACATTCTGTTGGTTCTTTACGCACGTGTAGCAGAACCGGAATACTGTCGGTAGAAATACCCGTGTCACAGCATCAACCGCCACCCAGAGTTTCCTGAAACGAAAAGAATTTTTGAAACTACGAATTCCGAACGGGCATTTCGGTTTAAACAATCGCAGTAGAAAATTTTGACTGGTGTATTTAGTGACATAGTACGGCGGGAGGTAACGTTGGATTGTCGACGTTCCTAAAAAATATGTATTGTTTAAAGGTAAACCTGAAGCTAAGGTGTTCATTGTAAATATTGGTCATATCCCCAAGGGCCTACTTTGGGTTCATTATTTTTTATAGTATCCATAAATACCATCCTTAAAGGCCTTGAGGTCTTGCGTACGCTGATGATTGTTACCAACTGTTATAAAAGTTAGGTTTAGTAGTCAGAAAAACGCATAAAACTGCAATTCTACCGCATTTCTTCGTTCCAAACTAGAGTACTTCTCCCCAGTATGAATACACATCCACAGTAGAAGTAGTAAATAGGATCAAAGAAAATTCTTAAATGAGATTGCTTACGAATCTTGCGGTTTGTAACCAGAAAATAGTATACAAAATCAATGATTATATGCACGGTTTTCATTTGCAACAGTTGTCTGAAGAGCTATTGTTATTATTATTATTATTATTACCATCACTGTCATATTTTTACTTGCCTAAGTCGCCCACCCTAAAATTATCAGCTCTGTAATTGAGATTACGTTGTTGAGTGGTCGTAGTAAACAAATAAATAAACAACATTTGTTAGTTAACACTCTGATTTAAAACTGGTTACGAGTCATAGCACCACTCAAAAGGCATTTGCCCCTCCTCCTCATTGATTGACAAAGCTACCTACATAATAATATACGGTATAATTTGTCTCAAAATATATGGTGCTGACTTTAGCCTGCATTTTATAAAACTGCGACATTAAGGAACATAATATTAGGGAACCCATACATGCCTTATCACTCAAGTATGAATAAATTATTCATTGATGGATTTATCCAATAAGAATGAGCAATAAAATCGTTAAAGGTTTATTAGGCACGGGTTGGTGAAAAGGCACTCGAAAATACTTTGATATACACTGTACACTTGTACTTAAGTATATTAAACTTTTTACTTATAAAAAAAAAACGTAAAACCGTACACCTTGTCAGCCGGAATTGTCGACCTCCTCCCTCTCAAGATTGTACAGGTGGTAAAAATTACATGTTCTAGACATCGACAAAGATTCTGGTGATTCCAGTATAATGAAATATTGGAAACTCGAACACTTTTACATCGTCACAAAAATAAACAAAGGGGATTAACTAATTTAAAGGAAAAAAGATTATGAAGTTAAAAATATCGTGCTTTGTTGTTTTGCCATCAAGCAAAGAAAAAATGGTATTTGAAAAAGTTGTTGTTTTTTTTACTTAGGAAATACCTTACATAAGCCACTACTGAGAGTCGCCTATTATTACTAGTTTCATAAGAGGTGGATTTATTTCGGTGCTGGAGCGATCATTTCGTTAAGAATTTTTGGCAGTACTCTTCTGTTGGGATTTAAGGCTGGACCGATTGGAGTGGGAAAAAAATTATGGTATAATTAAAAATCGACTCACCTGGAATATTAATATTAATATTAATTACACACTGTAGTATTCGTTCATCATGTGCTCGATCACGACGTTTAAAGCAAAAAACGAGTTTTTTTCGCTTTTTGTCCCCGCTGGACACCGGCCGGCCGGGCCTGTGAATCATTCCGTTTTGAAAAAAAAATCTCCTACTGGGTATCACTGGGTAAAGGGTGGGTTTATAATTGTATCCACGGACAAGCTCGCAAAATTAATATTAATCTTCCAGGTAAGGGGATTAATCTTAATTTTCTATCGCTTGTCATTGATACAATTACACACTGTAGATGTTCAAAGTGAAAGGCGATTTTGCTGCAGCTGTAGCTGGAGATATATTTTCATAATTTATAACAAAAAAACCAAAGCAATAAACAATTAAACGACCCACAATGGTGTAGTTATATATACACAATAATATATACAATAGCAGGGCTCGATTAAAGGTCCGTTATAAAATTTAAAAAATTTATTGAAGGATGGCATCCAAGCGGCTGCAGGATGTGTTACGTCTTTATTGACACCTCGTCTTAAAGCAGCCGAATTTGCTGCATAACGGCTGCTTTGGCCGGAAAAGACTTTGGTGTCAATTCCACCTAAGGACCCGTTTTAGCCCACGACTTATGGTCTGCGAGGATGCTGCGTGAAATGGTTTTTTAAGCGTTGGTAGTAGATGATCATAATTTTTGCGATAGCTCGAAGTTTTCTCTAAGTAGATGTCTATGTTGTGAGCTACGCATAGTTCTACCATTTTATAAAGGTAAGGGAATTTCAGAAGCGGGTTGGTTTTATTTGGAGCTATCTTGTCTGTAATTCAAATTTCTATTTTGCCGTCCCCATTTTTAGTGCCGTTAAGGTTTGTACTCTACTTGTCGATGAGATTGACAGTAAAAAGACTAGTTTGTACGTTAACTGTTCTAAAGTTAGAAAATCCAATGGATACCAAATTTTTAAAACCGCCAGCACCGGATCCGAATTTCATGTAACAACGTACTTAGGCTCTGGAGGTTTTATGTTAGCTAGTGGGTGCCTGGTCTCGAAGGGGGATAGTATTAGATTGAAATTAGGTTCTAAAAAGATGATATTCTCTGGCAACAGTCTTTTAAAAAGTAAAAAAGTAAGACTAATATTGGTTCCACCGAATAGTAAAAGGGTCTATTGTCAAAGAATTTGGATCGGGAAGCCAGGAAATATACCTTTTGCACTTATTGTTTATTCGTGAAGCGGATAGGTCTACTTCAGGAATCCCGAATATTTTTGTAATTTTTTTTTAAAGCATAACCTTTCGGTTCGTATTCGGTATCAAGTAATAATGATCTAGACTCTATGTCCGCTTTATTTTTTTTCTGTTGACGCAGTTACGTGTTGTATTCGCCGCGCTCGTAAGAAATTGCACAGGGCGTCTACAGTTTTATTTTCAAAAAGTTGATGTGAATTAGCGTTTCTTTTCGATCCTAGAAACCATGCAAAAGTGCTGCTCCCACAAAAGGCACCAAACCCAAACGCAGAGGCGTTTGAGAAAATGTCTAGAACGAATTTTTGTTCTGACCCTTTCCAATATTCTTTTTCCACCAAGAGAGGATGTAAGTTTATTAGAGTTCTTCGTTCTGAGATTATAATTTTGAAATTTGTTGTTAATTATTGATTATTTGATTCTCTCTAAATCTTTCAAGTGAGCGAAGTCATATTTAGCAGTAGAACATGAAGCTACTGGGCAGTGCTTTTTCATTTTAAATTGCTGAATTTCTAGCAATATATTGAGAATTTTTCCTTTTGGTAATGTGATTTTCATATTTGAGTTGTTTAATGAGAAGCTCAGGAAGGTTAGATATTGTTGCCCTCGCTCTGAAACACTTTTGTTTTGTATTCCCTGTGTAAAGAGAGGGATTGTGAATATTTGTCAATATTGGCACGCTTCACTCAATATGTTTGGTATTAGTTGCTTGTTCTGTAACTTGTAATTTTTGACCAATTACTGTCCCGATTTCGGATAGACCACGGACTAACTATGTTTCAAAATAAATAAGAACTAAAAGTTCATATTTTCACGAAATTATATATTTTGACATGACAATTGTTTCGACAACACCGTGTCTTTATCAAATGTCATTTGATAAAGACACGGTGTTGTTCTTATTTATTTTGATAAATGGATCTTCATCAAGTAAAAGCCTCCTCAGTTCAACTAACTATGTTTGATTGTTTGATTTTTGGCTAAATGAGCGAAATACAATTTTTGAGAATTTTGAAATTTTCTGTTATTTCATTTTTTGTGTGCTTGTCATGTCATTTTTTAAGATTGCACTTCGACGCAAAACTATTTCAAAATCGGCCTAATCGGCTTGTTGCCTATAGTCCTCATTAGCTGTGAGTACTTCCATTTCCGAAGCAGTGGTCTCTGATAGTAAAATAATATTCAAATAAGTAAATGGATGTGTAAATATCCCAAAGTATTTAGCGCGGGCGTCAAAACGGTAAAGCGTGCTACCTGTTTGAATGGTACGAATGTTCCCCTAGAGTGCTATTGAAATCGCCCGATTTACTCTCTTGAATAATTATACACTTAGCCGGCGAACCTATAATTTTTGTTGACTAAAAATCCCTTGTAGATTAAAGACTGGTGGGCTCCTTGCTACCGACCCGACCTCCGATTTGACGTTTTATTAAATCTTTTCCGAACAACATCTTTATCCCTTTATCCACTAACTATTTTTTTGTCTTTGTTTAAGTTCATAATCAGAATATCGCCTAGGTAAGCAACCAAGAGAATGCTTAATTTTATAAGAAAGGCAGTAACTGGCTTAAGTGTACACAATTGTATTGACTTTCTATGAAAGGATAGATGTATTCCTTTGACCCAGTTTAGAAGAATTTGGTCACTGGTTATCGCTTCCCACGCATCTAAAAATTTACCTTGTTCAAGCAACCTATTTCCTGGTGGTAACAGTGTTTCTAGTAATCTAGCTGCTTCCCTCTTCTGATTAGTGGTCTCTCCTCCTTCCTTTGTGACCTTGCTTTGTTGATATCTTCGAAATAAAGGGATAACGCGTGTTACCGTTTGTATACTCATGATCCCGAGGAATATTGAAATCGAATGATTTGTATGTAAAAAGGTAACCAGTGTTACCCCATGCGTGGTTAGCATGATCCCCAAGAGTATTGTTAAAATCGACTGATTTCACTCTCCTTCGCTGATAACAACGATATGAAAAGGTAACGAGTGTTACCGTTTGACTTGCATCGCATGATCTCGGAGAGTATCGTTGAAATCTAATGATTTCACTCTCTTTCGTTGATAACAATGATATAAAAAGGTAACAAGTTTTACCGTATGGCGCGGATCGAATGATCCCGAAGAGTATTATTGAAATCGAGTGATTTTACTCTTCTGTATGGAGCATAAGGCTGGAAATAAGTAATAATTTGCGCATTACTAAAAAGTGTTCTGTATTACGTATG